TCTAGGTTCCGGGGACTGTCTTACGGACGCAGCGTACTGCTCAGCGGCGGATAACGATTTAGAAGGTGTTGGCTGACGTTTTAACACATTTGGTTTCTTGGGTACCGAAGATCCAAATGTCGTTGTTGAAAACCGAGAAGTCAAAGGGTTCGACTTGACAGGCTGCCGAGGTTCAGGTCCGGAACGAACCCTCCCTGTCACCTGGGAATACATGGAACCCGCCGACAACCTATGAGCATCGGAGTAATCGTGTGATCCGCGACGCTTGTAGGGATGAAGCGAGGGGAGAGGCGAAGGAGATCGGCTCGATCCCGTGCAAGAGTACTCCTGTGCACCTATGAGCTTCTCCATTTCCTTATGGTGCCGTGCCTCCTCCGCAGCGCGCAGTTTCCATAAAGCCACACTCTCCGACTCAGGCCGCGGGCTACGGTTGTGCCCAAAAAGCTTCTCTCCAAAGCGGGCAAGTCGCCATCTCCAGCTTTGCTTGTGGAGGGCCTTAGCAGACGCAAATGCCGCTGTGTCCTTTGCTCGCTGCTTGCGAGCTCGCCGGCGCCAGCAGTACAAAAAGGTCACAAAGATGAAGGCACATCCAAGCGCCATGAGCAAAATCTCCCACCACTGCAATCGCTGGGTCGTGATTATGGTAGGAGTCGATAGCCCCGAAGGAACCGCGCCTGAGCTCGTACCAGAGGGTGAAGATACTACAAGTTCTGAAAGGCATGCTCCAAGACCTGGGACAACACTTGTACCGCTCGTGCAGTTAGCTGAAGTGCAAGCACCCCCACGCAAAACTTGACTAGAACTTGAGCAAGCGAGGCAGCTATTTGGACCGGCGCCTGAACAGCTAGCACAGCTGGAATCGCAAGACTGGCATGTCGAGGACGTTGTGTCGAAATACTGGTTCTGGCTGCAAGTAGCGAGGCAGCGCCCACTCGTAAGGACAGGGAGTGCTTTGTTGCAACTTGTGCACTGGCTAAAGGATGCGCCTGAACATGTTGCACAGTCTGGGTGGCAGGAAATGCATGCCCCAGAAGAACTAAACGTGTTGGAGGGACAAGAATTAACACATTGCCCGTTTGAAGCCAGCAAGTTGTTCGCGCATGTCAAGCAGTTGGTAGCACTTCCCACACAGCTGGTACAGGATGAAGAACAAGCTAAATAAATGATAACGTCAGTCTAGTTTAGTAATGAATTGGGATGAGACAACCCGTACCTGTGCACGTCAAATTATCTTGAGGAGAGAGGAAAGTACCAGACGGACAACTCGTCACACACTGCCCTTGTGACAAGACGAAGCCAGGAAGACAACCGGTACACTGAGCTTGATTAACAGTGGATGCTGCATTGAAATTGGATATCTGGCAGGTCGTGCACTTCGGTCCACAAGCTGAGAATCGCAAATTGAGCACATGCTAAGCGCGCAAAGTGCGATACACTTACTATCACACTCATGCTTGTTATTATTAGCAATCAGATTGGAGCCTGAGCAAACACCCCCGGTGTTGGTCGTCACGCATGACCCATTAAACTTGTACGTGGCAGGTCCGCAAACAACACAATTGTTCGAATTCGGCCCGGTACAAGTCGTGCAAAGCGGCGAACAAATCGCGCAAGTAGACCCAGCGCCGTAGCTTCCATCAGGACAAGCCGTACCATTTGACGTAGTTTGCGGAAGGGCGTCGCACTTTGTGCGGTCGTTCCCGTCCTGAGTAAAGCCCGATGCGCAAGAAATGCAGTCCCCGGTGCCATCGGCACACTGTTGACAACCTAACTGACAGACTGGAACCAAAGATGAGATTGGGAAGACAGAAAAAGAACGTGTCGTAACTCACTTTCACAGTTCCCGCTTGTATCTAAAAAGAAACCGGCCGCACATGCTGCACATTGAGTTCCGTTTGACGCCGAGGTCCAGCCGCCGATACAGGTACACTGTCCATTAGCACCACATTCTCCGTTGATACAGTTGCAGCTCGATGGCAGGTTTGACACTACTGGCACCAAGCAACGCCCCGTTCCCGAGATTCCATCATCACATGAAGTACACCCTGACGGACAGGCCTGGCACTCCGGTCCGAAGAAACCAGACGAACATGACTCGCAAGATGAACCAGTGAATCCACTTGAACATTGACATGTTCCAGAAGCAGAGCAAATGCCATTCCCGGAACAAGCCGGTGAACAGGTTGATGATTGCAAGTTGAGTAACGATAGGGATCCTGAGGCGCTCGCAGGGAGCTGGCTGACGTCAGGAACAGAGTTCCACAGAATGACACGGCTATTGCTTCCGGCTGATACAGCTGCCCAGACGTTCCCTGAGAGGGCAAATGAGGAAGCAGTAAATGGAATGGATGTATTTCCGACGGGGGACGTGGGGAGGCTTGAATATGATCCTTGTCCTGAATAGAAAGCTTGCGGATAGATAGCAAGACCAGGTTGAAGTGCAATGTTGAGTGGAAGAGAAACCGAAGATCCAGCACTCGAGCTTCCGAAGCCAGTGGACGGAGAAAGTTTGGCAGAAGAAGACGTTAACAGCTCATGAAGTAGCTCTGGGTTGGTCGTGGATGTATATTGCCCAGGAAGAAGAAGGACTTCGGTCGATATTCCAGATGCTGAAAGAGTTGCTCCAACTTATCATAGCCATGAGTACGACGATGTATGCTCCAGTAACTTTTTGACTCACGAGTTGTATTAGAATAACCTTGCAAGCATTGACCCGCAACGCATACAACAGAAGAAGAAGATTGTGCGACTGAGCAATGGCTAGCGTCAGACAGATTGAGCGCAATGTTATGCAGCTTCGCACTCACCAACAGACGCGCCAAAGGCGAAAGTAGCAGCAAATATGCTCGACAACATGTCGAACTAAGAAACGTGTAGTGAGAAGGAAGCAAGAAATAAACGCGAAGCTCTATCACAGAAAAGCATGGCGAGCGTGGCCTTTTGTTATTTAGAAGAATAAGGACGGTGGGTTGCTGCTCGACCAAGAGAACAATGCTTCGTCCAAGAACAATAAGCAAAGTGCATTTCAAACTTCCTTATTTGGCAATCCATGCCGACTCGCGACATTACATAATTGTTCCAGGCCACAATGTACAACGCCGTGGACTGCGCATACTAGTATTAGAGTTGTTAAATTTAAACCGGTGTTTGGGGGAGATAGAACAATATTTAATGATGACAACATAGCGCCTAAAACTTCTAGCTCGTTTATGTCAATGATCAGTCTCACTGAGCGCTGATTACATGTGTATGAGGTACTGAAGCGGCCAAGCTCGGGGATGTGACATTGGTGCCTTCAGCGCAAAAGTTCGAGAGCGTCGGCAATAATTAAGAAACATCTCACAACATGTAAACAACATAAGGCATAATATTCTACCTCAATTGAAATAAGTACATTCGTAATCGTATGTTTCTGGCTGCGGTAAGAGTCCAGGCATGTGGTTATGGCTGTTATACAAGTCCATTACAAATGACTAGGAAAAATGATGCTATAATATCTCAAAACAGGCCCCATAAAGGATGCCGACAACCTAGAAGCGATAGGTCAGCATCAAGTTCAAAGCGACATGATAAACATGGATCAGAAAATTATTTGGCAATAGAAGTTATCTCCACAAGGATCAGAACAGGTCTGAAGTATCTCATCAGGAGAAAAGCACAAGGAAAGACGCTCACATGGTGATATACAGTGTGCCGACAGTATATGTATAGTACAACAATTTGCAGTGACACTGTGGAAAAAAAGATTAGCACCAGGTTTAAATCATTACTTGAGGCAAGAAGGGTCAGAAAAAAAGGCAATATCAAGATGTCCGCATGTAGGTCTCGGAACAGGTCTGATGTGTATCATCCTGAAGGAAAGGTGAAATATAAGACTTACACAACTTTTATCGCACCCGCATTGGTGGCATGGCTGTTGCTATAGGTTTCCATCGTAGCCTGGCCGGGGATGGACAACCATACTCCCAGTCGACCCCCTCCGCATCATCATCATCGTCATTCATATCGCAGTCCTCGACGTATACCCCCACACCTACGCCTTCTTCAGGTTCCAGTAGCACTTCTCGGCTAGACCGCCTCTCCTGCAGTTTCAACTTGTGAAGTGCAGCTATAAGATCATCCGCGAGAGGCGTAGCATTTGGTGGTTCTTCACGAATTTGTTCCCAGCCGATGGGTGGGGATCCAGGTGGTGAGATAAGGAAGTTCTTTTCGATTGGTGGAGGACGTAATAAATTTTCATCTGCCGTTGGTGACGACGGTGAAAATATGGGATTGGGTTCGGAACGATATACTCTCAAAACCGTGGGTATTCTGCGCAAAAAGAAAATGAGAAACACGATGAGTACTTCGAATCAGACCACGTACCTGTGTGGGAGAGTCAAAATAAGAGGATCACAAGCGTTCTTCGCGACCTCAGCGGCCTCCTCTGCATAATATACCAGGATTATACGGCAAAATGATGCTATCGGCACCCATTGGTTAATCTCGCCGTACGTAGCAAAGTGGTCGCGTAAAGCATTGATTATCGAAGGTTGGAAAAATGTTCGAGGAACTTGTGTTATAACAAGCGAATTTGTGGGCTGAGTAGACTTGGGTGATGCAAAAGAGTTTGCACGTTGGGTCAGGATCGAAATATCTGGCATGTCGTGGCTAGTGCTGAGGTGGGAAGTAGTCGTGTGTTGCCTCGAACGACATCGAACTTTGAACTTATATGTACTCGAAAAAAATATCCGTGGTTACATAATCGCAAATGCAGCTACACTGCCTTCAGGGACCGGAAGAAACACTCAGTAGGCCAGCGCAGCAACAATCGCAGCTTGAACACAGGTTATTATTTACAGTATACAGGGTATGTCGGAAATGCGGTGTCGTGGGCAGTCCTTGTAGTTCTTTTGTGTTCTCTATCGATGCGAAGACCTTTGTCATGTCACTTGGCCACTTCTCAAAGGAAATTCGGTTGACTCAATCTGGATTCAAGTTGATGGTTTCACAGCCCAATCGCACGAACAATACACGCAGTGTTAATAGATTGTGAGAATGCGTATGGACAGGTCCAGATGTTTGTTATCAAGTCTCTTCTAGAGATAGTAAATCGAACTTCAGCAACGCTAGTACTTTATCATACACCCCGACTTCCGAGTCTGCCAATGTCCAATTCCTACAATTATCACATCAGAACGATCGTTATGCACGCAAGCGTTTCTGCACAGCATCTTGCTTCTCCTTGAGAGACTGCAATTTCTCGTCCTTCGTGGCGTCATAAGCGATGGTGACCTGATTAAAGCTGTAATGATGAATACGCATGGATCAGTCGTCATATTAAAAAGGCTGTATAAGCCTGATGACTGACGGGTTATCCGGTGATTTCTGGAACTGCTTGTGCAACAGATCCTGTATATTCAAACGTCAGACATCTCGAAATTGCGCTCACGGCGGCACTGACCTGATATTGCTGCAGGCGCAGCCCGGGATGCTGCGGTTGAGTAAATAGTACGTTAGCCTTGTACTTCGCCTACTGGGGATGCGGCTGTACCTCGTCTTTCAGTTTTGGCAGCTCGCGTTCCTTGTAGGCTTCAAACGCAGCCTAGGGATATTATAAATCGTGTGTTAGAAATATACCATCAAGTGAGTTCTCACCTTAAATCGGCGCTATTAGGTGGTAAGTGTGTCAGTTATTAGCATAGCCTCAGGAAGAAACAATCTTGCCTCTGGGTGCCTTTCGATACCTGCAGCTTGTTGCCCTACACTGGCCTTGTCCATCTTTGCGGTCACTACCTCCAGTAGATCCAGTGCATTATCGATGCCAGTTGCAGCATAGCTTTCGATCTCCTTAGGCGGTTCATCCTTGACATTCGTCTCTGTTGCTGGTATTTCTTGACTCGAGCTGCCTCCAGCTGCGATTGCTCCGGGACCAGCTGGTTTGACATCTTTCTTCTTTTTGGGTGCTGTCTTGACTTTTACGGGAGGGGCAGCTTCCTCCTCTGCAAGCAGCCGCGCATTCTCGGCTTTGCGGGCGAGCTCGGCTAGACGCTTGGCTTCCTTTTCCTCCTTAGCTTTGTTTCCCTTGGCGCCATCCTCCCATTTTTCAGCCTCTTTTTTCCCCTGTCAACACAGATTAAAGAATTCTGTACAAAGGCCATGCTGATATACGCACCTTCTCAGCAGCTGTAGCCTCTTGCTTCTTCGCCTCGTTCTCTGCCTTCTTGGCTCGACCACTCTCTTTTTTTGCGTTGCCACCTTTGGGAGCCATTAATTCTGAAGGTGCGGATATCAATCTGGTATAATCAAGGAAGAAGGTTCGAGTTCAAAAGGCCTTCAAAGAGCCCAACACTTAGTCAGATATTAATCTAATCTAATCTCCAGCGGGACCCGGACAACACTTATGTAACACAGCCGACCTCGTGTAATTCAAACAAGTGCATAGCTTGACTTAGCCGTTGAGCAGCCCCATTTAAAGCGCTGCTGTACCAGTACTTTCTATACCCCAACACACCCGTTTCTTCTGTGTTCTGCATCTCTTTTGGATACCACATCATCCTGTCGTAGATTCCCATCAATTCCTATTAGTACCATCATTTCATACGACGCTCACATCAATGGGTGATTCAACTGTGAGCAAGTGGTCTGCAGGAGTAGGTTGTAAGTGCGATTGTTCAGCTTTGTGTGTCGCATACAGATCGATGCGCCCAAACAGACGGTCCAGTCCTTTCCCAGACTGATCTTTATCTGCTCAATACCGAGTTGCAACTGCACCCGATCATGTCTGGTACAAACCATGGCTTCCACCTCATGTTCAACCTTGTCACTGGTATGTCGTCTCAGAATCGATATCCGATAAGAGCTAATGTTTCGTAAACACAAGGTTCTACTGGCGGCTTCAATCCTAATGACCGGGATCGTGATATACCATTTTCTGCCAAAGACGAGCCTGCAACGCTTCCCCGCGTTCAAGATCTTATCATCATTACCGAGTCCAGTCCGTGGTGCACGGTAGTGCACAATGACCGTGGTGTTACTATGGGCGATGTCTGTAGCACGATTTGGAAAGAGTGAGTACCTGTCCAGCCGCCTTAACGTCCGAATCTAACCTTACCGACCCAGGTACACAGAGAATTTTGTGACCGATGCAGAATTCAACGTTCTCCCTCCAAGGCTCCAGGAACAAGTAAAGAGGGCCGCTACGCACAATAATGCCTCCGGTGCATCTTGGAACATGTATTACACCACCCCTGCACCAAATCGGTATAAACGGGTTGGTGAGTTATCCGTGTAACTTTGCTGTTATGCAATGTCTCATACAACCTCTGTAGATTGGCTTCGAGACAAGTACTACTTTGACGGTCTGTCGAAGAAGGACAACTACTCGATTCAGCGTCTCGGTTTCAAGGCCCCCAACATTTTTGTACTAAACCTCACTTCATGATGGCCCCGTACCGTCACGCTTTCCGCCATGCTTCATGATGTATCATACGTCGCGTACTCTATGCTAACCCTTGTCATATCTAAGGAAGGCCCCATCCCCGCATTGAGCTGTGAACGTATGATCAGGCGATTCTCGTCGGAGCAACTCTGAACGAAATCAACGTATCGATCAGATGATCAAGTTAGAGCTCTGCCTCCGAGATCATCGTCGTGATCGGATCTACATTCATTTCAGCATGGGAATCGAATGGTTCATGAAGGACCAGGAATGATCACCCCAATGACTACCGGCATTGCCCATGCCAAGCCCGAATTGTGGCGAGTTTCAAGAGCATAGGGTCCCCAGTGTAACGCTGGAGCCCTGAAACGGAAGGGGGCCTCGAAAGGTACAACAGGGTCGACAGTTTTGACCCTCATTCCGACCGCACCTGCGATTGGATGCTAGCCAACATCAGCGAACTTGGTGCCGCTGAAACATCGTGGAACCGCCTTGGTTGTAGGCGGGATGACTGTCTTATCCCTTCTAACTTACTCTCAGATCACTTAAACCTCTAGCTAGGGAAACATAGAATTGTAGGTGTCGGAATATTATGTGTTGCGAATATACACTTTGAACACTTCCGGTTTCTCCTGGAAGCAAGTGCGTCATAAGTCCAGGAGCAGGGGCCTATCGCGTTGATATCACAACTCCAAATTCAGCGCCGACTGTTCAAATCAGTAGCTGGGGCCCCAAAACTCGTCTGCTGTCCAATTCAAGAAGTAATTCCTAGGTTGACTAATGGAAATGAAAACCAAGGAACCCCGTGTCGTGTTGATCTGTCACATCGGTTGTCATCCTCACGCTATACATACTCGTGCGATACGCGGTGGTGACTACATTTAATTGTCCAAGCTCGGATCCAACGTCTAGATCCAACTTGGATGATAAGTAATCTAGTGGAAACTTCTCACATCAAGAGCACAGCGAAGCCGCTCAGCGGGCGCGCAAAGTTCCATCGTGCGCTTAACTACTTACACCTGAAGGCGCTCGAGCTGCATTATGATGCCATCATGATTCATAACTAACGCCCCGGTCCCCGGATGTACAAATGCATGTGACAATGTGTTGCAATTATGTAAAAGTAGGCACAGCCACTAATCACTGACTTGCTCAGGGTAGCCGTCGGCCCATCTAAGTCCTTTCTCATCTTCCCACTGCCTCTTTTTTTCCCTAAAGGTCATTGTCAGTTTGCTTGCATTTCTTGAATCTTATAGCAGCAGCTGTGTCGAGCGCTGTCTAAACCTCGAAAGGCTGTGGGATTGAATCAGTGCAGGAAACGTACGAGGTTTCTGAAATCAGTCGATTTCACCATTTGGATTCACCACATACATTGAGCACGTTCTCTAACTGTACCCGCAGGTAAAGAGATACTGGCATCTATCCCGCGATATGGTTGATATGATGCTCCCTTCTCAGGCCTTTTTGAGCACTCAGACCGAGATATCGGCACAATCTATTCGAATTTATCCTTGAACCACCTCAAGTTGAGCCTGTGCTATACGTCCTGAGTTACCTGTGCATTAATAAGCGTGACCTAGGTTTCCTTGCATTTCCTGTGAGGCGAATTCTATACCATTATGCTTTAACCCCGAATTGATGCCTTTATTGGTTTCTGTCAGTGACGGCGTGACACACACTGCAATCGCATTTATATCTAGAACACCAGCTCAAAATGCTATTCGAATCACCTGAGACAGCCAATACTCCTTTCATACCCCCCCTTCCCTCTCCCGAAAGTCTCGCGCCACCAGTCATTCCTCCAGTACCTCAAAACCACCACCCGCCTGCGTGGGCTCAACAGCCCCGCACGCCAGGGCAATACCCATATTACCCCCCGACACCGTATAATACCACGCCATTTATCCCTCCCGTAGCCACCATACCCACCGCGCATTCTACTCCTATCATGCCTCAAAGCTCCTACTTCCCCCCTCCTGCCAATCTTCCAAACATATATGGAGCACCACCTGGTAGTGGATTCTCGGCTGATTACACTGGGTATCCAAACGGCAACCCATCACCTTATGTGCCTACCCAACCTCCTCCGGGTACACCCTGGCCAGCGTCGGCGCCAGGGACAGGATACACGTTCCAACATCCGCTACCACCGGGTCCTCACGGCTGGGGTCCCCAGCTAGGGGCATTCACACCCGCAGGATATCCGCCAGGAGCATTTCCTACTCCTGCGGCAGCGTGGGGGATGCCTCTGCCTGGTGGGCCACCACCGAACATGTATGCTGGTCACACACCATGGGTGCACCCAACTGCACCGCCCCCTGCGCCGCCACAACCGCCTGACACTGCTCGCGCGAACTTCCGGTGGACGAGCAGTGCGGACCATATCAACCATTTTGCCGAAGGGCCACATTGTATGCGCCTCATATTCAGGCTGAGATGAATGTTTTCTGATCCAGTATCATTTTATTAGATGGACCCGTTCTCGAGCCTTTTCTTGTAAGGGCGGTATCGGCAACGATTAGCATCAATCCCCTCCTATCTCCACCTACAGACTCGCATGAAGACTACCTCCGCTGGAACATGATTTTCCCAACGAGTACTTGTTATCGCACAACTGGGCCAAAGCGTTCGTGGATTAAAGGACGCGAGGCACCCGCTACGTTCCCGCGCTTGTCACACATCCGCATCATCTCACGGTCATTCCCGTGGATGATCTCTGTCAAAGCTAGACGCCAAAACATTGGTGTGACTTGCGGCGAAGTGATCGAAGCCATTTCTTCCTATTTTTATGGGGACGTCGCGAAAAAGGAGTACGAAGGAGTTACAACCCGTCGCCGACGGGAGATTTGGCAAGCGTATCAGTATAATCGCTCAACGGACAGCAACGTCCCCGGCGGCCACCTGGGAGAACAGCTGAGACGCCTGGATTGGCTCTGCAGTAATTCGAGGTGGGGCGGTCTTGTCCGTAACGATGAATTCATCAAAGAGGCTTGTGGAGACGTCTTGCCTTGTACTTTCGAGCTCAAGTGCATCCCAAGCTACCCACTTAGTCCAGAGGAAGCTAGCGAGCAGCAGCGGATCGCGCGGCATGCTGAAAACCGTTCTCGTTCTCGTCCAAATTCTCGTCCAAGGTCTATGGCGTCTCGATCTAACTCTCGTGAAGGACGTGACACAGAGACTAGTACTGAGGAGGAATCGGAAGAACCGGAATGATATGTTTTGCATGAACAAGACACGTTACCAGGATTTTTGTTCTTGTTTTAAGGGGATCTCTCTTCATGATGTTTCATATTGTAGCCGTGACCTTTTTTGGCACGTTTATTTTTCATATATTGTTCTATTTTTGCTGTCCAACAGCTTACGCCTTGGAGTAGAGTTCACTTCACTCTTGTACAAACAATAAAACCAAGTGTTCCAGTGACTTAGACACAATAATGCATGGTTCTGTATGCTGGTCGTGTATTAAGCAAGTGCTACTTTGAATCCCGACATGAACATCATGATGCTGCGCAGTTACTACCAAAACAGGAAAGCCGTCGGAAACATATGTTACGGGTCTACTAACTTGTATTTCGAAGTTTCATACGGGGGATGGATCGATGAGACCTGAGACAATAGAGGTAAGGTGAAGAGTGAAACGATGACTAGTATTTATTGATATTGTTACAGGTTGTGGTCCTGAATCCTGATAGCAAGTCTCAGTGTGATACTGGTAACAATGCCTACAATGACTTCAAATTGTTCCACCATCCACATTTGCCTTACATAAATCTTGGACATGACTGTGGTATATAAAGCGCAGGCATTTCCTCTGCATCGTTATCCCACTTCATCTCCTATCTTCACCTCACACAGTCAATAGTTAAACCAATCCTCGATGAACATGGACTCATTCGCTGATTCTGTGCTCTGATGATCGTCCCGTGCTGCACTGGATGTCAGGCAGGGCACCCCCAATGTCCTGCGTGACATCTAGATTGTCCCACAAACGATGCTCCTCTCAAAGTCAGGTGAACACCCCACAATGACACACAACCAAGTTGCGGGGTATTCACCTGGCTGATGAGATATGCATGACATATTAATCTTTGCGTGTTCTCCCCATAACAGGACATCCATCAAACTCCAAGTCTTCAGGGCCAGTAGCTTGTGGTTGACCTGTGTCTACCCTTGTGACGGTCGTAGCACTGGGTTGCACCAACACATAACATCACTGAAGAGTGAGCATTCACTGGCATGTCCTCCTGTTTCCACCCATAAATGATGCTAAAAATATACTGTTGACTATGGTAGTGATGGGGTGCTCGAACCAGACATGTATTTAGTCCACGGGCCTGGCAGTGGGAGTCCAGCACGCGAAAACGTAGTCCTTAGGAGTGTACTCCAGGTTGTGTGAGCCTAACTTGTTAGAAGACAAATGTAGTACCACTGATGGCCCAGCGACCGTTGGACCCGTTCGGCAACCATCTGTTTGGGACACGGTCAGGCCAACTGAGGGTGAGGAACATGAGTCCTGAGAGACAAGGCAGAAAGCATGAAAAATCAAGTAAAAAATCTACCAGAACACCTAGAACACAACACATGTGGATTATTATAAATAATGCAGAACATAAATAACCATGAAAGGCAGGTGGAAGTGTGTGGATGAGGATGAAAAGCAGTAGTATGGCATAGTTGTAAGAGGTGGGTGGAGTATAGCACAGCGACCTGTGAGTGTTCATTCAACGATGTCACGTGATGTCATGTGATATGTTGCGAGGGGGGGGAGTGACTTGAGCTGGAGCCTGGGAGAGCTAGGATCTTTCACATCGCATGGTATGCTCACCCTTCCGATAAGGGCGCTTGAACGGCTTTCTGCAGCCTTCACAAACAGCCCTAATCTTCCCCTCGTGTACCTCTCTCACGTGGCGGTTGAGGCTACCCTTTGTGAGGAGTGTCGTGCACCCGGACCGGATGCATTTTATTTTGCCCTTTGCTTGGCTGGCCTGCACAACGGGGATAGACTGTTGCGCATTGGGTCTGCCTGAAGAGTTCAATGTGACATGCTCCTTGGAATGAATGCCCTGAAAAGATTGCACATCGTGCTCATAGGCAGTATCAGACGTGCCACGGAGCGATAATTCTAGTGATACATTGTAAGCGTTTCAACGGCAAGCTACAAATGATAACGAAGTCACCGATGGGAGTGTCCACATCCGCCAATGATGATTCTGTGACACGTGGATCATAGAACAAAAAAGCCTCAGAGTAGATGCTGTGCTGAGCCTGAGTTGCATAGTCAGCCAAACTAGGGGCGCTGTGGGACAACAGGCCTATATGCAGTGAGTGTTTGAAGGAAGGACTGCATATGAAGAAATTTACCTGTACTCTCTGACAGCGAGCCGGGGACCCCAAATGTTCCATGGAGTGCAGGTTGTGACACAAGATAACGGTTGTGTGAAGATACTACAAACGGTGTACTAATAGCATCAAGGCCATAGAGTCCAGCTTGGCAGTCGATGGTACTATCATATCTGCCCAAATTCTCGATCGTGGCATCTGACCAGTGGTTGTTATTAAGGATATCCATAATAAGGCTGTGGATCTCCTCGATCTCCTGTATTTCTTTGGGCATGCGCTGCCCTAATCCATCGAGACGCTGAAGACAACACTGCAGTCTTGTTGAATGTTGGTCAGGGGCCTGCCCTGCCAGTGACCATAGGGACGACGGGTTTTGTAGTGTTGATCTGGATGAGTTCATGCTGAGCTGGTGTCTTTGTTTATGATGTGCGTGTGGGTTATCCATCTGTAGACTCTAGGCGGCAGGTGAAGTGGTGCGATTGTTGGAGAATACTTGTCAGCTTCTGGGCTTTTATATCATGATGCACGATGCCCATGGCACGTCTGGCAAGTATAAGCTTGATCATGGTTACAGTATAATTTCCATTCAAGTTCATCCAAGTCTATCAACTCTGTGGGGGGGCAATGGCGGGGCCATCAGCCGTCCGTTGGTTACCCTCATGCTGTTAGATGAAAAGAAGATCAGATTTCAAGCTGAGCCACCAGTAAAGTTGCATACTGACTGAGGTCGCAGCAGGCCATTGCTCAAATTAGAGAGGTGATCATTGGACACGCCAGCACTGCGCTCTGGAATGCTCCTGCGCCTGACACGCCTACACCTGATAAGGTGTACCACTACATCATCCAATGTTGTACACGTGGCGTCATGGTGGCGACTGCTGGAGGAAATGATTCAGGGAGCGACATGTGTAGAGGATGCCCACGCCCAGGTGCAACCCGCAGGTAGTGTGTGGATCGGGTGCTATGGGTTATGGGCTGGCTTGGGTGTAGACTATTGCAACTTCCAAGTCGACTCAAAGGTTGTTTGCATGGATTCCTCCCCTTGCAGCGGACTCTGATCACCAGGATTATCTCCCAGGTCCAGAATCAAAGCTCGGAGAGTGCCATCAGGGTACTATGATATTGATGCACTTTTGATTCATATAGCCTCAGTCTAGTAGTCAAAATTATTTTTGCCATAGTACAAACATAGTTGAAAAGAGCTGAAAACGCTCGCAATACATTTTGCCGACTTCTGCCATCTGCCGAGAGGCCAATTCCTTTCTGCCTATGACACTAATTATAGAAGAGGTCATGTGAAGAACCTTCAAGGATATAAAGTGACGCCTATGATAACATGAATTAGCCGCCGAACGAGCATTTTCCTGCAATCGTTTGCAGGTCAATTACCTTGAACAGGGCATCAGTTCACAGGCCTCCAAAGCTCATGGCTATTGGTTCATGGTACAAGACCCCGTTTTTGAATGATAAAATGCGGCTCAAATAATAAGTTAGTGTAAACCGGTGGTAAGGTTAGTGTGTTGTTCCTGTCACAGAGATTGAATGGCTTGCTGACGCTTGTGAAAGAACAATATTAGCGTCAATCGTGACAGAGTGGAAACTTTGACATTTAGGTTATATTGTGGGGTGGCGGTCATTGTGCATGTGCGGTATTTTAGTGCATGTGCGCCCAAGAACGTACCTATTAATTTAGCGCCCTCCCACTGGAACAAGATCTTGCGGTCCTTACAGCAGCACTAGCCCCACAGTAATCACTTCCTTGCCGCTTTAATTGCCTTCTCTGGGTGTTCTATCTCGTCGTGCACCTTGCATGAATCGACTTTAAGCCTGGTTGGTGCATTTAGGGACGCTCAAAGTTGAGGGCACTCAGGATGCCCACGCCCACGCCCAGTACCGCCCCCCCCCCTCAGGCTTGTCTTTCCCGTTTTGTACATATCCAAAATAATTGCAGTTCGAATGAAATGTTTCTATGGGTATCTTGCGCGTTATTATCATGGAATTCCATTCATTCCGACCCATTGATCGTCCCCGTCAGGGCGATTACAACATGGCTATATGGGCGAGTCCTGTGGCACTGGTATTCATCTTGAGATATACATGTTGCTAGAACAGGCCTGGAAGAAGCCTGCACGATCCATATTTTCATTTATTCACAAGAGATGGATTGAAGCCCAGTACGTACTACTGCCATAATTATAAACACATGACTCATGAGCGACACACTGGTGGCCGGGTAGGGGCTGGCAATATAGCAAGCCATGGATGATGGAGGGTCCGCCGATCACAAATTTCAAACATACCACCAAGCCCTCGCAGTCGCACAAATTCCTCGGTGTCATCATAGTCTTAATAATCTTAAGCTGCAATCTAGTCTCGTGAACCAGCCACCTTGTCTGAAAAGGGAATGTGTGACAAGGTGTCTGGAAGAACTTCCCTTAGAGGCAGTAGAGTACACTTTCAAACTTTGCATATAGTACCAATGGTACCACATTGTGCTTCTAAGAAGTCCCAGCTCATGAACACGTCATGTCTTCTCCGTCTGTATTTGTCGCAATGGTGCAGCAAAAACGTACCAGAAACAATGAAAATATAGTCTTCAACATTCTCGACACATCTGCACCCCCACAGGGCCTGTTTTGGTCTGCTTGTATGTCAAGAATACTTGGAGCACACGGTGGCGAAATTCTCACGCTTGTGCACCAACGTCGTCCTGATGTGATGCGTGTGTGGGCTGTGCTGACATTGTTGCGAGGGAGGGCAAATTCTTAGCAGAATTCTTGCGACTCTCTCATGGAGAAGGTGTTTATTTTAGGCAGGTGGTCTTTGGATAGAATACAGGCAAGAGCTCAGGACAATTTTTTTTTGGGATCCTTGTTTATTCTCCTGTAGGGTGGGGCCCTATGGTGGACATTACTTACACTATTTTACTATGCGGCATATGCATCGTAACTCTGGCTATCGGTGCTTTGCAATGGTCCATGCGAGAGCAGGGACTCCGGAGATGTCGGACTCTTAAGGCATTGAGTTGTTGTATTACAGATTGAGTGCGCTTCCTTTCCTTTCTCCTTCCTCTGCTACCTCTATCCTCATTTCTTCTTCTTTGGACACATATTACAGTGACCTATCTCCGTATAATACGAGGGAATGGACGTGCATAATATCCCGTACAATACGGGCCGGCGGACCATGGGCCCATGGCAAAAATATCCTCGACCATGATGGATGGGCCGGGAGGGAAATTATTCCCGATGGAGGCGGGTGGGCCCATGCAGGGAATATGTAGAGTAAATGAGTGGGCCGATGTACATGAATATTCGGTAGACGGGTGGGCCGAGGTAGTTGGATATAATGCAGATGGGTGTATTAAGGTAGATGTGTATCAGATAGAAGGGTAGGTACTTGGTATCACATTCATGGATGGGCCCAGACGCATATTAAATTAGACGGGTGGGCCGAGGGTATTATAAAATATTGTATTAGACGGGTGGGCCCAGACACATATTACTTAGACGGGTGGGCTGAGAGTGTTGTACGAGATATTGTATTCGACGGGTGGGCCAAGGGTGGTATAAAATATAGACGGGTGGGCCCATGTGTATCATAATTGTAGACATGACGGAGCTGAGGTAGTTGTACATCAACCAAATCAGAGGAGGTAATAAATCAAAGTTACCAAGTTCCCGGAGCAGCAGGTGATCTCCTGACAATGGCCTTTGATGACATTTATGTTGTCTTGCAGAACATTGAATCCCGAGTGCGAGGCTTGTGTTGCCCTACGAGAAGCCAAGTTCTGACCACCGAAATTCGAGTGAAGCATACCAACTTCCGAGTGCCGAGGTCTGAGTTCCGAGTTCCGGGACCCAGGACTTGACACAATTCATCAATACTTTCCGTGGCCTTTGATGGCGCTGAGGTTGTCTTGCAGAACATTGAATCCGGGTGCGAGGCTTGTGTTGCCCTACGAGAAGCCAAGTTCTGACCACCGAAATTCGAGTGAAGCATACCAACTTCTGAGTGCCGAGGTCCGAGTTCCGAGTTCCGGGACCCAGGACTTGACACAATTCATCAATACTTTCCGTGTTAAATGGCCAACCAAAGTTGAGATGTTTCTGAAGAGAGCAGGTGCTCTCTTGACATGGCCTTTGATGGTATGTAGGTCGTCTTGCTTTGAATAAGACATAATTCACTGTGTAGTATTTCTTCGCAGACTCTGGAACGCGGTTCAGTCACAAGTATAACTCTTGAAGGAGAGAATCACCTCCATGATTGATGCAGTGAGATCGGATTATGGCTCGATGCCAAATCTAGGCTAGGTTGTCTTGCAGAACGCGAATTCCAGCGTGCGAGGCTTGTGTTGCCCTATGAGATGCCAAGTTCCGACCTCCGAAATTCCAGTCAAGCATACCGAGTTCCGAGTTCCGAGGTCTGAGGTCCGGGACCTGGGACTCAACACAATTCAGTCAATACTTTCCATGTTAAAAGGCCAACCAATGTTGAGATTCTTTGGAAGAGAGCAGCAGGTGCTCTCTTGACATGGCCCTTGATGATGCTTAGGTTGTCTTGCAGAATGTGGAATCTGGAGTGCGAGGCTTGTGTTGCCCTACAAGACTCCAAGTTCCGAGTGCTGAGTTCCGATGTCCGGTGTCCGGGACCCGGGACTCGACACAATTCAGTCAATACTTTCCATGTTAAATGGCCAACCAAAGTTGAGATTCTCCTGAAGAGAGCAGCAGGTGCTCTCTTGACATTGCCTTGTATGTTTCTTTGCCGAATCTGGAACGTGGTTCAGTCACGAGTATAACTCTTGAAGGAGAGAATCACCTCCATGATTGATGCAGTGAGATCGGATTATGGCTCGATGCCAAATCTAGGCTAGGTTGTCTTGCAGAACGCGAATTCCAGCGTGCGAGGCTTGTGTTGCCCTACAACACCAAGTTCCGGAATACCAAGTTCCGAGTTCTGGGACCCGGGACCCGGGACTTGAAACAATTCAGTCAATACTTTCCTTGTTAAATGGCCAACCAAAGTTGAGATTCTTTTGAATAGAGCAGCAGGTGCTCTCTTGACATTGCCTTGTATGGTGGTTAGGTTGTCTTGCAGAACACAAATTCCAGCGTGCGAGGCTTGTGTTGCCCTATGAGACGCCAAGTTCCGACCTCCGAAATTCCAGTCAAGCATACTGAGTTCCGAGTGCCGAGGTCCGGGACTTCCGATCGTGTAGTATTTCATTAAGAAATGGATGATCATACATCTTTGACAGCCAACATCATCCAAGCGTCTCTTATCTGATCCTCACTATCTCCACCCCCTTTAACACTCTAGTCTGGACATCCAGCAATCAGCTTCTGATTTCCCAAGAACAACATCCAGCATGAACGTTTCTTCCTCTTCCACTCCTGATGACATAAACATCTGGCGGACTTGGGCCCTGACTGTCACTTATGCAGCAGGTGAATATACTGCACAGAAATTTAGTGCAGAGAAGACTGGAGGAGACCCAGTGATACCTTCTCCCAACCTAGACACTGAGCTGGTGATGGCGTGCGATCGCTTGGCTGATGTGCTCATCAAGGCATATAAAAATCCCAGTGGGTCTTCCTGTAGATTCAAAAAATTCCTTCATCATTTAAATTCCTTCATGATAGTTCAGATGCAGATGGATATAGCAAGATATAGCAAATTGATCTCCCCAAAGGACACCGGGCATAATGAACAGAGAGAGGCGAAGTTGCTTGAGAGGTGTCCTCCCAGCCATGAAGGCCCAATGTTGGTCGACATGCCCGCCACAATTCTTGATTCATCCGGTGCCATCATCACATGGTACCTCCCAGATGCCCTGACAGACGACACCCAGGTGTGTAATATACATTTATATTCAATGGAAATTGAATATGACATGGAACCTGCAGAAGGAAATTAGGGCAGCCACCGATTTGCTTGCTCCTACCCTCGAAAAAAGTGTAAAGGCCAATGGCAATTGGCAGACTAATCAAGAGCGGTTCAAACAGGGATCGGAAAATGTTGGCTCAACTTCCGGATGCATAAATATATCTCCGGCATGGTATCAACAGGGACACGAGGTGGGATCTGACAAGATGGGGATTTCGGCAGTCAAACTCACCAATCCCATAGCATCTGTCCGATCCGGACGTATCAGCATCGTTGAAGGGACCTTCCTCCGAGAATATCCTCAAAGCCATTGCAAGGCCAGCAGCCATTGCGTCCGCGGCACTCAGGGTGATGCATCCTGAGCAGTACTTTGCAGGGTTGCGAACCTTTTCCAACCTCGGAGAAAAGGCTGTCACCAAGGATCTGCCACAGATGCCAGAGACCCTGCAGTACTGGGCATCTGTGTTTAACACCCTCTCCATCATTTCCAATCGGGAAACCCCTGATCATCGAGATCATTTATCCATTCCTGAATGCTTCGACATTCTCACCACCGTGGGGAACTATTCTTATGGTTGGATGAGAATGCCAAGCCTTCAGCTGGTGCTCAAGTACAATTCCGGGTGTATGATGGCATTTTCTGGAAGGATTGTAAGACATGGAGTTGATCACGTGGAAGGGGATCGGATTGCTTGGGCATGGTATATGAGGGATTCCGTTCACATCTATGCCGGGGTTCCCTCGTGTGGATGGGCTAGTGTGAATAGCCCATATGCCCTGTGAAAGATGAATGAAATCGAACAAGTGGTTACCCACGTAAATTCAAACACACACATACTTGTATCAATTAAAGCATCAACCTGTCCGGAACTCAGAATGCCAATATTTGGTGCTCAATCAAGTGTCAAATAATGTCCCCTGAGTGCCAGGATACCGAGTCCCGAAACATGGCACTCGGCACTCGAGGTGTGAGACTGATTTGACCGAACCCCAAACCACAAATTGGTAGATTGCTGGGGTTCGGGACTGAGCACTTGGCACTCCAGACAATTGTGATGCTTGTCCAGCCTCAATGATGAAGTGCTGAGCTCCGAGTCCCGGATCCCGGATCCCGAGTTCCAGATGCCGGGATTCGGGGTTCGGGGTCCGGGACTCGTGACTCGGCACTTGATAGTGAGTTCCGGATGTCAAGATGTGAAACATGAAACACGAAAGTGATGGCTCATATGTCATATTTTCAATCACCCTGATACCCCGACACAGGACACAAACCACCGAGACCCAGGTGCTGAGCTCCGAGTCCCGGTTCCCGAGTTCCGGATGCCGGGTTTCGGAGTTCGGAGCTCGGCACCTGGGTCTCGGTGGTTTGTGTCCTGTGTCGGGGTATCAGGGTGATTGAAAATATGACATATGAGCCATCACTTTCGTGTTTCGTGTTTCACATCTTGACATCCGGAACTCACTATCAAGTGCCGAGTCACGAGTCCTGAACCCCGAACCCCGAACCCCGAATCCCGGCATCCAGAACTCGGGATCTGGGACTCGGAGCTCAGCACAATCTGTGAGGGTCGATAATATTCTACATCTTGCATAAACTGAAGACTACTCCATTCTGAGTGAATGGGATTACACTCCTTTGGCTCTCTTCAATCTCTCTAGCATCTCAGTGTACATCTCCACCTCTCCCATCTTGGCTTGGATACCATCATCTTGCTCCTCCATCAATGCTACCATGCGTTCTCGAATCCACCTGAGTCCCACCAGTGGTGGAAATGAAGTGTCCTTCACAATCTCAGGAAGAATTATACCATCATCCTCAACACCATACTAGAACAGATAAGTCATCAATCAAGGCAATTAAAATTGAATCTTACCGCCCAACACTGGTAGTGTTTGATACAGCAGGCTATGACCAAATCCCACTGCCATGGTTCATCCGGGATTCTGGCATTTCCCATCCACCATGGACATACATAATCCTGCACGATCCTGGATGGATGTCCCGGAACTGATTCATCATCAAACGCAAGTAGGTGGGATGAAAAAATGTCGTCCGGAACCGTGTTCCAGGTTAGCATCAGATACAACTTAAGGATATATGCGACCGGGACCGGCACAACTGACAGAATGTTCTTTGAAGCGGAGTACTGCAGGACTGGTGTAACAAACGTCTGTTCAAGTGATTACCATTCACCAACAAAATCATCCGGTCAGCACCAACTTACATTCATTTCCCACTTCAGCCCGGCCTTGAAATACATGATCTTGTCAGCAGATGGAACATTGCTAACAGCTTCCCTCTGATATTGAGCGATGCATGCGCGGACGCGCGATCCAGCCATTGCAAAATTGCAGGAAATAGTTGGAAGGTCCAGCTCCAGGGGTTGGTAATGATTTCCGGGATTTGGAGTGCCAGATGATGATGCAGGAGATTCAGGCATGGCAAACACAGCTGTGTGATGCAGGCAAGGCAAGTGAAAGATGGTCAAGATGTGAAGATAAGAGTCACTGATGGATGGATAAGAAATTCAAACTCCGACCCTGACAATTCCCGGGCGTCAATTATGTGTGTGCAAACCAATGATTCATGAGGTAAAACATATTCATTCATCCCCAGCCTCTGTTAACACGTTCCGGAGGTCTTGAAATGCTGCCTGCGCATCCTGTCCCAGCAATGAATACATTTGAGATTGCCTTCCGGAGTAGCATGCATGACCCGGAAGGCGTTTCTCCAATGATTCCTGCATCCGGTCGCCCCATTGGGCTGCTTTCCACAAAAAAAAGTTACATGTCCAATCCATTTCCAATTGGACCAATATCATTTCTTCCTCCCATCGATCCCGTAATGCCTTCGCCCTCAGCCAATGCACTCAGTAAACTTGGGATGGGTCCAGTCAGGTAATCGCAGGACAGGACAAGCAGGGCACTCACATTCCTCATTCCACGATTGATCTGGACCACCGAGGTCGACTTCGACAGACCAAAACCAAGCGAGGGATTCATTCCGTTGACCTCAGGCATTCGGATCGCCCACCGCAGTGCTGATTTTGAGTTGCTCGCGAAGCAGGGGTTTGTATTTCTGAAGCTGGTCTTGCCCCGGCTCAAGTTTGATCATTTGCTTCCTGGTCTTTGTATATATACTGGCATGGAGGGACACTGCCTGCTGCACCGACGTCACCTGGGACCAAGCTCGAGTTTTCAAGGCTTGGGATTTGGCCTGCCTAACAGTAGTTCGGAACAAGATGGCCTTGTTGCACAAATGAATTCGGAGATTGTGAAGGGCATCATTGGCCTGTCCTTCACGAAGCGACATCTTCAGTGGAATCAGGTCCTCGGCCATGCAACGTCTGCATCGATCAACCCCAAGGTTGGATGGCAACGGGATTACAGTGAGCTCAGGAGAATTTGCCCATGTATCAGATGTCTCGGTGAAATCCGCCGGGTCATCATCGAGATCATCGAGAATGTCTATATTCAAGTCGTCAGGGTCATCATCTGCATCAAACCCCTCCCCGAGATGTGTAAGAGCAGATTGAGTGAAGCCATCTATCTGTCCTTGGAGACGATCTCGTTGCCGGGCGATGTCTAATCTCTGTGTCTCCATTGATCTTCTTCCAATTCTTCGGACCTCGATGAGCAATGCAATCTGAGCCTCCTCAATTGCCAACCCGGTCGATATCCATGTAGCCACAGATCTGCGAGAGGGTGCTGCATTGCGGGCGTTGCCCTCCTCTAATAATCTAAGCTCGATCTCCTTTTTGCTCGGTGCTGAGTTCAATGTTAACTCGGACCTCGACAGAGACAATCGAACTCCACACACCCTTCTTGATATTGATCTCATATTCATCCATCGCCGCAGGATCGTCTAATCTACTCGACTGAGCTGTCCTCTCCCTGGCTAACCACTCCGTTTTTAAATGTGCCGGTGCTGCTTCATCCAGTCTGTCAAATGCCTTTCCGCTATCGACGATGCCATTCCTCGCCAGCTTGTATTTACGGCAAAGAGTTCGTTTCATGCGGATCATCTTGCAGAAATTCGAGTCGTTCATCTGATAATCAAGGCATTCTTTTCGGTGCGGAGATGACATTCCCCGAGCTGCAGGGGAAATCAGGTTGAGACGTGCCCATAGTGTCTCCATGATCTCTCCATCGATCCGGTGTAGGGATTCATTTCTGACTAGGCTTGTAGAGACTGTTTTTACCTTACCTTATGTTGGCACTTTGTAGCTTACATAATGAAGTTACCTTTTCACCAGTTCTACTATGAGTCTGAGTATTCAGCAAGTTTCTATCATATTTCCTCTTCTCTGAGCCTTGAGCCTGGTCCAGAAACCCTTTAGGGTCGAATAGCAGCTAGGTTCTGCAAGACCCAACATTGTTCAGACTCACCATTTGAATTGTTGTACCTTCACCGGCCGATGCCCTCGATAAAGTTGGAAGCGTACCGGACATAGCAGCTGTCCTGATGTCCGTGAACATGCCACAACCCGATTCCGGGAATGATTGTCAGTCCCGGTGACATTTCGAGAAATCGGCTCTGATCCACCCGAACCCGGAAGTGTTTGTTGTACTGACAGTTGATATCGTAGAAGGTGACGGCCCTGGTGATTCCTTCCATGTTGTGCTGGGAAGCCTTGCACAGGGCGTAGTCCATGTTCATTTGTCTGCAAGTGATGCATGGTTAACTCATGCACGAGGAATCACATACATTGCTTGCCTTTCGCCTTTCTGAAAATCAACCATGGAGTGAGGGACAAAGCAACCATGTCGGGCACATGCAACCCCCCCGATCCCGGTGGACTCCAGCTTGTGCCGAGCAGCATTAGCTTGATTGACCGCCCGGTGGTTGTTGCAGCTCGATTTCTCCACCGTGTCAGCAGCCTCCGCTAGATGCATTTTATACCTGTCCTTTCCCACCATGAATCCCAGCCCATCTGATAGCCAAACTTCATCGAATGGCTTTATGGGATGCAGATGTTCGGCTTTGAAATTTCCGTCCATCACAAATGACCGGGTGTATTTCCAGCTTGGAGGGTTCATATTATTTCCGAGGTCCCAGTGGCATGGAACAAGACTCACTCATCCAACGACTCATCCCCTGACAACAGCACATTAATGCCGGGCTGAGGACATGCCGGGCAAAATAATGCGAGCTCCCCTGTGCTCGGGTCTTCAGAACGATGGCCAAAGCCATGCCATTTCATTGTCTTCAACTGCCTCCACTGTCGAGCGACCCTCATGAGCTCTCGGTATCGGTCCTTGCCAAATGCTTTGTCAATATCATGTCCAGTAGATGATGGTGGTAATGCATTACCGGAACAAGGTGAGGAAACATGCTGGAGGTCATTCGCCGGAGCTTGCTGTAATAGTTCATCGCCGAGGTGCCGCATTCAAGGTTGTCCAATAGAAAATCATCCAGCACTCTGAAGGTGAACACAGTCTTCAGCCTGTTAAAGGATGCAGGGAAAAATCCATGTCGAAACATTTGAATGTCCGGACTCGTAGCATTTGGGCAATCACAGCATCGAACCTCCAGGCGATGAACACCGGACTTGTCGACGATGACCATGGTGTTTTCCTTGGGCTGGAACTCAGGTCCGGACACAAATGGCAGATCTTCAGGCTCAAGCTGGTCTTCCAGTTCATCTTCTTCGAACAAATTCCACCTATCTGCGAGCGCTGGACATTGGTTGCCATCATGGCCAAGGTGAATGATGAGTCCGACATGAGCCAGGCAACTCCGCTCGAAGAATCGTCCATTCCATTGACTGATCCAGTGAAATGGATTGCTACGATGTTGACTCCTGCAACAGCCCGTGCAATAGAGTGGCTCGCCAAGACAATCTTGACATTTGTAGACCCCATCCTGGTCGCAGATGAAGCATCTCCTGTCTTCTGGTGGAGCCTCTCGATCCAGGAGGTGATGTAGATATGATTCCTGTCTCTGCAGCCATTGCCTGAGGTAATCATTTTGACTCTGTAAGTTTTCATGCTCAACCATGGTTTGAACACCAAAACATATAACATGAACTTGCCATGGTTTGTGGCAGTTGCAAAGGCTCAAATGAGCCCAGGTCTTGCTCATAGGCATTGTCAGGAAAGTCCTCCCAAGGAGTTGGTTCCTGGAGTGGTTGAATTGTGGGTGATTCTGGGGGAGAGTTAGGCATGGACCTGTGTGCATGATGTCTTGTGCTGGCAAGTGGGACCTTGACCCAAGTCTTCCTACCTTTGCTGCCCCTGGCTTCTACCCTGTGGGATTTTTGCACTGGGGTGCATCTACCTATTTTCATCTTATTTACTACTGTTGCAATCAAGGCATAAGCTCGGGTGTAATGAATTGTTATTGTGACATGATGCTGTGAGGTCTTGTTGGCTCATTACAAATTGATTTCCATTAATGGCTTCGCGTCCGATATAGGTCAATTAACCTATTATTAGTCTTTGCTCAAAGTTCAACTTCGCACAATTAATTAATACTTCAACCTTGGCTTATCCCCAGCCCATCCTCCAATCTTATTCACTATGGCAAGAACAGGCCCTTCCACCAACTCAACTTCGGGAAGACAAAGGGCACGCCAGCCAGTCGCAAAAGCTCACGGACAACGAAATTTCGGAGTTGAAGAACTACCTTCCTGAGTGGACTTCGGCAAAAAGGAGCGAGAAGTGAGGAGTTTTCGCTGCCTTAGCAAGGGCGGCCAGATTGTTTGCTCCTAAGGTGGACCAAAAACAATGGAAGAAGAGAAAGCAGGTGATGTGTCAATGTTGTGTTGAAAAACTAAATTTTAACATCGTATACTTCCATGAACTCTTAGATGTACAAGACTTGGTTGTTCAACAACAAGAAAAAGAAGGAAAGGAAGGACATGATCAAGTATGGGAGGAAATGGACGCCCAGGATGGTGGTCTACCAGCAGAAACGCGAAGAGGTGCTGAAGAGGATTGAGGATGAGTCCGGGGCGAAGCCAGGAGATCCTGGTATGTTCAAGCATTATCAGGCGACCGTGAAGAGAGTCATGGCTGAATTGGACGACGACGAGTTGGAGAAGGCGAAGGAAACCGCGAAAGAGTGGTCCAACAACTGTCCGCCTCCGGAGATACAAGCACAAGTTGCTCGCAAGAAGGGACCGGCGTATATGGAGCACTTTTCAAGCGAGATGTGGAGGCAATGCGGGATGAGAGTGTTTGTGATGTCAGCTTGGAAGAATGACAAGGGAGAGGTGCTGTTCGGGATGCAAGTGAATTTTACCCATCTTCCCGGATCTTTGATCTCAACGCAATCATGCAGGCACGATGATAACGAGGCATTAGGAGACGGGGACAGCTTCATGAAGACGAAGGACTGGGAGAACATCGAGCCAGTTTGGCAGGAGTATGCGCAGGAACAGTTCGGTGAGTGTTTGAACTGTGTATACCGGATGTCAAGTGTTGACCCACACCATGATAGGTGCCGGGGCACGGGATGTAGGAAGACAAGTCAAGGGAGGTCACAAAAGAATCCGAAAGCCAGCTTTCGAACTCGACACGGACGATGATGGGAAGCCATTGCTTCTGGACATCACGGACACGAAGCTGGAGGAGAAGAAAGCCATTGTGAGGGCATTTCTCACATCTCACTATCGTAAGTCTGTCTTCACAACATCCGAGAATCTGTTGAATTCATGGATCCAGGGATATGTTCGGGGAAGGACAAGGCTGTTGTGCCATGGAGTGCCATAGTTCAAAGTCAGGATGACTTCGTGGCCTGAAAGTATCTTCCAGCGGATGTTGACTTGAAGGAGCCTTCGAAGCTGCAAAATTGGGACACCACAGCCTTGCTCAATTTCTGGCACGCCCGGCAGGAAAACGACGAAGGTCCCGCATTTCTATTCAAAGCATGGAAGAACAAAGATGGGGACATGGTACCATCTGTCTTATCCAGCAAGTCGCCCTCTCCTCAGACCCGTGTAGTGAGAAAGCAGCATCGGGTCACAATCCGAAGGCCTCGTGATTCGTCAACTGAACTGTTGAGTGATGGCGAGAGAATAGCTCATCCTACGGAGGATGATGTGGATGATGACTCGGCTGATGGGAGATCCCCGCAAAAGAAACCCAGATATTCCTGGGGTCCAGCCACCAAAGGGACGGAGGTCCAAACGTCAATTCCAAAGCCTCGCAAGGCCAAGCCAGCCACATCAGGTGCACTCCTGACATCTCAAATGGGCGATCTCCTGGCCGGGTTAACTGCTGAAACCACAGGAGATGGTACGGAGGAGGTGGAGATGGAGATGGAGATGGACAGGGGGAAGACATCGCCTGCACCAAAGAGGAAGCGGGGCAAGAAAGCCGTGGTGGAACCATCAGCGAGGACCACGCGGAGTAAGTCGCAAATGCCAGTCGACAGTACACCTAGAGTGACCAGAGCACGGAGACGTAGGTAATGTACATATACCATAGTGCCCCCATGTGTAGTTTACATTCACACATGCCGACAACCGAGTACCGAGTACCGAGTCTGGGGTCTGAGTTCCAAGTACCGAGTCCTGAGTCTGGAGTTCGGAGTCCGGAATATGGAGTATGAAGCTCTGAGTCACTAGTCCCCAGGCCGGAATCACCATCATCCGAGCCCCGAGTCCCGAATCCCGAGTATCCTGACTCCCGAGCACCGAGTCCGGTGTCCGGAATATGGAGTATGAAGTACCTAGTACCTACTCTGGACACCGGAATCACCATCATCCGAGTACCGAGTACTGAGTGAATTATACAGTAATTCATGTCCAATCTGAGATTGACTACTATTTACATATGACTGGGATCCTCACAAGAGGCAATGAGGGTATCCAACACCTGCAGCATTTCAGCAGTTGCCTGTCTTACCCTTTGCATCCTCCGGAGGTCCGCATCTGCTTTGCGGAGTTTGTCGCATATTTCTGCCCAAGCCATACGAAAAGGTCTGTCAGCCTCAAGGAGCTGTGCTACAGTAGGGCGAGGAAGAGGTCCATGATGGTGTTTGTATTCATGCATGCAATCTCCAATTGATTGAACTGGCATGGCATTAGCAGAAAAATGCAAATACAACAATCGGATACTGACTTTCGGAATCATCATAGCAGCCAATTGGCTTAAACTCATGAAGCATAGCACGGAGCTCTTCATTGGTGAGTGGTGGCTCGGGCGATTGACGTTTGGGAGTCGTTGAACTTGCTTGGGGATAACATGAATAAGAGCCATGACATGGGATGAATAAACGCACAACTCAAGAGGGGCGCTGGAGCAGCTGGAGTGGCCGATTGAGGGTCCGGAGTTAATTCATTCACTGCGAAAAATGCCATGAAACATTTGCAAGAGACAGGATGAATTTACTCACCAGTCAGTGGTGAATCCAGAACAGCCGGAGGATCATCAAACTCAATCAAATCATCCTCGGGCCCGAGATACAAGTCCGGGTCATTGAATAAAGGAATATCATCAGCCTCAGCCGGACGTGATTGATCTGGAATTAATTCAAGAACTCTCATAGTGAGAATATGTGCATTTCAATTAAGATACATACCGGGAATGTCATCCTCGGGCCCGAGATACAAGTCCGGGTCGTTGAAGAGAGGGAGATCATCAGCCTGCGGCAGATATGATTGAGCTGGAAGTAATTGATGAATGTGCAAAATTAGAGTGTGCATGTGAATTGAGATACACACTGGGAATTTCACCCAAGCCATCCGGACCAGTTGTTGACCCAGCATCAGAGTCCAAGTCCTCATCCAGCCCCAGGTAGATATCATCCAATGCATCTATGAAATATCCGGTCAATTAAATGAAATAACACAAACAAAACATACCTAGGGACATCCGGGACTCAGATGATTGATCAACATCCATTGAGGTGTACTGAGTGACCGGAGGATCATGAAATCTGACACCAGGTTGAGAGCTCATGATGTGTGATGAACTGATGGGCTGATTGATAACTGATAACCAGGAAGTTCAACACATGGCCGGCGCCTGCCGAAAGTTGAACCACGACCAAACAAAGACAAACAATCAGCGATTTTCATCAACGTCCTTCAATTGTGTGATTTCTTTTGAAACCTCATCCCAGTGATAACAGATTTCACCCAGCTTTCAAGCTTTTTACTTGTTTCATCTCAAACAGAATGTCTGCTCCAGTTCAATCCTCTTTGGCCGGTCTCCAGGCCTCCACTGCTCAACTTGTGGGCATCATCACCCGGGCTCAGCTCACTCCGGCTGGCACAGGGGAAGCCCATCTTGCTCTGACAGCACAGGCAACCACCCTTGTGGTATGTAGCATTTCTTTCCTTATCTTGCCATTTGTTTCACTGACATCCGGGTAGGGCGCGATCGCCCGGCAGTTTGAGAAGGGGCCTTACATGCCCGGAGTTGTGGCATCTTGCTCCAGGGAGTTGATGAGGGTGAGGTCCATGACTCCCCAGGTGTGGCCTAACTGGCACAGCATCGGCCATGACGACCCCCGCATATCAAAACACTCCTGGCGCAGCAAGATCCAGGCTTGGGACGCCTTGGATGACCATTCCTGCGATCTCCCGGTCATCCCTAACCCATCCACCGCCCCACTGACTGTTGACCTTCCTTCTCCTCTTCCCATTCCGTCTGCTCCTGTCCATCCCTCTCCTCCTGTCATTCCCTCTGCTCCTGTCCCTCCATTCCCGCCCGGCCTCGCCGGACCTTCAACTCTGGCACCCTCCGGGTTCCGGGACAAAGGCAAGGGTAAGGCGGTTGATGTGAGCCTTGAGCCGGAAGTTGGAGGGAGCAGAAAGAGGAAGTCTCCGCTGATTTCTGGCGAATCATCCCAACCTCCGAAGTCCGCCATGAAGTCTCACAAGTGGCCCAAGTCTGCTCGCATCGTCAAGTCGAAGCCGATTGTGGAGTCGGAAGATGATGAAGACACAATTATTCAGGTATGTTGTCTGGATTATTTTTTACATTCTCTCAATTTTTTGCAGCCACTTTCGCGTGGAGTTCCGGAGGTCGTCCTTCCCTGGATCTCCACACTTGCTCAAGGGACCCCTCACTTGCCTCGTTCACCCCGTTCTCCAAAAAAGAAATCCTTTGGCCCTGCTTCAGTAAGTCCAATTTGTTTGTCCGGATCTCACATAAATGCTGATATGTTATCAGTTGACTGCCGGCAGTCGTCTGGAGGTTCCGGTAAGTCATTTGGAGTTGTTTGTCACTCATGCTAATGATTTGTATGCCTGCAATTTTGTATTAGGAATCTCCCAGCACTCGTCCGGAGGTTGCAGTAAGTCTTCTGCGCTCCTCCGGAACTCGCATTTACACTAATAATTTGACAGGCCACCTCCGGCACTCATCTGGAGGCCACGGAGGACCATGACACTGAGTCCAACGCTTCGGATGGTGATCCCCCAGTCATTGCCTCATTCGACATTACCATTCCTGGCCCAGTGAGTACTCTATATAATTCCTGTTTGTGCAACAACTAACTTGTTTCACAGAACAACCCCTGCCATTATTGTGTCAAGTTCGATTGGCCCTGCGCCACTCGGTTTGACAGGAGGAGGCGTACTCCCTGTGTCTCCTGCATCCGCTGCGCCAGCAAGAAGGTGAAGTGTCAACCTGCATCAATGGGATCCCTGCCCCCACGGACTCGCCCTGGAGGCAAATCCACCACCCGTCGTATGCGTTCCAGCACACCTGCCCCCAAAGCTCCGGCCGCCTCGCAGTCAAGGGCCCGCACTCGCAGCCAATCTCGTGGCCCCACGCGTACTCCGGCTGTCCCTGCTGTGACTACACCACAGGTGCAATCACGTGGTCGCAGCAAAACAATCACTTCCACCAAGGCACCTGTGCCTGCACCTGCTCCTGCAACAGCTCGTAAGTCTCCTGCATTTGTAATGACCAGCTGAACTTAATTTTGCCTTAGCTGTTCCGTCCTCGAGTGTTGCAGTTCCTCGTTCGGCACTCGATGTGCCCATGCCGGATCTCCATTCCATGGCAATCGCCATCCGGGATGGTGCAGCTCGCATTGCCATGCTTGAGGCTCGTGTACGGGAGCAGGATGGTAAGATTGATACCCTGCAATGCCTCCATGAGAGCCTCCGGCGCCAGGTCGTCGACCAGCACCCTTCATTTCCACTTCCGGACATGCCTGCCAATGCATCATTTTTACTCAATCAATCAGTTCCACCCCCCCCCCATCCATGTCCCCCCTCCCCTCTGCACTTCCTGCCCTCATCAATTTGGATATGGCTCATATGGCTGTCATGGAACCCACCCCCTTGAAAGTCGAGGATGGCTCTGACATGATTGGGCTCGTGTTTGAGCCCAGCCAAGTTCAGCCTGAGGGTCCACAAACGTCCGGTGAAATTGTGGTCCCAGATGACCCGGGCAACCTTGTGCCAGAGTATAATTCTGTTTCTGAAGAGATGTATATTGAGGTGCCTGTTGAGCCAGCTGGTGGGGAGGTTGACATGGCTACCTAATTGCTTAGTGATAGATGTACATAAATGTTTTGCAATGCATGTTACCTATGGCAGAATTGAATCATTGAATCACCGAAACCCGAAACACGGCACTCGAAACTGGGTGATCACAGTTGATATCACCCGACCTCCGGACACCCGGACACCCGAAGCCCGAAACTCAAACACCATTGTTAAATTTCACCAAGTCCCGAACCCCGAGTCCCGGAACCCGGAACTTGGAACTCGGGCCTCGGGGACTAAAATGTGAAAGTAAAAAGAGATCTCGTAAATCAAAATCTTTCACAACATAGATATTTTCCCAAGTCCCGAGTTCCGGGTTCCGGGTTCCGGGACTCGGGGTTCAGAGTTCGGGACTTGGTGTGAAATTTGATATTATGAAAAAGTGTAATGTGCACTTTTGAGATTTCTCTTACACTGAAATGTTGAATCCCGAGTCCTGAGTCCCGATGAAGGTTCAACGATACAGCGAGGCACGAACAATGCTCCTGACTGTATCTATAATTGTTGTAAGGTCATGCGTTGCCTAGTCTGCTATACTTGAGACGACAAGTGCGTTCGACCCTAAAGGGGAAGCGAGTGCAGCAAGGATCTAGAGGTATGCGCTGAAAGCGCTACTGGTTGGCCAATGCGAAGCGCGAGAAAGCGCAGGTGCGCGCAAGGCGCGGGAATGCGCGCGTGTATGGCGCGAAGCGTGGGAAAGCGTGCGCGTGTATACAGATATGAGAGAGAGTAAGAGTGAGTTTGCTTAAGTGATGATATGATGTAAGACAAGAGAAGAGAGATGCGAGGTGTAAACAAATAGATTTCTACTATGTTCTGCTAGGTGAATAGTGGGTAGTAACCAGTAAGTCCTCTGTCGTTCTGGTGGGAGAGTAAGTGAGTAAGTCATAGTATGTACTGCTGGCGCTTAAGTATGGCGCCTAAGCGCTGTCATGCGGAGCCGAAGCGCTACCGAGTAAGGTATGTAAAGATATATGTAAGTAAGGGTCCATGATAAAAATAAAGATGGAACGATAAGCAAATGTGAGAAATGGAAATATACGCACTAGGGAACTTGGTGGACAGTGGATGGATGCTTCCGGATGGCTGGCGCTATAGGGCGCTACAGCGCGGGAAAGCGCGCGCGCATATACATCGTGAAGCGCGGGAAAGGTACGCGCGCATGGCGCGCATTGCGCGGGAAAGCTGCGCCTCATATAGAGATAGCTGCAGGTAGCATACAGAGTGATGCTACAAGTTCGTGCCATGTACTCCCCAGTGAAAACTGCCATATTGCACAATGAGAGGCATGAGTCTCTACACCGAGTCCCGAGTCCCAAGTCCCGAGTTCCGGGTTCTGGGTTCCGGGACTCGGGGTTCGGAGTTCAGGATTCAACATTTCAGTGTAAGAGAAATCTCAAAAGTGCACATTACACTTTTTCATAATATCAAATTTCACACCAAGTCCCGAACTCTGAACCCCGAGTCCCGGAACCCGGAACCCGGAACTCGGGACTTGGGAAAATATCTATGTTGTGAAAGATTTTGATTTACGAGATCTCTTTTTACTTTCACATTTTAGTCCCCGAGGCCCGAGTTCCAAGTTCCGGGTTCCGGGACTCGGGGTTCGGGGTTCGGGACTTGGTGAAATTTGACAATGGTGTTTGAGTTTCGGGCTTCAGGTGTCCGGGTGTCCGGAGGTCGGGTGATATCAACTGTGATCACCCAGTTTCGAGTGCCGTGTTTCGGGTTTCGGTGATTCAATGATTCCATTGTAGCACCCGGCACTCGGGACTCGGTGTTCTGCACTGACATTTGACTGATATTTTTGTGAGTTTTGGGCTTCAGGTTGTTGGGTGTGTGACACATAGGATATGCTTCACAATGGCTTCGGGACTTATGAAATGTATCTAAACCCACCTGTATATGTACCCCTCTATGTATTATATATATCACCACACCCTCGGCCCACCGTGTATGTCATATTCCACCACCCCGGCCCACCCATATATGTAATATTCCCCCACGTCGGCCCACCCATCTATGTGATAGATATTGTACCACACCCTCGGCCCACCCGTATATGTGACATTTCCTTACCTCGGCCCACCCGTCCATGTAATACACCCTACGTCGGCCCACCCGTATATGCAATACACCCTATGTCGGCCCACCTGTCTATGTGATAAATATTTTACCACACCCTTGGCCCACCGGTATATGTGACATTTCCTTGCCTCGGCCCACCCATCTATGTAATACACCCTACGTCGGCCCACCCATATATACAATACACCCTTTGTTGGCCCACCTGTCTATGCGATAAATATTTTACCACACCCTCGGCCCACCCGTATATGTGACATTTCCTTACTTCGGCCCACCCATCTATGTAATACACCTTATGTTGGCCCACCTGTATATGTAATACACCCTACTCTACATATTGCCCAGATGGGCCCACCCATCTCCATTTGTGATAATATCCCCCCCGGCCCATCTGTGAACATCAATGAAATATATATCATTGCCATGCATGGGCCCACCCATCTCCAACGGAAATAATATGCCCTCCGGCCCACCCGTCATCATTGAGGATGTACACAACATGGGCCCATGGTCCGCTGGCCCGTCTTGTATGGGATATTATGCAGGTCGGGTGGCCCGTATAATACGGAATTTGTCACTGAAGGGGCTCCTTTGGAGGGGGGAACATCACTGATAAACTGTCTCAATCTTCTCATGCGTGCGATGTAGCCCAGGACATAGCACCAACTCTGTGCAAGCTGTTGTAGAAGGGAGGGTTTGATGAGGGCCTCACTCAACACGCCATAGTAATCATGGACTGGTAGGTCTAAGTCTTTGATACATCATGTACAGGCCTCGTTTATGAATATTATCTTACGCAGGTATTCACAACTATACTCTGCATGCTTGCTCAACGTCGTAATGAACATTCTAATGAATTCCAAACTATGATTTGAAGTCCTACACTATGCCGGAATTACATCTTCATACACCAAGGCAGTCTACTGCGGCCTGACAGTTCCTCAAGACAGAGTTGAAGTTCAACTAATTATTCCTTGAGATGCAGCTGCATGTAATCAAGGAATTCACAATATTTTAATCATTTTCTGAGTCGATGTTCAACCAAACAAACATACATGTCTTGAGTCTTGACGTCGCATAAAGTTCCGCGCGGCCAAAACAAGTAAGCTTGAATCCTAGTAAAGCTTCAAGCTTGTATGTAGACTCAATATTTAAGCTTTAATGTATATTTAATACAACCCATAGCAAGGGTTCGAACCGAGAACCGGACCCAACATATTGATATCCAAACTTCATACCTTAGGCCTTCATAGGTCTTACATAAGTACAAATGTTCCGTTCCATAGTCATTGACTGAGTACAAAACAGGTGTATGTAAGTTTATTTCAGAATGTCTCGACTCGATGAGCTCATGCATGTTTAGGAGTTTTCTTACAAAGTCACCCTGCCATTTGGCTCGCGTTCTCGGACACTATTGCTGTGAAACACTTCCGTGTTCTGAGATGACTCAACCCATCGACAGGATCGACCATCGCCGAGGGACTGTTTCAGAATGCTGATACAATCTTGTGTTCTTTATTTCGTAAGGTGAGTTTCTAATGTGAACACAGTTATATTTTTTGCTAAGTTCCGCACATGTTAGTTTTGTTGGCGTCTCTTGGCGGCCTTCAGCTTGTTAAACTCTCTCCAGGAATCTTGGTGCACCAACCTGTTTCTGATATCTGCGTGTAATCACTGCTCACCATTGCTGCTAGAATTCGAAATCTATTGAAATTTTGATACTCGGTGGTGCTGTTCAAATTTTATTCGTGCAGATGTTTGTGCTGGGACCATGCCTTATTCTTAGCGTTCGAGAATACCATGCCAAACTCATGGCGTACTCCCAGCAATAAAAAATGTGAGTTTTATTTTCGTATGTAATTTTTTCACCACCATCAGGAAAACATTGGCTTACTTAATCTTACTTATTTCAACCTTTTTACTCCTTTTCCCACTTATTTCAAAGGTACAAGTTTGATTATTGCGTCGATTGCTAACATCTTCCATTCATAAGTAGTAGCATCTTCGTTATGTGCAGGTATCAAGAGGGCTCAGGTGGAAGGGCCGTTGCCAAACGATTTTCTCTTTGTCCCACTGCATCATAACAATCTCCGAATCAGCGCCCAAATATCAATCATATCGTAACAGCCAAGACACATCACAACAGTCTTATAATAAAGATCCTCCTCTATGAGCTCACGCACGACATCAATGTTTGCACCCTTGTACATCTTGCACGAGCCACAAAACTTTCTATCTGCTGCGGCTGCATCGACGGATTCAGGCACTCCGTCAACCCCTGTCAAATTCCAAAGTGCTTTAGCATTAGGTACATGACTTGCTGAAGTAAGTTACGTAGGACGCCTTGGCTGACTTATTTCTTGATGTTCTTGAGGTGGGTAGGTCTTACTGCTAGCACCAGGAAAACTACTGGTTGCGTTTTTTACTTAATTTGTCGCTTAATTACATGAAAAGGGACGCATAAGTTGATTGAGCGAAAAAGCGCGAGCCACTTAATTAAGCCCACATGCATGTCTGGACTGTAGGTGCTGTGGCCAGCGATGACCTTGCTTTCGTTTGTTGTTGCACTTTTCCAGAATATCAGGGAATTGGCAGACTCCAGGACCGTCCGGCTGGGCCTGTCCGGGTCCGCTCAGTTGGCATTCCCATCATGATCAACCTTCCAGTGCACGCCCTCAAGGCTGCACAGTGTGCACCATCCAATGGCAGCGGTACCATGTTCGTCGTGCACCGTTGCCACCGTCTGCTGAATCTGCTTGACTTCTCGACTCATTCGTAGCACATCCGCCACTTCCTCTAACACTTTCAAACCCCATATCCTTCAGGAACCCTTTAAGCTTTAACGCCTGCATCTCACTAATGTGCGTACTCTCAGAGATACCAAGGCGCATGGCCCAGTGCATCCATCAACAGCTCTTAGATTTCAAGAGTGCTCGTGGTACATTTCCCCAACTCAAATTCATAGTCACGTGTACCCATCATTGACGAGTTTACTTTACACTGCCCACACTGTCTTCTTCATCCTCGCAGGTATCAAGCAGTCTCATGTGTGGGGCCCTCGCAGCATCATAGTGCCTGTCTCAAACCTTCCTCATAGGCAATACACTCCCGAGGCTGATGTTTGGGCGCTGCGCTGTTCATTCCACAGCCAAGATGCACCAAAAAGTATTGCAAGTACTATAATTACAAATATGCAGTTCAATCAAATTGTCTAAATTTCATGCAGCGGCCCAAATCAACCTCATCCTTCTTTCATCTTTCCTTATCTGATGCCATCGCATTCCCATCGTCATTCTTCTTTGTCTTCTTAACCGCAGGTTGATCGGCTCTCGATATTTGAGTCTTCCTTTTTTACAGCTTGACCTTTATGGATGTTACGCAGTTTAAATGCGCTGAGAGGAGTCTTGTCTCCATTTTACGAGTGCACTTGAAACGGTATTTTGGAAGGACAGAACTGTAAGTCCGTAACTACTAACAATATTCGTAGCAAATGTATGAGCAAAGAGAGAATGCGGAAAATGCCGTTGTTTGTAACTGTGGACGATCTGCATGACCTTGCAATCCTTGACTTATGTGCAGTTTGAGCTGTACGCGAGCCTGCAAGCAGAAAGCTCAAACAAGTGCTTACTAAGCGAGTGGCGCATTTAAGAAGCAACGCACGTCTTTTTCGTGTCCTATTCTTTTCTCTTCTCCTGCGCTCACTCGCTTATTTGTTTCATTAAAAGATTCGAGCGCATATACTCGTTTAACGTAATGTAACTTCGGCGATCAATATTACAATGACCAATACCTCGAATCTTGAACCTCCTCAGGGGGCCGGAGGTAAAAGTGTTCATTCATTCAACCCTGACAATGACAAGGAAATGTCTGAAGGAGAAGTCGACCACCTAGTGGACTCCCTGGGGAGGAAACGAGGTCAAGACTTCGACCCTCTGGACAAGGATTCGGTTGCTGCCGAGAACCTAGCTAGAACCGCTCGCAACGAAAAGCGAGCCGGTCAACATGCTGATCCAAACTTCATCGAAGACATCGAGGACAACGAATCATTCATAGAGGATCCAGAGTCCCCACCTGTAACACCAGTGCCTAATTCTTCTCACAAACTTGCACGCGCCTTTAGCTTCTTGAATTCACTTACTCCTACGACACACAAGGCAATTGAAGCCACTTTTAAAGCGTCATCTTCCTTGAAAGCTTCAGTTACCGCACCTAACACTACATCTACTTCAGATACTATAGTTTTCAAAGATTCCGATACCATTCTTACGAAGTCTACAGACTCCGCTTTCGAGATACCTAGACCCATCCTCAACTTAGCTAAGGCTCGTATTCACGTTCCACTCACCCTCTTGACCGGAGCCTCGCTCCGAAAGATCCACGCTGACCCTTCTATCATCAAAATGACGAAGGGACTAGTCTTGGATGACCCGAAGCTAAGTGTCATGGATGTATCGGTCGGGTTCCCGGCAGAGACCACTTTGACGGGTGACAAGTTCTATGAAGCTTACAGGAACTTCTTGAAGCTTCTCAAGCTCATAGCGGACGATGCTACAGTCAAGAGGTTCAAAGACCATCGCGACTTCTGTCTGTCATGTGATGAGTTCACAGATGATTTTCTCCTTGTCCTGAACTTCGACATCGAAACTAGAAGGAAGTTCTTCAACAATCAAACTTTCCATCGTCCAGACGCATACTTACAATGTTGGAACGAGGTAAATATCAACACATCTTTACATCCGGGCAGATCGTCCAGGGGCGGGAGTGGATCGCGATACAATCCATACCCCCCATGTAAGAATGATGACCCTTCGTCTGTCAGTACGTTGGGTGAAGGAAAGCCCTCCTTTCGGAAGGGCAAAGGAGCGAGCAATTCCGACTCGCTCCTTTGCATCATTTGCAGTTGGAACGGACACAGAGCCAGTGGTTGTACCCACATGCACACCACCAAGAATGTTCCTGTCGTCAGTATGTGGAACGATAAGCTCATCCTCAAGTCTTCCTCTTCCCCCATCTGCATCTCCTTCAATATCGGGAAGTGTCACGCCCCAAAACACTCATCCGATATCATTCACGTCTGTTCCGTCTGTGGCAACAAGTCTCACGGAGCCACGTCCAAATCTTGCTTCTGAAGTCCATAATCGTGTTGTGACACCATACAACACTGATGCGTATGAATCACTCCTTCACAAATACAATTTGTCACATGTCTACCCTTCACTCGTCTTCAATCTACACCATGGATTCCCTATTGGTGATATTCCTCTGATCAACAAAACATATATTCCAAAAAATCACAAATCAGCTCTTGAACATTTGGACGTCATTCGAACGTATTGCCGCGACGAGGTCGCATTGAACCGCATGTCAGGTCCCTTCACCAAAGAACAAGTCTTCGACATCTTGGGAGGTCACTTTGCCTCTTCACCTCTTGGCATTGTAGAAAAATTCGGTGAACCCAGCAAGTATCGCGTAGTGCGCGACCTCTCTTTCAAAAATAGCGATGGGTTCTCTGTGAACGGACATCTTGACTCAGACAATTTCCCAACTGAATGGGGTACAGCTACCCAAGTGGCAGAGCTGGTGAGGATCCTTCTTCCACCTTTACCCTTCTCGGATGTGTACTGCATCTTGTCACCACTTCGTTGCCGTAACGAGTGGTTTTCTCTTAGCGCGACGCTGCGCCGTTCGCATACCCTCTCGTTGGAACACCTTGGTTTAAAAACGAGGGGGACTTGGGGATACCCTTCGGGCGTATCGTTTGTGTTTATCTTCACCTTGCGGCACTTTCATGCACACTGTTATGATTCACATGCTCGAGCGCTTCTTTCATTTATCGCCACTTCAGGCGTTGGTTTTTCTTTATGTCTTTCCTTACTTCAACTTCCCAGGTCGCCTCGGCACCTCCCGGAACTCAAGCGGCGATGCTTGACATCAAGGCAGCCTATAGAACGGTGCCAGTATGGCCACCTCACAAATGCTTCTTAGTCGTCGAAGTAGACGGGGACCTCTACATAGATCATGTTTTTCCCTTCGGGCTTTCTACAGCCGGAGGAGTTCAAGGCAATGTCGCTGACGCAACCGTAGACATTTAACACTCAATGGAGCTCGGTCCGATAAAGAAGTGGGTCGATGACCACTTGCTTTTCAGGTACCTGTCAGGAGGGGGAACTCCTTTGGATGATGGCACTTCCTCAAGTTTTACCTACTCTCACGGGCTCCTCGAAGTGTTCAAAAGATCTCGCCCGCTCGGAGTCCCTTGGCATCCGAAGAAGCGGCAAGACTTCGCGACGGTCTTCATTTACCTCGGTCTTTTATGGGACCTCGTACTTCACTCAGTCACAATCCCGGATGAGAAGCGTCAAAAGTACTGGAATAAGCTCTTTGCACTTTTGGACCTCTTAGCAAGCGGGAGGAGGATGTCGTGTAAAGATGCGATGAGTATTAACGGGACACTATTGCATGTCTCCTTTGTCATCCCACACGGTTGCTCTTACCTAGCGAACTTATCTAGCTTCATAGCGCAATTCTCTTTGAAGCACGTGTCGCGTCACCCTCCCCCTTCAGTGGTCAATGACTTAAAATGGTGGCTATCCATTCTTTCATCTCCACCGTCCCCACGCATACTCGTCCCAAAGGGCCCACCAAGGGACATGGACCTTTGGGTAGACGCGTCGACAGACTGGGGGATCGGGATCATAATCGGACACAGATGGAATGCATGGACCCTTCGTCCGGGTTGGAAAGGGGATGGGAGAGACATTGGATGGTTGGAGGCCATCGCAATTGAACTTGTCGTTCAGACCCTTTTGGCGGACGGGCTAGAGGATTCAAACATTCTGATCCACTCCGACAATCAAGGAGTGATTGGAGCCTTTCAGCGAGGTCGCAGCCGGAACTTCCAGGTTAATCATTGCATTAGGAGAGTTGAATCCATGTCTATGGAGTCCAACGTCGGACTCGTCTTTGCTTACGTCGCTTCAGAACGGAACAGAGCAGACTCGATTTCTCATGGTGAGGTCGGGATGCCTGAGAGCCGTTTTGTTACTCCTCAGCTCCCAGACAAGCTCTCTCCTTATATCCTTGCATATGCCTAACAACATCACGTCATTACAGGCATCAGACAGAGCTGATGTCGCGGCAACAGTAGCCCAATTGAAGGAGATTCTGGCACTTCCTCCATTGTCGGGGGTACCACCTACTGTCGCTCGCAGCCACCCAAAACCTAGAAAACCCAAACCAAACAACACTATCGCTCCTTCCGCGCTTCGCCCACATGTTCTTGCCCGTGACAGAGTTAGACTCTGGTCCGCCCCTCATTCCACATCATTTCACTCGTCTATGCTGAGACTCCTCCCTCTTGAAGACGTCGTTCAACTTCTTGATGTTATGCTTGTATCCATTGAACTCAAGACTCGCGAGAACTATGGTTCTGGCTTGTTGCATTTTCATCAATATTGCGACACTAGAAAAATTCCAGAAAAACTTCGCATGCCCGTGCCGGACCATTTACTAGCTTCTTTTGTAGCGTCATGGGCTGGTAAGGTAGCGAGCACCACTGTCCAAAATTGGTTGGCAGAGCTACACTTTTGGCACAATTTGCACGGCGCTCCTTGGAACGGGCGCTCTCTGGTGCGTTCGGCGACTGCAGGTCTCTCCAAACTAGTACCATCTTCCTCCAAGAGACCTCGTCGACCCCCCATTACTCTTGAACATATGCACGCACTGTTTTGTCATCTTGATCTTTCAAACACATTTGACGTGTCCGTCTTTGCCGTAGCTTCGACAGCCTTCTGGTCTTGCTGCAGGTTAGCTTCATCTTCACCTTAAGTTTGCCTTTTTTAACATGTACCTTCTACCCAGACTTGGGGAGCTAATCATTGACTCCGCCCTCTTGTTCAATCCTTCGCGCCACGTTTCACGTTCAGCACCTTTGCGTCGAGGAACTTCTTCAACAGGAGTATCATTCATTGTCATCACCATTCCCTGGACAAAGACGACTCACGGCGACGGAGCCAACCTTGTTGCATCCCGAATCGATGATCACTCAAATTCCATTTCAGCTCTTAACCACCACCTTCTTGCCAACACAACCGTTCTGGTTGACGCACCTTTTTTCACATTCGAGACCGAGAATGGAGGATGGGCTCCGATGATGCGCACCTGGTTCATGAACCATTGCAACCAAGTTTGGAAACAGAACGGATTAGCTGAGCTCTCAGGCCACTGTTTCCGGATAGGAGGAGCAACGGAATTGCTCTTGCAGGGCACACCTCCAGACGTGGTAGCTATGCAAGGGCGATGGAAGTCGCGCGCCTTCTTGGAGTATTGGCGCAAAATAGATTCAATCTTACCTATGTTCGTCTCTTCCACCTTTTCAAACACATGTTTGGCCATGATGCAGTCAGCCATGGACTCCTTCTCATGTTGTTACAAGTAATTTTGTCGTTCTTTAGTTCTGTTATAATGCACATTGCCTTCGCTTACTCGTTTTTGGGGGATCGTGTTGTTTTGCCTCTACACGACCATTTGTGAGCTATGCTTGGTACGGGCAGTGTCGTGCTCCCAGCAAAGATTTATTCCTACCTCACACTCGAGGGATTCGGTGTTTGATTGCTCTCTTCTCTAGTCTCCTTCATCAGTCTCACAATCACTAATGATTTAGTCACGCTTGAACTTAGCTTCGCAGTTCACCTTATAGTCACGTGACTTTGTCCATTGCGTCTATACATACTGCCTTGGCTACATTTCAAGCTCGAGACCACTCAGAGACTCCAGAAGCAACGCGGATATATCCCCGCGGATCAAACCCGAAACACCCCCCCCAAACACTGACTTCTATTTAATATTCTCGAAGCATCTTAGTATTTCTCTCAAGTCGTCTACATCTCAGTACAACAGAAACTCGGCACAGTCGAGCCCTGTTAGTGTGACGATCTCAGAGTGACATGCAGCCGTGACGCTCCGGGATCGTCACATGCTGTCTCCAGCCTAGCAAAGTAAGCCTCACTCAAATAAGCAGAAAAAGCGGCGATAGGGGATACATAGAAAGCATCATAAGCACAAAATTAAGGAGACTCTCAGTAACATAAAGAACAGTGGGGGGATGGGAAAAAAGGTGAGCATGCAGGCAAAAAAGCAGTCAACGGCAGAAAACATGATAGTGGCACTGGCGGAAAACATGGTATACAGATGCACTGCCAGGTACTGCAACGAAACAACATCCTGCAACAGTCACAGAGTACTACTAAGAGCTGGTTTCGAGTCCTGACATACATTCATAAGTAACGAGACATATAGTACTACATGTAGATCTTATACTTAGCGCAAGCACTTCTACAAACATGTATGAATCAAAATTAATGCTCAGTTGCGTGATTTGGTAGATTAGGAACGTTCGCCCCGGAGACGGCGAGCGAGAGCGAGATCCTTTGGCTGACTACAAAAAAGTGTGAGCAATCAGACTACTATTTACCTGGAGGAAGCTTACATGGTGACCCTCTTGGCGTGAATGGCAGCCAGATTGGTATCCTCAAAGAGAGATACTAGATAAGCTGGACAAGCAAAGATGGATGAGCTTGAGTGACAGTCCAATGATGCGTCTACTTACCCTCGCTAGCCTCTTGCAGGGCAAGAACGGCGGACGACTGGAAGCGAAGATCGGTCTGTAAGTGGTTGGTAATGTCAGTGTTTGTGTTACATGCAAGGGAAATATGGGCGTACCTTGAAGTCCTGGGCAATCTCGCGCACGAGCCTCTGGAAGGGGAGCTTGCGGATGAGCAGCTCGGTGGATTTCTGGTACCTCCTGATTTCACGGAGGGCGACTGTGCCGGGTCTGAAGCGATGAGGCTTCTTCACACCTCCAGTGGCGGCGGCCTACGATGACGAGTAAAGGAACATTAATGAGAGTTCACAGTATATGATAGTAAATACTAGCCGCAATACTCTTTCTAGTCTGCTTGGTAGCGAGTTGTTTGCGAGGAGCCTTGCCTCCTGTTGACTTGCGGGCGGTTTGCTGAAGTTACCAAAAAAGGAAAGTCGTTAGAAACATATGTTACAACATTGGAAGTTCCATCGGGACACGAGAGGGACTTCCGGAGGATGGAAGATGCGGATGGAACAGAATGCGTGGTTTCAAACCTCCGTGGTGCCTTCTTTGCGAAAGAAAAACACCAAACACAGGTCTTGCGCCACAGCACCCGGCACTTGGGAGCACCTCCTTCTCATACTCCCCCACTCGGGACGATAATCATGTCCCCCTCCCCTCACAAAATTTTATACAATAGAGCGAAACAGTATCTACATACCTTAGTACGAGCCATTTGATAATATGTGGCGTTTGTAGGTTAGAATTTGAGATTTGAACTCGAAGATCACCGAGATGATGGTGGTTGGGAAGAAAGAGAGTGGGGGAAAATATATCAACACATCCTCTCTCCTTAAGCCAGCTGGAGGATTTTTTTTTGCTGGCATTTCTGACTCTGCTTTGCAGTGCTTGTGGTCAGTGCGCACTTCGCTGTGACAGTCTCATGGCAGGGGCGGAGTCAATAACGGAACTGTCGTCATGAGTGTTAACAAACAGATGTAAACAAGCGCGCATTCAAGCTCAAGTTTCAAGTATTTCATTGATGCAAAGTCAATACTTCATAGCAGCTACTGATCGTGCTACTACATAAGTCTCCCATTTGTTCGAAACGCGAAAATTGCACCAGGACTTGATGGTGCTGCCAATGCTCAGCATGGATACATCAATACCAATGCTATTACCATCGAGCTCAATTCCGCGTCCACCTTCACATCCTCATCTAGAATGGACACCTAAACGGTATCTCTCTGATCCTCAACCACCTCCCATGGATGATGCAAGAGTTCTTGAGCAAGAAATGGCTGCTGCAAGACAGCTGCAAGATGGGAAAGCCGTAAAGAAGACAAGACCTCGGCGAACTGTTGATTTTAATGCGGGTATGGGCAGGTGGAATATTGTATGTAGCAACTTGATCATTACACGATTATACGTCTAATCCAGTGTAGCTACGCAAACACCGACCTAATTCGACATATGTCCCCTCCATGAGACCTGCTCCTCCCTTCATTATTGACGTGCGAGTTTTTCTTTCTGTGGCCCATAGCTGCTCAAGAAATGTTCCTTGTGTATAGCTGCTCCCACCAATTGCATATCCTGGAAACTCTTCGACGTCCTTGTGCACCAAATTTATTCACACCTCGACCAACAAGATTCGCTGTCCAGTCAATGTTGTTACAGTCCGTACCACTATTGACGTTTCTTTTAAATCTCTCAAACATCAATTTAGTGGACTCCAGAAGGACGACGAGTACTGACAGGGTCAACAAGCGGAGAATTTACCCTCTGGAACGGTCTCACATTTAATTTCGAGACCATTCTCCAAGCCCACGATTCCGCCGTCCGCGCCTTCCAATTCACACACTCTGGCTCATTCCTAGCTTCGGCAGATCAGAATGGAATAATCAAGTATTTCCAGCCGAATATGAACAACTTGACTGCGTGGGCTGGCCATCGTGAGGCTATCCGAGGCTTGAGCTTCAGCCCAGATGATCGCCGCTTTGCAACGGCAAGCGATGATTCAACTATCCGAATATGGTCGTTCGAAGAGAGTCGGGAAGAAAGTGTTCTTACAGGTAGAAAGATTTATTCATCGTTTCGTGGTTTGGTCCGTTGATTTTATTGCTAGGACATGGGTGGGATGTCAAGTGCGTTGAGTGGCATCCTAGCAAAGGTCTTCTAGTATCTGGAAGCAAAGATAACCAAATAAAATTCTGGGACCCGCGAACTGGAGCGGTTCTTTCAACACTGTAAGTGCACCAAAACAGTTCATTGCCATCATTAACGAGTGCCTCAGGCATCAGCACAAAAACACAATACAAGGCCTGGCATGGTCTCCTAACGGCAACCTTGTAGCAAGCGCCTCCCGTGATCAAACGGTTCGCGTCTTCGACATCCGCGCCATGAAAGAATTCCGCATCCTTAGAGGTCACAAGAAAGAAGTCTGCTGTAAGCCTTGCCTGCTTTCATTCGACCGCACACTGACAATCCATAGCCGTGACATGGCACCCCGTGCACCCAATACTTGTGTCTGGCGGCTCCGAGGGTGCCGTGCTCCACTGGGACCTCGGCGGCCCAGAACCAACGAACATGCAATCCGTCACACAGCCCCGCGCCACGCTATCACAAGCGCACGATTCCAACATCTGGTCAATGGCCTTCCACCCCATGGGCCATCTCTTCGTGACCGCATCAAATGACCACACCACGCGTTTCTGGTCGCGCGAGCGCCCTGGAGACGCAACATCAGTGTTCTCCGGCGGCGGCGAGAAGCCCCCAGAAATTATAGACATGAGCGGGCAGGACGACGAGGACGACGCGATGGTCCCCGGGTTCAGCTATGGTGGCACGAATAAGTGGTGGGGCAAGGACGAGGATACGGCGGTTGGCTTGGGAGATAATAGTTATACCCAGCGTGCGCCGTTTTCGGGCGACGATCCGATGGGATCGGATGACTTTATTCCTGGATTTGGAACATCGGACAATTTTGGAGGTGGCGCAGGTCCTTCGGCCGTCGCTCCGAAACAGAGTGGTCCGCTTCCTGGTCAGGAAGAGATGTGGACGGCTGATGCGAGAGGTGAGTCGAGAGGTGAGGATTGGGGAAACCGCAGGGGTGGGTGGACAGGTCGCGGAAGGGGGTATAATCCCAACGGTGCTCGTAGAGGGCGGTACTGATTTCGCAGACATGCTGTATCTATCATGCCATATTTTGCGATGTCTCCCTCAAATATTGCCACCACAAATTGAGAGCTCGAAGACAGTTGTATTGGAATGTAAGAGCTGACGCGATGCGTTCTATGGTACGGTGATTACTTCGTCAAAAATCAATATGTATGCGGAGCACTACAACGCGGAAATGCATCCCAGAAGGTCAATAACGATAGCATATGAGATAGCTGAAAAGATAAACAAGAAAAAAGAAAATGACTGTACGATGCGAGGAAGCCCTGTGTAAGGAAATATGAAAGTGCCCTAGTGTACAAGTTGTGATATGACTGCCACAAAATAAATAAAGTTCGTTTCATGTCGAGTCGTGGATGTCATGAATTGCAGTGTAAAAACCAGGGTCGTTGATCTATAGGATTATAAGTTCTGTGGGGGTGTGAGTGTGATGCCAGCCGGTCTCTCGGAGAAGACACTCACAGTGGACCACTGGCGTGGGGCAATCGAGCATTGAATTCCCGCGTGGAGTAGTCGGGCCACTTTGGCAAGTAGAGACGCTATCCAAGCTACAAGAGCGGGGTCCATTGAAAGCAGTATCGCGCAAGGGAGAAGATAATTCGTGAGCAGAAGGACACAACAACGCTTCTACATTGGATGCCGATTGCGAACGGGTGATTGAATCAGAAGAATAGTCTGTCAGTGAGCCAGAGCCGGTGAAGAAGCAGAATCTGTGACAGGGCGTTAGCTTTGAGTTCCGATTACTCAGAACCTGGACCTACCGGTTAAGAAATTGGCTATAATTGTCATTAATAGAAGGCTTGTCGTCGGAAGAAATGGGTGTGCTGGGCCCCGCAGATGTAAGCGGAGTAGCCAGGGAACTCGAGTCAGACCCAGAAGCAGTGGAGCTCGCGCTATTCATCCGAGCCATACTCTGAGCAGTAAACCTGCTAAAGAGGGATGGCTGTCCTTGCGCGGGATCACTGCTGCGAGTAGGAGTCTGCTCCTTAAAGGGACTCAGAAGAGCAGGACCTGGAAGGGTTTTACGCGGTGTGCCACCCATTGATCTGTCTAAATAGCCGCGATGATGGTTGCGTTCGCGTGCTGCGCGTGAAAGGGGAGGATCGAGGTTTAGAGATTCCGACTGCGCAAGGTGCGCCTGCTCGTGCTTCTCCAGATCCCTAGATGATCCTATAGTAACGGATCGAGTATGACGTGGCGGCATCTTATCGACGCGATAAGAAGTATGCTTCGGCCAAGCACTGGAGAGCTCTGTGGGATACGTGGGGGTCCGTACAGCTGGAGACGATAGGGAAGGAAGGCCCCCGTCTTGAGCTACGTTACGCGCAGAGCCTAAATTGTACCTCGCTGGCATAGGCGTTTCTGGCAATGCCAAGGAAGAGCGCGGTGGAGAAGCCTGAGAAGAATTCGTATCCACTCTTGCCGACTCGATTTTGAGCCCCGAACCCCCCATGGACAACCCTGCGAAAACGGGTGCCTTGCGCGCCACAAGCTTCCCGACGAACTTAAGCATGTAATTGGCACCGTTGTTGTTATCCCAGAACTGCGTGCCTGCGGTAGTATACCGCAAGGCAATAAACATCGTCTTCTCCTCGATACGCAACCATATGTCATGCAACCTTATCGTGAACATGAAAATGTCAAACGTGCCACCGTTCACGGATTCCACATAGTGGGCGGTAACTTCGCTCGTCGTCTGCCACAAATCCAGGGTGAACCGGGCAGCAACCCATTTTTCGAATGCAATATTGCGCACTCGAACGCGTCCGGTGATGGTCTTATCGTGTTGAGATAAAGTGAGTCCTTGCAGTACCACGTCCGTATCTTTTGACGGGGTGGACGGCATGTTGCGAATTTGAAGCTCAATCTGTTTCTCGGTGAAGTCGTCTGGTGAACCACGGACGAATGATGGTAAATCACTCTCTGTACCGCTGGTATCGGTGGCTAGGTCACGATCTCGCGACACTGCGAGAGGCTTTTGCTTCGAGAGAAACAGTTTGACATGCTCAAGCTTGGCATCGAAGTGCACCGCCTTCGAAAGGGTGGGCGTCGTGGGCTCACTCTTCACGACCACGCCGCCCGTCGGAATTGTCAGGCTGGGAAGCTTCGCGTGCTTGAGCGATGGTTTGATAGGCTGGCCAGACTTATTTCGAATGAATCGCGTCTGTGGGGATAGGTTCGTGGCGGACTGAGACTCAACGAGTGAGTTGAATTGGGGAAGAGAGCTGGAGCGCATTTCCGCAGAAAATTGACGAGTATGTGCCCTGGGCTTTACACTGCCAGCATTGTCAAATGGTGCTTGCGTCAACCGCACCGTGTCAACATCAGATGCATCACTGAACTCCGGCGGCTGAGCACCCTTTTTGTCCACTTGGTGTGTGCGAGGACTCGAATGGTGCCTGGCCTTGACAGTGGGAGATGATGGATTGGAATTGTGCCCACGTACTCGTCGAGGACGCGATATAACGATGTGTGACTCGTCAGAAGGTGCAGAAGAGGTGGAAGAGGTGGAACTGGACGAGTCGTATTGATAAATATCAGTGGATGGGAAGCGTATGGATGATTGAACCATGGTTGGATCGACGAGGCTCTTGCCGTTGTCAAGATCGCTCGCGTCGAAAAAGTCCGTTATAGCGGACTCAGACCACGGACCGTGACCTAAAAGTGACATTCGTTGCGGCGAAAGATGCCCTTCGACACTGTCATTCTGCAAAAATTGTGGATCGGCAGTAGGGAATAAAATTCGTGGTTGAGACATCTTGCAAACCAAAGGATGAACGATAGAAGAAACCCAAAGGACAAAAGCTGTTGACGTTCTGATGCGGCCTGTCTCGAAAAATTAGACGACGTTGCAGTGATATGAAGATGTGAACTTGCTTTTGTTTGAATAAAAATACGGTGTCTATTAACCCGCAACGATTTAGAGAGACTGAGACATGAGGTTAAGATGAGGGCGAGAATAAAACGAAGTCAAAGTTTGCCCCCACGGAAACTGACGTCACTGGCAGCAGTGATCTCGGTGTAAATATAGGTGAAATTGGCTTGGACACTGTCGGTGACTGATTTCTAAGGTGAGACTGGATGAAGTTCCAATGGTGAGTCCGGTCACATATTTGAGTTAAAAGTTCAGAACTGACTATTAATGACCTAATGGATTGAAGATTGAACACAAGTGCTGGTGAACTCTAGTATGGAGGCGAATGAATGTATGTGTAACCTGGTATGTAGCAGGTTGATGGGCGAGTTCTGTCATGACGATACGATTATATATGATGAAAAATTTGAGAAGGAAGACTACTCAGCAACCTTACGGAATTAAGAACACACGTGCGAAAGATAAGCTGTCTCCACCTGTTATCTGTCATTTCGTTTGGTCACCGCCAAACTCAGATCCGAGTTCTTCTTTACACAACGCTATTGGTGGTAAGAACATTCTATCTTCAAAATTCGGCATGGTCGGCCTTCTTCCGTAAATCTTGTCCTCGCACGAAGATGTTTGTCAAGTTGATGGATGGCGTCATGCTGCACCAATCCCAGATGACAACCGCTAACGCTGGAGGTTCCATTTTCAGTAAGTTTTGTCCAGCTTTCGTTTGTATCAAGAGATAAGCTGAAAGTCCTGAACAGAAACATGGAGAGGATAGGCACCGAAATCCCTAATGGTTATGGTCAGACACGTCACCGGCTATCTAAAATCACCCTCTAGTGGCCTAAGGACCGGAAGGTGAGTAGCATGTTTAAAGAACTTTTTAAGCAGCAACCATTGAACAACGCCGTTCACCACCAGTGTGACAGCGTGTGGTAAGTCAGTCTTGAAATCGTGCCGTTCGGAATGAAACATAGATAACAACTTTAGTCACTAAACCTTTGGGCCACGAAAAGACCTAGCGACGTTTTTGCTGGTCACTGACACCGTGATGTTCTCTGTCAGTTTCGAATGATGGGTCTCTTAACGCCCAATCATGATGCGTACGGTACCTTTCCGCCACAATACTGGGCTCCCAATAATAGGTACGTACGGTACTAGTAAACGGAACATCTTGAGAAGGAACAATTAACTCCCAGCACTCTTATCTGCCGAGATAAGCAAACTCGAAAGTTTTACCATTCCTCCAGGGCTCTATGTAACTGGCCTACAATCTCGCTTGCGGCATGAACCAGTTCAGTAAAAAGTCTCACATCTTCAATCAACGAACGGCGAAATTTCCATATCGCGCCTGTTGATTTTCCCGGAATTGTACCTTTGCAGCTCTACACGATGCGGAATCAAAGGCGCCGGCGAGGTTTCAAATTTTCACGTTTGAAACCGGCCCCACAGATCAGTGGGAGTTTGGGAACTACTTAAAATGGCAAGTTAGCACGACGCTAAACTATCGCGGACTTTCTTGCGGTAACTAACCCAGCGCTGTGGTTGATTCTCAAGCGTCGCCTATGGTACAGATTTGCGGGGACCCGCAGGGACTGGGAGTTACTGGATCAATTGATCTGACCTATTCGAAGCCGTTTGAATGGCTTCCTGGCACACAAAGTTATGCACCAAATCAGTTCCAAGCACCGACTTTCTTGATCTTGCAGTCGTGGCACTGCCAAATTCAAATATAGGGCAGCTCCACTCGGCGTGTCATCTGGAAGCTTTAAACCACATCTCTAGCTACGATATCCCGTAGTTGGACGAACACGTCAATACCCTCGATGCCGTGCCCCAGTGTGGAGTCATCAGAAATAGGTGTCCGTTTTCCTTTTTCTCTATGATCTTCATAGCCACGTTCGTAAAGCAATGAGCATGCTGTTAAAGATAAGTATTCTTTCAGTACTCGGTCAAACTTCTTTCCTCATCCTGCTTGCGGGCGCAGAAGTCCCGAAGGTTATGGAATCAAAAGTGCACAATCAAGGTCGATGAAATCATACCGACGTCAAGGGTCGTCTGCACTCGTGGTGCCAATCAAGGGACCCGCCATGAATCATCTTCGGAGTATTCTTTTGCTTGTCGGGATGGTTTCCAGATAAGTGATTCGCCCGTGGAACTTCCAGTCTCGAAGTCCATGCTTTCCCCGACCCTGTCTCATAATGGCATAATTTCGTGATCTTTGAAGACGTTATGATCTAGGGTCTCATCAATATAAGGCTTTAGCAACGCATCTGCGAGGTCCTCGAACTCGGCGGTCAACTTTATCGCAATTTTATGGCTTTTCGTCGAACTTTTACTAAAGACTATCTACGATAAGCGGTGAGCTTTACAATGACGACTCAAACAATGTCCGAATATGACGGGTCTGCTGATATTTTCCCAGGGAAAAACTAGCGAAGCAGAACTCGAGTCACATTCATTTGCACATCTTCTCGAATGTCAGGCCATTCACTCAAACTCAATGACGACTTCTCAACTGAATGTGATTACTAGCTGTTACAAAAATAGATGAAATTGATAACTTGCGTATTCATCGATTTGTAACAGCCGCCTATGCTTATGGGATTCTAAGAGGTAAGCTTGTTCCCAATCACAAGAGTTCAAAGAAGCTGTTGGTGGCCAGTTGTAAATGCATGAGATGTGATGATTTTAATGAGGGGTCTATCCTGCAATAGTTAAGGTCGTCGTAGTGGACATGTCCGAAAATGTTTGATCCCACGGAAGCAATTCGCGTCTACTATGCACTCCGCCTGTCTTTCACCATGACTTTGGTGTTCTCTTTTCACGATGTGGCCTATATTTTCAATAGGTACATCCAATAGTAGTTTGTATAGACAACCGAGCTTGCAGACCAATACTCGGCCTGAGCTGAGCGCGAAACGTTGATTCAACTTCAAGTTGTTTAATTGAAACTCAACTTGAATGTAACATCCGGTTATTACCTTTGCAAAAGCAAATTTTCTTTGTGCGCACTGCGCTCCATGAATCGTCCATATTTAGCACTAGCCAATCCTTCGCCTGGTGACCCACCTATCCTGATGCAGTCACGTTCACTATCGCATGATCAGCAGTGTGACTCAATCAGCAAGTGCACTTGTGCTCTATTGGAACAATATGTCAGCTAACATCAAAGAGGCTAGTACTTTGCATTCACTCTCATTGTTCGTCCTTACATGGCTTCACGATGCACCTGTGCTTGTGCAATTTTCTTAGATCCATTCAACTGAAAAAGGTCACAGAGTTAATTTGGCTACCAGGCCCGCAAGCTTCATTTGCATGTGAGTCTCAGAAAGTTGTCGGCAGGTTTACATCGATTATTACAGTGCTCAGTCTGCCTTAAATACCAATATCATCTGTTCACAGGTCATTGATGCGCCGCCCACCCTTGCACGCCATCCAACGCTCGCTCGATGAAGAGCTTAGTGGACCACAAGCAAGACTAGGCACTCTTAGATAAATTCAAATATCTACAATGCACATCGCTCGAGCACTACAGAAATTTGTTCAAAAGCAACTGTACTGATTGGCTCCGAGTCAAACTAGGTATTGCACCATCAACCATGATACCACAGCGAAAGCAGAAACATGACACACTGTCGCGACGTGCCCCTAGGGCTGCTGGCTCAATTTTAGACTGGAATCTGGCAGATCAAACCTTCACCCTAGGAGCGTATTCAATCATTACGACCAACATATCATAACCTGCCGGCAAGCATCAAACAGTTCTCTTCTTTGTCACCACAGAACGCTCGTTCGAATCCCCGATCTCTCATCCCGTCCTCTCATTCATCGCTTCATCATTTGAACCTGCAATGACTCTGCCAAAGTTGAGGTGATCATTCTCGTCAATAGTCCCGATTTTAATCGGTCGATATCCCACGTCATTTTTCTTTCACTCACTCGTCGCTCCCTTATATGTAGTACCTGCAATTCGTCCATGCCATTAGTAGGCCGGTGGTTCTGCGGCCGCTGTACAGAGATAATGAGGTATCTTTGGAATTTGACACTCGTTCTTAACATATTATCAGATGGGCCCCAGGCTACGAGGGAAACCAGGGAAACGAGGCCGCGGATCAGAAAGCTTCCACGGGTGTTGACGCAACACTTCTATGGCAAAATCAAAGACGAGGCAGCCGATATCATATGCAAGATACGCTCACCTCCTCTCTCTTGATCAATCAGCCCCGTCGAAAAAGTCGCGAGCAAGATCGAAACCCTACCAGGAAAGCAAGGGTCGCTCATCTTTCAACTCCGCACAAGCTACATCCCCCTGAACAAATATCTCCGCCGAATTTCAAAATCGCCAACCCAAAATATAATGCACATGAGAAAATCCGTTGACCACTTTCTGCTCGTCTGCCCCACATTCACTCGACAACGAGACGTACTAAGAGATAAAGTAAGACCGCGCCAATGCCACATTGAAAGGGTGTAAGAGCAACGCTAAAGTACATCGCACGCACGAAAGGACTGGCACAAATTTTCGGAGACGTCACCTTTCCAAAGGAGAGCGGGAAAAAGAAGTAGAGGGAAGGGAAGCAATCGCATTGTGCCACTCTAATCAAACGCCGCCGCCATAAAACATAAAGCATACACAGTATATAGACCAGCCGCAGACAATAAAGTAGAATACTGCATGTAGTGTCCACCATAGGGCCCCGCCCCAAAAGACAACAAACAAGGACGAAAAATCTTGGCATACACTTAGTTAGAGTATAATTTATGCCGCTCAGGTACATTCAAATATCCTGTTCTCGTTCCGAATCTTCCGGTATAACATCAATTGTCTGCCAGTTAGTACAGGTTATCAGATTTTAAGCGAGGTATTGTATTGAAGTCAGGCAGATGACATGGCCGACGCTTGCGTGCGGTTCGAGACAATAGACAGTGACAGGAAGAAAAGGCACAAACAAGTGCTTTTGGATGCGAGAGCGGTAGTTCCTTCTCGTGGATCTGTGATAATCGCGTTCCTGACAGAAATGGCGACTACGCCAACTACGCTTCACTATGTGGACCATGGCTTCGGATCAATGCACGACCGTCGGCCATCTCTGAGCGTAGCGCAGTTGTCAAGCAAGACTTTCAGGTCAGGGACATAGTTAGAAGAGAGCCAACTGCGCTCTGTTTGTGTTTCACCGAGGGATGTAATCCGTGCTAAATATTCAATCTTGGCGTAAAACGGTGCAGAACACACATTTGACTTGTATTGAGAGCAAATGTAACCGGATTGACCTCAAGTTCAACTAGGGTAGCAGCACTCCCAGCACGTGTCTTGCGGCCGCTTGTAAGGCGACGTCCCTGCCGGGCAGTTCGAAGATGGTTGAGCAGTGCACGGCAGGAAGCATCCCACAGTTCCTTCAGGAGAATCTGCCGTCAAGATCTCAGTAGCACCACTAGCAGCAGTGGCACTGGCAGCGGTAAGAATTGTGAGGTAAACAATTTGAACGAGCTTCATAGTATCTGGTATGATTATCGTGCTTCAGCATATAATGCCCCGTTCTAGGAAATTACACACCGACAAAAGTTTGATTGTGTAGTGCCGCACTGTGCGCGAAGTTGCTATGACAAAGTCTTAGAAGATATTATGCGTTGGTTCAATGAAATGCGTAGTGTGACATAAGAGGGTTACTCACTGCAACAGGAGGCGGTCGTCTTTAAGGTCTTTTAAACTCAACCGCGTTGATTTTATACCTGTTCTCATCAGGGTTGAAACTATACTCGGAGAAAGTTTTATACCGAGCAAAAACATGCAGCCTATCTCAAGCCTATCTATCACCTTGACAATGAGGATGCCAGGTCAATGGCTTTTTGATCTACTGAAACACCCCATATCACCTGTCTCGATGACGATGACTTTGCAAGATCAAGAATAACGTGGATTGGCACGGCTACTCCCTCGAGTTCGCCTTTTGTTCAATTGCTGAGCTACCCTTGTCGCAACTACCTGTCTCGTAAGGCTGGAATGGATGATATGGAATACAAGGTCAGTAGGTTAACTTGTCTGCATCATAACGAGCGGGGTACACGTCTGCCTAGACACACCAACAGCATTCTAAACGTGAGCGAAATTTTTTTTAGCGAAAATAGCATATGAGATACTGATTGCATGGTTTTAAGAGGAATACGTACGGATAATACCCGAAACAACGACACCTCGCCCATCTGATCATGGTCGTTCAAACTCAAAAGATGAGGGGATATTGGTACCACAATGCAAACTAGGTGCTCAGAAAAACGGGAGCCGTCTGTCCTGTGAGCAAATAAATATGCTACTAGTCTCAGTCTGTTTGAATCCGTATATAAGGGACGTTATTCTGAAAGATAGAAGAAGTCAGTGACGTGGCACCTGCAATTTTGGAGTACATACAAAGAACAGACAACAGCCTCAATGTGAACCCAAGTTACTCCGGTTCATTGTGCAATGAGAGATTGGTACCTTGAATGCGAGAAAACACATTATGAACATTGGAATAGCGCTAGTACTTAGTATGACGTGTTGGAGAACAGGCCTATTTGTTATTGTTTGGCTTTCGATCTCGAGGCTTTCGGCGTTCCATCCAGACACATTCCTCGCTACTCGCCTTTCCTCACTTTCCTTCTGATCTTAACTCAACACTGACAGTGAAGCCGAATTACATCCCACAACGCCTTTGAGTTCATGACACTCATCAGCCGAATGTCCTCAATTCACCGCTCTCAACCTCACACCAGTGACCAGCGATGAAATCGAACTCACTCAGCGCCCAAGCCGTCCTCGTGTTGTCGAAGTGGTTTAGTGTGGGACAAGCAGGTATATCTCTTCTTGGTGCGTTTACAATCACAGTTTGTTTAATATGTTAAATCCGTTTGGCGTAGTAAAACGAGTGTCTAAGTTGAATAAAAAGAAAACTATGTACTGTGTCGACCGGTTGTTTTCCAACAAACAGATACGCGCACAGCGCCTGGTATAATGTATGTAATCAATAGACCCCAGGAACAAGTCGGTACCTCACTTGCTTTGCCCAATTCTCCCAGTCTTCTCCCAGAGCGCGCTGCAACATCTGGTCCTCCACTGCAGGTCGGCTGAGGGAGGTCCAAACGCTGAATGCGGTAAACAATAAAGCGCCAGTCACTAACACTTCAACGAAAGGCACTGGTAAAATCCCAGACTGTCTTATCCACGATCCTTGGCTTCCGTACATGACAGCGATCCCAGCACTTTGGAGAAGGAGACCGGTGTAACTCGGGTGGCGCACCACCGAGTACGGTCCGCTTGTCACAAGTTTATGCTCTTTTCTGATGCTGAGCTGGAAGCTCCAAAGCTTTCCTAACATTGCCATACAATAAAGCCTCAGTGCGCCACCAATCGCGATGGCAATACTGGCGAAAAGGAATGTGGGGGTGATCGGTGTAGGGTGAAGAACGCGCAAAAGCTGCACAGCTCTAGCACCATTGATGCCCTCTGTAACGTGCGAGGGCGCTATATACATGACCAGGATGCTAGCCACTTCAGCAGACGATACCGCCCACGCGCCGATCTGTTATATCATCCACAAATTAATAAAGTCGATGATCGACTCGGATGTTTAGGAGCCCCACCTTCATTAACTCCAAACCGCGAAGTTTCAAACACCATCCAATGATGAATTCGAATAACGAGGGCACCACCTTCTCTTTAGATGACGGTGGGGGAGAAGGGGAAGTGAACGAAACATGAATCCCAATAGCAGAAACTAGGACGAAGGGGATCTTCAATAGACTCATGGTGTACCGCTGTACTTGGCCTAGAGGAGAAGAAGTTGATAGGAATTGATGAAACCGCCGGAGGAGGCTTGTGTGATTTTTATATGATCATGGTCTCAGTTGTTCACACATGATATTTACTCTTACCTGATGCAGGGCGGTGAACTTGAACCTATAAGTTAAACCGAAATGGTGACCCTTGCTGCTCACGACATCATATCATGAATATTGCTACATTATTAGGGTCCTAGGGAGTGCGATGCTGCTGAACCGATAAGTTAACCGGAATATTAATGGCGACCCTTGCTGCTCACGACATGAATATTGCTATATTAGGGAGACGCTTTCTGTCACGAATTTGCAAATGCATTTCGCCTCGAATAAACCTCAATCGATTAAAATCTATTGGGGCAACAAATGCAGAATTGATTACGACCAACGTATCACAGTTGCAACCTGCTGGCAAGCATCAAACAAATTTCTTTTTGGTTACTACAGAACACTTGCTCGAATTCCCGGTCTCTCATTCGTCACTTCATCATTGAACCTGCAATGGCGTAGTACTAAAGTTGAGATGATGATGATTCATTCCGATTTTACATAATCGGTCGATATCCCGATTCCCGAGCCCTTCACTCAGTACGCCATCGTTACTCAGGATCAGTCAGCCCAGCGCTAGCTGAGCATATCACAACTAATCTCGCAGCGCTGTGTACCTGCCGGTGCTGGGTGCCATTCAGCATTTCCCGATAGCATATACTCAACCTGACAAATCTATATTTTAAACTCGTTAACCAGCCTGTCGAGGTTGGCTATAAAATACATGACATGGATTCCCGTCTCCAGATCTCCAATCAATACCACTCAAAGGATTTCATAGTACTACCTAGTTTGTAATAGATCATCATGACCGATTCTTCGAGCTGCGCACTCTTTTCCCCCATCCGCGTAGGCAACATCAACTTGCAGCACCGGGTTGTCCTTGCCCCACTTACCCGTCTACGTGCAGACACAGATCACGTCCCAACCCCACAAGCACCAGCGTACTACTCTCAGAGAGGGTCTACCCCTGGCACTCTTCTCATCGCAGAAGGCACATTCATATCTCAGAGCGCTGGTGGTTATGATAATATGCCTGGGATATACACCGATGCCCATCTGGATGGATGGAAAAAGGTATGTTGTTCCTTGCTCAATAATTATGAGAGCGGACTCACATTCCGGACTGCAGGTAACAGAAGCAGTCCATGAGAAGGGTTCTTTCATTTTCCTACAAATCGTGGCACTCGGCCGCACCGCAGAAATAGCTGTTCTTGCCAAGGAGGACAATAGTCCCCTCGTCGGTGCCTCATCTATCTCCCTGCCGGGAAAAACAGACGTGCCACGCGCACTCACCACGGATGAAATCAAAGAATACGTTGCCATGTTCACCACTGCAGCAAAAAATGCCATTCGAGCTGGTTTCGACGGCGTTGAAATTCATGGCGCAAATAGCTGCTTGATCGACCAGTTCATACAAGATGCCAGTAACCAACGCACAGATGAATATGGCGGAAGCATCGAGAATCGCGCAAGGTTTGCACTCGAAGTAACGGATGCCATTGTCGAGGCCATTGGTGCTGAGAGGACCGGGTTCCGAATGAGCCCGTGGGGCGTATTAAACGGTACATATCACATCATTCATTAGTAGCGATCTTTATTTAGCTGATTTGTGGTGCAGGTATGGGCATGGCAGACCCCAAACCCCAGTTCTCCTACGTGGTTGAGCAGCTGCGCAAACACAAACTCGCATACATCCACGTCGTGGAGCCGATGCCTGCCGAAGTCACTACTGAAAAAAATAGCGATTTCCTCCGTGATATCTGGCAAGGTGTTGAAGGCAGTACCTTCATCGGCACAAACGGATATACTCGGAATACCGCAATTGAGACGGTAGACAAGAAAGGCGGCCTTATCGGATTCGGGAGGTTGTTCATGCCGAACGTGAGTCATTTGTTTCCCGGACTAGGCAGTGACCAACATCCCTTACTAGCCCGATCTTCCATTCCGTCTGCGAAAGGGTATTGCACTTGAGCGGGGTGACCAAGCAACATGGTACATGGGCGGTAATCTCACACCAGCGGGTTATTCGGATTGGCCCTTTGCACCAGAGAACGATCAACAATAGAGCAGCAACTCACATGGTCTTGTAAGTGATATACCTCAGAATATAATTTCACCTTACTGTAGTATACACCCGATATCATACTCAATATTTATCTCAGTCTATCTTACGGTGTGACTTGAGTGGTGAAAATTCATCGTGTTTTTGACCAAGAGGCACCAAGGCGGAACTTCTACGACGTTGTCGGACCAGATTGTAGGACTGAGTATGTATATATACATGAGTTGGGTTTCCTGACAGTCGTGGAACCGAGGGCACCAGAAGTCTTTCCTTGCGAGGAATGTAATGTGCTAGAAGAGAACAAGTCTTGTTATTCTTCAGGACCATTCATCTCGTACATTCGGGAAAGCTAGTGTCATACTCGGAGGATTTTCTTTTTGGTCCTCTCACCAGTATTACTAGTGACGTCACTTTCTCAAACTGCTGTCACGGTAATCAATAATCATACCCCCGGTAACCCAAGACCTTTATGGACGAGGTCTCCAGTCCTTAGCTCCTTGACAGTCGTTCCTCGGAAGTTCTATCTCAAGGGGGTGCCCAATACGTACATGAGTACTTCCGATAGCACCGATGACCGTATTCACGTCGGCCATCATCTCCGAGTCAATACCAATTAGACGCTCTTCAGGGTATTTATATTCCTTGTGCAATGTGCATCCTCATAGAGTCATAGTCCCCAAGTGCTATCGGCGGCTACGTGGACACTCGTTATTTCTCCGATGGCAACTTACGCCAAATCCTCCTTTGACAGCGCCATCTATGCAACTTTCAGGCCGACTTACCCTAGGTCCCTGTTTGACTTTGTATTCCGGTACCACGAGCGCAACAATAGTGCAAGATGGAACAGAGCGGTGGATCTTGGTTGTGGGACGGGTCAGTTCTAGCTGTACTCAATGTGGAGGGCTTAGACTCTTGACCTACTCGGGATTTCAGGTCAAGCAACAGTCGAGCTCACACCCTTCAAGCGCGTCACCGGCGTCGACGCAAGTTCCAATATGATCAAAGTTGCTCAGGGTACCCTCAAGAATACGCCAACGAGCACTGGTCAATATGAGTACATACAGGCGAGCGCAGAGAATCTAACATTTTTGGAGGATAGCAGTGTGGATCTAGTCATTTCCGGTGCGGGTCACTTAGAAAGAGAACCCACTATTTGTTCATGATGACTGTGTGATTGTAGCCCAGGCATGCCATTGGTTCGATTGGAACAAAATATGGCCTGAGGTTGCAAGAGTGCTGAGGAAGAATGGAAGTGCTGTATTCTGGGTACGTGTTCCCGTCTCCAAGCCATTACATGTCATGTCACTCTTAACATTTACTTGACTTAGGGTTACTCCCAGTTCCGCTTCGCCCGCTATCCGTCACTCACGCAGAGAATCAACGCTTATGTCGAAGGCACTGACCCACTGAACAGCGTCGGCCAATACTGGGAGCAACCCGGTCGTTCGATTTTGGATAACCACTTGATTGAGGTCCCAGATGCCAATGAAATTGTACCTGGCGCGTTCAGCGATTTCGAGAGAGTTTTCTTCACAGGTCTGTGTTGGACTTATCATATCGTCATGCGACGCTTCACCGATGCATCACAGGCGACTACCACCCATCTCTCCCATCCCCACGCTCCGTGATCATGCGTAAGAAGATGACGTGGGATGACCTGCTATCGTATTTGAATACGTGGAGTGCATTGCACACATTCCGCCAGCACAACCCCAGTGATGGAGAGAACCCGCATGGAGATGTCGCAGTGCGGTTCTGGAAAGACCTCAAGGAGGGTGCCGAGAGGGAGGAGGGGAGAGCCGTGGAAGGACATGATGAAGTAGATATTGAATGGCCAGTGGCGGTGGTAATGGCTAAGAGAGCGTGATAGTACTCGAGGGCGGTAGGTAGGTGTTCTTTTGTTGGCGGCTTGCAGATCATCAGACTTATCTAAGGCAAAATACTAATAATTATTCGGAAGGCCAGTGAGGTTGTTAAGACCTTCAAGTCAAGGGCTTGGAAGAGAGTCAACTGCGCTATATTTGTGCTTCACCAAGGGATGTTATCGTGCTAAATATTCAATCTTCGCGTAAAACGGTACAAGACACATTTGACTTGCATTGACATCAAGTGTTCTGACACCTTGTTCGCCTCCTAGAGGGCGTCTGTGAGGCTCGTAGTCGCGCAGAACGACGACGAGATGGTGGTCGAAGGGCAGGCATAACGTTTGAACTCCGCTGGGGTGCCGAAGCGTGCCGCGTGCTTGCTGTACGTAGTGTCGTGGGCAGAAAGGAATTGGCCTCTTGGCAGATGGCAGAACGGCAGAACGGCAATTGGCAGAATGGCAGAAGTCGGCAAAATGTATTGTGAGCATTTTTAGCTCTTTTCAACTATGTTTGTACTATGGCAAAAATGGTTTCGACTACTACACTAAGGCTATACACCTGATGAGACAAAAGTGCATCAATATCATACCCTGATGAACTCTGAGCTTCAATTGAGTACATTGATCTCTTCAACAAAGCCAGTTGGCCTGCCCCATCATTTTCTCACGGTTGGTCAACCTCCTCCTTTGAGTCAACTCTCCGGAAAGTTGCAGAAGCAATAGGTGGGGATAGAGGCCTTGATTGCCTTTTTTGTAGTGAGGTAGCCACTGCATGAGCATGATCAAAGGCATCATATTTTTCAGTCAATTAGATGTTTGTCATGGCATTAATAAATGGATGCTGTCGTGCTGAGCTAGCAGCAGTTGCATGTGAAAAGTAGTGATTTGAGTTGTTTTTGACCAATTTTTGACTTTTTTCCCAGTAACTACTAACAAATTGGTCGGACACAAGTTTTTGGACAGAATGCCCTTGGTCTTCTAGGCAACATGTCAAATTTTTATTGTTTGTTAGCAGGAACAAATACTAGGTTATCGTATTTCTGCCGACTTCTGCCAACCACCCTTGACCTACTGCCGGCAATTGCCGCTTGGCAATTGCCACTGGCAGAATGGCAGCATTCTGCCAACAACACTAGCTGTACGTAAGGTTTACTCTGAGTACTGTAACGTAGTCAGCCAATTAAAGATCGTTTATCGTTTACTACTAGAAATTCTGGACTCCGAGTCAGTCCTAATGAGGAGCTTAGGAGTGACTTGACACGTATACACACGGTTATATGCAATGAATTGACCTAGTAAGTACTTGCCATCGTCCGACATGCACCGCTGTCTTCGCCTGACTGAGATCCTCGAAAGAATATTTTGTCTTGTGTTGGATGTTCAATTTATTGACTCAAGCTTCGATGCCTATGAACTGCTACAGCCTGCAATCTTACCGTTTCCTACCACTGAAGGTCGACGCTCTGTCCTCAACTTTGCACTTACCTGTCGTGCATTTCGCGACCCAGCACTCAACGTCCTTCACTCCTACATAGGAGATATCTCGTCTCCCATCAAGTTCGTGCCTGGCCAACTGCCTAGACCTCCCCGGGTTCATATACCCGAACAGTTCCGCCCATCAATCCTCCGTGCTACATGCGTCCAGATCTTCTTCAATCAAAATTTATATCGCGATGACTCTGGATACGCACTGCTCCTTGAAAGCGCATCCAAAGATGCCCCGCTCTTTCCCCAGCTGCGCTCGCTCGGATGGTTCGACCCACATGTTGAAACCATCCCCGCCCTCAACCTCCTCCTGCCCACCGTCCATACCCTCGCTCTAGATATCACGAATGATCAATTTCGTAAGGCCGTCTTCCAAAAACTCCGTACCACCTGCTTGCACCTCAAAGCTCTTGAATTTATAGCCACGTTTCGCACAGAGCTGGTAATCTCAGAATTGGAGTCCTTTCTGTCCAGCTATTCTGAGCGTCTCACCGAACTTTCGATCAGATTTTTCCGTAAAGACATCCCAAACGTTTTGCTCGAAGCTATCGCTGTGCGGCCACGTCTCCAATACCTCACTCTCCAGATAGGATTCGACAGCATGCCTCTCCGTGCACCCCAGCCTTTTCAGGCACTCACTCACCTGCATATGTCATGCGAGAGTCTGAGCCTTTTCTCATCCTTGCTGCATTCTATTTCCGGGACGGATTCTGGTACTTCGGGATTCCCAAACCTCAAGAAAATTTACAATATTGCACTGCGTTGTGGTCCCACCAGTATCTGGTCCGAACTCCTCACTATCCTCACACGCACAAAGCTAGAGCACATCTCGATCATCGAGAGATGTAACTCTGAGCCCAAGCCGTGCTATACAGGACCAACATTTTTTGAGCTTCGTCCCTTCCTCGCCCGCCCTACCACACTCGTAAATATCAAAACCCTCCTCATCTTCTCCGCCCACTTCGGGTCCATTACACTTACAGACGCTGATGTCCACACACTTGCTCGTGCATGCCCACACCTCTATTCTGTTAGCCTAGGGAATCACGCCACATCTGTGTCTTTGGGTGCCCTGGGTTACATCGTGAGACGCTGTCGTGAGCTGTGCGAAATCTCACTACGTGTGGACGCGCGACTTGATGCGCTCGGCACAATACCCCTGGACGATGACGAGCAAATGTACTTACAACCTAATAGACGCCTGAAGATGCTGGCCATTGGAGGGTCACCCATTGCATGTGTGGGACCGTTGAACCCGCCGACTGCACCAGACTTGATGATGTCCATCCCGCGGTTCCTGCACATGATAGCACCGCGACTCGCGAAAGTCGAAATATCCTTAGAGTCGCAATTGGGGTGGACATATCGGAGGTACAGCCTCAGGGAAATGAAGAAAATGGATGACATAAATAGGTGGAGAAAGGTGGGGAGGGTCTTGTTGGAGTTGACACAAGGGGACACTGACTGATGGTTTTGACGTCCTTGTCGGTGGGAGCAGTGTCATGAGTAGAAGAATATGTCATAACACCATGCGGGCTACGAACAACAGCACAGCAATACCTAGAGAAATGACAAGTGTAATAGTATGGACGTGGTATATTGACCGCTGCTCATCGAGTCCACCACTCTCGCGCTCTGGACCGAACGAGTAGCTTCATCAAAAAGGCGTGGCAGAATGGACTCTCGACAAGGCTGGCCGGCAAGATGTTGAAGTCGATACTTGTGGCAAGATCAGCGGTATCTCGTGCTCGAGCTTCTCCGTTCATGCGCAAGAAAGGCTGAAAAAATTGTGGTCAATTAGTGATGATTGTGATGTGTTTTCCATACATTGTGTTCATCATGTAAATGATCTCCAAAGGACATATTGCCTACAAGTCAAATCATCTGTTGACTGAAGAAAACGGCTATACGTGAGCCTTGACCTCAAGCGTTCTGACACCTTGTTCCTCTCCTAGATCTGGGCCCATTTGTGAGGCTCGTAGTCGCGCCGAGGCCCGAATGACAACGAGATGGTGGTCCATAACGTTTGAACTCCGCTGAGGTGCCGAAGCGTGCCGCGTGCCTGCAGCAGCCGCTCAACTTGCGTTTACTATTCACCGGCACCCATGGTGGCTCGCCAATTTATTGCTGAAACAGAGCGCCTCCCAGATCACGCCCATGTGTTGCTCATAACAACTGGCAGCGTAGCATCTATCAAAGCTCCTCTCATTGTCTCAGCGCTTCTTCAAGTCTGTCCCCGTCCTTGGAATCCTGCTCTTGCTCATGTTATGTGCAACGCAGTACCAAAATGTCAGAGTAGAAGTGGTTGCGACCAAGGAGTCGCTCGCATTTTATGACCCTGCAGATGTAGTCAATGCAGGCGCCCGCGTGTGGACCGATGAGGACGAGTGGTCGGTGAATACACGCGCTTTTCAGAAGAGCTTGGCCGTCTTGACGTCCATGACAGGGGTCATACAAGATTGGAGATCCGATCCTGCATATCGAGTTGAGGAGGTGGGCTGATATTGTTCTTGTCGCTCCCTGCTCGGCGAATACGCTCTCAAAGATTGCACACGGACTCTGCGACAATCCTTGCGGTATGTTTCCCAGCGCATTCATATCGTGCTTGATGGCAAACCTCTTGCTTAGACCTCTCTGCTTCGTGCGCTGGCACCTACGACACCGACTTATGTATTTCCGGCGATGAATACGCTCATGTACGAGCATCCGCTCACGGCAGAACATTTGCACGTCGTGCGGGATGTTGTGCGCTACCAAGTTGTCGGGCCAATCGGAAAAAATCTTGCCTGTGGGGACGTTGGTATGTGGTCCCAACTTTTATTTCTTGCCGTTGCAGATAAATTGACTCTTTTTCGAAGGACTTGGTGCCATGACGGAATGGCGAGATATCGTGGAGATAGTGGTGGATCAAATGAAACTCGTTCGCAAAGACAACAAGTCATAAAACTCTATAAGTCTAATATTGGTCTAATCCTTCTTCTTCGCGAATACATGTATATGTGCTAGTCCACGAACGCTTTGTATCCTCTGAAAATGCTCAGCGTCTGATGCAGCCTAGCTAGAGCCACTCACTGGGGGGTTGACAAACCATGCAGTCTCCCATTCCCTCTCCACCCACCTTCGTTTAACAAAACCATCTATTTCTCTTCCAGCATTCCTCACCATCTCTTCGATCTCTGGATTGCCCCTGGGGCTGCGAACTAATTTCTCCATTGTGATTCCCCACTCCGCAAGTGCAGGCAGACACTCTGGTAGGGTGGACGGTGAGGGTGGAAGCTCATTGGTGCCTGTAAACCCACACAACCCATCTTGTTGAATCCGTGTATCGACTTCTGCTGGGATGAGATCTGGATGGAAGATGGGTACTCGCGACCAGATGAGCGTATGTTCGATCTCGATAGGGACGGAGTAAGGCCAGTCGTTCTGAATGATACTGATGAACTCTGAGTCGAACGGCATATCAGCTTTGAAATATTCGGGTGCATCTGGGGGAAGTGGTGGGAGAAACTGATTAGATTTGGATGATGAGATGGACCCATCCTTGAGTCTGATATCGCTATCGAGTGCTGAGGGTAAGAGTGAAAGGGTATCCGGCTTTCCCCATTGAAGACGATGGTTGATAAGGTAGTTCTCTTCAGGCTGTTGAGCGATCTCTACATCCTGACTCTACGTTACCTACCCAATGAGCCGTGCTCCTTCACGACTCCTGGAGACCATGCGTTGTATCTCTTTTGTAGCGCCTTGTCACGCTTTAGCAGCCCGAGATCCCTTTTGTGACGTTGCAGAGTCAGCGTCGTCTGTCTTGTTGATACTGGCGGTGAAATACAAGTACCCAGAATTCACGAAGGTCTTGAGCTGGTGCCATGTGAACTTGGGTGGATAGTGCGCGAGCAACTCTTCCCTTGTTGGAGGACCTGTTCGCAGGGAAACTTGTATGATTTTTCGGTGGGAAACATTATCTGGTGTATCCAAGGGTGGCTCTATGGTCATGGTCGTTGCAACGTTGATGGGTATATACCTTATGTGATTTGTTGATCATTTGTTTACCTCTGCATCGTGTCCGTTCTATATATACCTCAGTAAAGTAAACCTTTTTTTAGCAGGGATCTAATTCCCCGAAACAGGGGACTTGATGCCGAGGATGCATTCATCGCATGTGTTCTTTCTGAAAAAAGAAGGATTTTGCGACTCTAGTCCAACGATAAATAATAATGCGAAAATCTCGAGAATTAGTCCTAATTAGGAGCTGAGGAGGTGACTCGGACTTGACATGCGGCTATATGCAATGAATTGACCTAGTAAGTACTTGCCACCGTCCGACATGCACCGCTGTCTTCGCCTGACTGAAATCCTCGAAATAATATTTCGTCTTGTATTCGATGTTCAATTTATTGACCTAGGCTTCAATGACTCTGAAGTGCTACAGCCTGTAATCCTACCGTTTCCTAACACTGAAGGTCGACGCTCCGTCCTCAACCTCGCACTCACCTGTCGTGCATTTTGCGACCCAGCACTCAACGTTCTTCACTCCCACATAGGAGGTAGCCGGTCTCTCAATATCCTGCCTGATCGAGTGGTTTTGTTACCCAGACCTTCCTGGCATGCACCCGAACAGTTCCGCCTATCAGTCCTCCGTGCTGCACGCGTCCAGATCCTCTTCAATCACAATTTCCATCGCGATGACTCTGTATGCGCACTGCTCCTTGCAAGCGCACCCAAAGACGCCCCGCTCTTTCCCCAGTTGCGCTCGCTCGGATGGTTCGACTCACATGTTGAAACCATCCCCGCCCTCAACCTCCTCCTGCCCACTGTCCATACCCTCGTTCTAAATATCACGAATGATCAATTTCGCAAGGCCGTCTTCCAAAACCTCCGTACCACCTGCTTGCACCTCAAAGTCTTGAATTTATAGGCGTGGTTGACACACTGGCAACCTCAGAATTGGAGTCCCTCCTGTTCAGCTATCCTGAGGGTCTCACCGAACTTTCGATCAGATGCTTCCGTGAAAACATCTCAAACGCCTTGCTCGAGGCTATCGCTGTGTGGCCACGTCTCCAATACCTCACTCTCCAGATAGGATTCAAAAGCATGCCTCTCCATGCACCCCAGCCTTTTCAGGCACTTACTCACCTGCATATGTCATGCGAGAGTCTGAGCCTTTTCTCATCCTTGCTGCATTCTATTTCCGGGACGGATTCTGGTACCTCCGGATTCCCAAACCTCAAGAAAATTTACAATATCGCACTCCATTGCGGTCCCACCAGTATCTGGTCCGAACTCCTCACTATCCTCACACGCACAAAGCTAGAGCACATCTCGATCATCGAGAAATGTAATCCTGAGCCCAAGCCGTGCTATACAGGACCAACATTTTTTGAGCTTCGCCCCTTCCTCGCCCGCCCTACCACACTCGTAAATATCAAAACCCTCCTCATCTTCCCCGCCCACGGCGGATCCATTATACTTACAGATGCCGATGTCCACACGCTTGCTCATGCATGCCCGCACCTCTATTCTCTTAGCCTAGGGAATCACAACACACCTGTGTCCTTGGGTGCCCTGGGTTACATTGTGAGACGCTGTCGTGAGCTATGCGAAATCTCGCTACGTGTGGACGCGCGGCTCGATGCGCTCGGCACAATACCTCTGGACGATGACGAGCAAATGTATCTACAACCCAATAGACGTCTGATGAGGCTAGCCATTGGAGGGTCACCCATTGCATGTGTGGGTCCGTTGAACCCGCCGACTGCACCAGACCTGATGATGTCGATCCCACGGTTCCTGCACATGATAGCACCGCGACTTGTCAAAATATCCTTAGAGTCGCATTTCGTGTGGACACGTTACAGGTACAGGGAAATGAAGACAGCGAATGATACGGAGAGGTGGGAGAAGGTGAAGGATGTCTTGTCGGAGTTGGCACAAGGGGACACTGACTGATGGTTTTGATTTTCTTGTCGGTGAGAGCAATGTCATGAGTAGAAGAATATGTCATAACACCACGCGGGCTACGAACAGCACAGCAATACCTAGAGAATTGACAAGTGTAATAGTATGGACGTAGTATATTGACCGCTGCTTATCGAGTCCACCACTCTCGCGCTCTGGACCGAACGAGTAGCTTGATCAAAAAGGCGCGGTCTCCACAAGGCTAGCCGGCAAGATGTTGAAATCGATACGTGTGGCAAGATCAGCGATGCCTTCGTCGTGCAGCCTCGTGCTTGAGCTTCTCCGTTCAGCGCAAGAAAGGCTAGAAAATCTGTGGTCAACTTGCTAGTGATGATTGTGATATGTATTTTGCCATACATTGTGTTTATCATGTAAATGATCTCCAAAGGACATATTACCTACAAGTCGTCTGTTGACCGAAGAACACAGCCATACGTTCTCTTCGAGCCATGACTTGAGTGCAGCCTGCACTTGTCAAGAGGACAGACCCTCGACAATCCGGCACGATATCCCAGTTTTCTTTGTGCGACGGCGAGGGTTGCATGTCGAAGTCCTCGTCATCAAACCTCGATACGAAATCAGGCTTCCATATCATTCGTACTCGACTTTGATGGATGAATAGATGTCTGCAGGATGCGGAAGGACTCTGAAATTTTCGGGCTGAAGTTCGTTAATAAAACGAATAGTTCATATGTTGAGCAGCTCACCTTCGAGTCTGATAGATCGGCCCTCAAAGCTGCCAATGATGAGATATTGACTGAAAGAATAAACAAGCAACACAGATCGAGGGTGAACCGAAAGGCACTGGGGAATTGTCGTGAATTGGTCGCTTTGTCCATGCGCTTGAGGAGTAAGACCAAATTGAGTCGGACGAGGGCCATGAGTGAACTCATTGATAAGCACAGAAGCGGGATCGATAGGGCGTAGGTCACTTTCAAGGATGAGGACGGACATCGGAGATGTTTCAGTATCAATTTCCTTGTCAAAATTCCTCAGCAAGATGGACGTACACACTAGTCTAAGGTGTCTTAGCGAAGATGATGGAGAGGATATATGTTCATTCTTGGCAGCTACAATATCTCCAACGTCCTAACATCCACCATGTCCCTGACTCGTGCGATGATGTTCTGATCCGACGCGATCCTCTTGACTGCCTGCATTGGCAACGTGGAGAATGAGAAGGTTGCTTGTTCCTCGAAAAGCATGATAAATATACACAAGCCAAAGTCTTCATACAAGCACTCAAAGATGAGACACATCTACACTTGCTGTAGATGCAGCATCATATTTGAGGTTGAAAATGACAAAATTCATGTTGGCGAACGTTCGAGACATGCATGGATTGCACGATCGATCATGACTCGATGCCAGTAGTACTGTGAGTACAGAGGGTTTGAATGCGGAATTTGCTCGCTGCATCCAAGACTAAACTCTCTGTACCACACGATGAGTACTGAGAGCCTTTCGAACTCTGCAGATCACCAATGGCAAGAGACACGTCGATGGGAAACCTTGGATACGCGCTCAAACTCCGTTTAAAATTTACCACGCTTCTGTCCCGAATAGTTATACGGTGAAGACAGGGAGCGCCCATTTCGTCTTCCTCCCAACTTCTCCGGTCAACAAGACTCAAGTATTCGTCGGTCGTTGAAGTTCAATATGGCACCCTCAGATGAACTCGAGTATCTGAAGCACCTCGTAGCGCAGCTCAATGACAAAATTCACGCGCTAGAGGCAAAGGCGAAAGCTTCCGTTTCTCGGACGCCTGCCCAACAGCTTAGGACCATTCTTATGGGTCCTCCTGGTGCTGGTCCGTCACTTTTACTTGAATAATGATGTTCCGGTGAGATGTATTAACATTTACGGCGGTTCACAGGCAAGGGAACGCAAGCCCCACGGATACGCGACGATTTCTGCGTCTGCCACCTCGCAACGGGCGACATGCTCCGCGAGCAGATAGCCAAGAAAACTGAGTTGGGGAGGATGGCTAAGAAAGTCATGGATGCCGGTGAACTCGTCACGGACGATATCATGGTCAACATGATCAAGGATCAGCTTGAGAATAACAAGGAGTGCAAGGACGGGTGCGTTTTATCTATATCTTTTTATTTAATCGCGTCGGTTCTGATATGGGGCTCAGATTCGTATTGGACGGGTTCCCGAGGACCGTGCCTCAAGCTGAGAAACTCGATTCCATGCTTGATTCCCGCGGTGAAAAGCTCGACAGCGTCGTCGAGCTCCTCATCCCCGATCAACTCCTCATCTCCAGGATCACCGGCCGTCTCATTCACCCGGCTTCAGGGCGGACGTATCACAGAGAATTTCAGTACGTCTCACACTAACGCTGTGCACTCTTTGACGCTAATACATTCCGGTATTACATAGTCCGCCTAAAAAACCTATGACGGATGATGTCACCGGCGAACCGCTTATTCAGCGGTCCGATGACAATGTAGAAACGCTGCGCAAGCGTCTTGACACGTTCCACAAGCAGACTGGTCCTGTCGCAGCGTACTACAAAACAAAGGGCTTGTGGCAAGGCATCGACGCCGCTCAAAGTCCTAGCGTCGTCTGGGATAATCTTCGCCAAGTGTTCCGGGCTCCACCGGCAAAGTCGTAATATATCGCACGCTTTTCGACCGGTGACCATACATAGACCCGTCTCTTTCGTGCATAAACTGTTGTACAGTGCTTTTCACCTACATATTTGCGCTTGTCAAACAGCACGTACATAGAGCACCAAACTTGCAAGATTCAGATAAAGCGACTATCGACGCGTGGCGGTGATATTTTACTTCGATAACTAAGCACGCCTGAACAATTACTCTACTTTGGAACCCTTCTTCCGCTCGCCTTTGACATCTCCTGCAAGCCACAAAGCTGCAAAAAGGAAAAATCCAGCGCTGGTGCTGATAGCTCCTGCATAATACGGCCACGCGGCGCTCAAGAAACGGGGGTATTGGTCATGTCTCGGCGGCACGACCGGGACGGTCGTGCTTGATTCGAGGTATGAGTAACTAATTATGAATCGGTTGGTCAAAGACGTCAACGCGGAGATGAAGTAATGTACTAACCCCTTCCTCTTCCAGTTGAGGACAAACTTGAAAACACCATGTCTATCAGGAGCGCGAAACTGGACTTGGTATGTACCAGGGGAGCCAGAAACAGGCAGAAGAGAGGTGCGGATGTGAGGATCGAGCATGGTGAATTCTAACTGCAAGTCGTCGATGCCGCTGTAAGGCTTCCATGTAGACGTCTCGCTGTCGTACGCAGAGATATGCGCTGTATACACCTTTCACAAGACATTACGTCAAGCAAGTACCATGAAACCAGCAAGCAAAACTTACGATTTCATCATTAGTAGTATACATCTTTGGCGCCTCGCTCTCACCAACTCGATGATGGTCAACCCCATCGATCCTCAACTTCAACTTCGCCTGGAAAACCCAGGCAGCCACATCCGTCACGAACAAAGCGTTCCCAGGAGGCCCCCCAGAAGGAAGCTCCTTTGTCGCATATTCGTCACTGAACATCTTCACGCCGCCTGCGAACACTACGCGCGAGTTCACGTTCGTTTGGAATCCAGTAACTAAGCCCATCTGACTTCCGGCCCAGAGGCCTTCACCGCCTTTTTCGGAAGCAGTTACGAGGGCGTCGCTGTCAGCGTCACTTGTGGAGTCGGCAGCGAAACTCTCTGCGGGGGCACGGAGAATGGGAACGAGCATAGGGGTAGAGCCTAGCGCGTGAGGTGCGCCTGTAAACCAGACTGGGGGTATTCCTGAGGTGAGGATTGGGCTTGATGATGAGACCGTGACAGGGATTGTGGTTTGGGGCTCTGAACGAGCGGGGTGGTGCGAGATAAGTGGTGTTTCTGGAGGCGGGAGGATGAGTGAGAACTCTGCCGCGAGACTTGTGAGGGGCGTTTGTTTCGGAGAGAGCGCGATGAGTAGGTTGGTGTTCTCTGAGAGGAGGCCTACGAGTGACTGGGGAGTGATGTCTTGTGCATATGCTGTGATTGGATTGAGGTCAGTAGGTTTGTACTTTATACTTTGTACGCACATTTTGTGTCTGGTGCGAAAAGAATGACGTGGTCATAGTTTGGCACGCCATAGTCGGTGATGGCAGGACTGGTGTCTTTGGGAGCACGGAACGTTAAATTATAGCCTCGTTCTTTCAAAGAGTCAGATGATACAAAACAACCATTAAAACTAAACACATACTTTCAAGTCCACCAAAGAAAATCGAATAGTTCTCCCTGTCTAATGATGGGTCGAGCACTACAAGAACAGAACTCGAACTTGCAAAGCTGAATGTTGTAAGTGTAAGGAGAGTTACGAGTGCAGAGCTGAGAAGCCGCATCTCTGTGGTATTGTTGATGAGACCAGCGTTAATGTCGCAGCCTTCCACGTCTTGGATGTTCTATTTTTGGACGTGTTTGAGCGTGGTTGTGTAGCCATGTTTGGTCCCGTTGCGAAGGATTTGTTTGAGCAGTGTGTGGTTGGGGGTGCGCGTGATTGACTTGTCGTGTCAATATTCGAATTCCCTACCAGGCTTCAAAGCTTCACGTCCGTTGACGAGCTCCAGTCCACCAATATTTATCAATTGATTTTAAGGATATTACGTCCGTCTAGCTGTCTACAGTGGCTTAGCTTTAAGCTTCAACTTGAAATGTTGTCACCTTTCTATAGATTGAAACCTCCATTCAACCATTCAATATTAATATTCAATTTCAAATCGCGCCTCGCGCTCACCATCCCCCAACTCTAAGCCCAAGAAACTTTGGATTCAAATCCTCGTGCGTTGTCTCTCGAATTAACCATCGCCTGGAGGATTTCTAACAGCACCCCCTCGAACCCAGTTAGTACTTTTAGTTGGTTCGCTTATCACAACGCCGACCTTCATCAATGAGTAACGATCAATGTTAATACTTCCATCTCTTATCTCTCACATGATCTCTAACCTCTTCGATAGTTCTTGAAGAAATTTGGCTAAAGCTCTCCCAGGTTGCTGTCACAGGTGCCCAATACAACTCTGGTGAACGTTTGCCCCACCCGAAATGTTTGAATGGGACCCGAGTTGATCTCCTCAAATACATCCACGAATTATTGGATGACCCAGAGAAAAATCAACTGATTTGGCTGCATGGCACGGCTGGTGTCGGAAAGTCTGCCGTCGCGTTTACAGTTGCTGAAACGATGAGAGGTCTCAAAGTGACCGAAGAGACACGTCGAAAAACGGCTAGCAGGAACATTCTTTTTCTCGCGCAAGTACACAAAGCGTTGCACAGCTGGACATTTCTTTGCGACGCTTGCCTACCAGCTTGCCACCAATTTTCCAAGCATCCGGATGGACGTGAGCAGAGCGATCCGCAACAATCCTGCACTACTAAACCCGGATACGCCTCTCCGCGACCAGATGGAGGCTCTCTTTCTCCAACCCCTCCGCAGACTTCGACTCAGATTTCCGGGATGTCCGCCTTTGACGTTTGTTGTCGATGCGCTTGATGAATGCACATCTAAACCCGAGATTACTGATCTCATCCTTTCCCTTGCACAGGCTCTTCGTGAGCCTGACCTTCCCGTGACCCATATTCTACTCACAAGTCGCTCGGAATCCCATATCCATAAAGCCTTCCAGAACGAAGAGGTGCGCCCGTTGGTGCGCGAGATATCCGTGAGAACTTCTGGGGATGGCATTTCGTTGGACGGCGTAGATGTTGACAACGACATCTGTACTTTCTTGCAGCATTCCTTTGAAGAGCTGGAAAGTCGCCATCCCGATTTCCCTAAGCTATCGATGGATGATCTTGCGAAGCTGGCGAGCCGAGCGGGCAGACGTTTCATTGTAGCGTCTACGATGATGAAGTTTATTATCGACGATGAAGACAAGGATCCCCGCGATCGATTGCAGCTGATGCTCAAGCTGACGAGCAAGCTGCTACCAGGAACGGAGGTGTACAAGTTTTACGACTGTATCCTCTCAACATGTGCCGACCCCAAGCGTGCTTACATGCACTTGTCCATTGTTGCTGCCCTCACAGACCCTCTTCCCATTTCGCAAATCTCATCACTTCTTGGCCCTGGTTTAGGCAGGGATGTGCAGACAACGTTGATACAGCTACGGTCTTTCGTGGATATCCCTGGAGACAGCATTCTCCCTGTGAATATCCATCACTCGTCCATTCGTGACTACGTTTTCAACTCCTCAAACTCCAGCATCCCTCAAGTCCGCGAACACGATATGCCATCACCCCACTCCCTGCTCGCTGATTCCTCTTTTCGCTTGATGATGAAAGAGATTCCTGAAAGCACGGCCCTCTTGGATGCGCTCTCAGGACTGATGGAGCAGAGCCATGCAATGCAACATATGGACCACAGTACATTAAAAAACCAATTAGCCTTCCTCGTTCGGCCACCCGAGCCAGTGTCTGTTCTTATCTGCATGCTATGGCTTCGAGGTGATCGCCGGTCAGATATGCAATTCTGGTTAAAGACCATGGATGGGAGTGCCTGGCTACAGACCTGGAATGGGCAATGCTGGCTGAAGACCCGGGAGGGACGAGAGTGGCTGCTGCGTACCCAGGGAGGACGAGAGTGGCTGCAGACCGAGGCAGGAATAGCCTGGCAGGTCTCTGTCTCGGTCTCAGACTCAGACTCAGACTCAAGCATGCCACCATTACAACCCCCCGTTTCAGACTCGGAGTCCGACGGTCGGACGTTGGACAGTCGGATATCCAAAGATCGAGATGTCTTCGACTCTTCAGATCCTTCAGATTGGTATACAAGCCAGGAAGAGGATGACCAGGTGCAGTTGTGGCGCAGGCCAGATTGGCTGCAGACCCAGGAAGGGCAAAGCTGGCTGCAGACCAAGGAAGGATGGGACTGGTTGCGGACCGCGGGAGGACGAGACTGGCTGACTCGGAGAACTAGGGGAGGGCGACGCTGGCTGAAGACTAAGGGAGGGCGACGCTGGCTGCAGACCCAGGCAGGAAGGGGCGGCTGGCTGCAAACTGAGGGAGGACGGGACTGGCTGAAAAGTCAGACAGGACGAGACTGGCTGGCTCGGAGATCTAGGGGAGGGCGAATTTGGCTGAAGACCAAGGGAGGGCGACGCTGGCTGCAGACCCAGGAAGGAAGGGACTGGCTGCAAACTGAGGGAGGAAGGGACTGGCTGAAAAGTCGGAAAGGACGAGACTGGCTGAAAAGTTTGGCAGGACGGGATTGGCTGCAGAGTCGGGCAGGACAGGACTGGCTGCAGACTCGTGCAGGATGGGACTGGCTGCAGACTCATGCAGGATGGGACTGGCTGCAGACCCAAGCAGGACGGAACTGGCTGCAGACCAAGGTAGGACGAGACTGGCTGCAGACCAAGGCAGGACGAGACTGGCTGAAGTCTCCGGACGGGCCAGACTGGCTGAAATCCCCAGACGGGCAGGACTGGCTGCAGACGTCCCATGTTCAAGCGTGGAAATCCACTCCTGCGGCGTCCGTCTGGGTGACTTTGGACGAATTCTCAAGTATGTTGGAAGCAATCACCCAGTTTATCATTGTCCAAGAATTACGTCTGCTACCAACCTTTCAAGTGGTCCAGCAGTTCAAAAGCTTGCCGGACTTCTTGATGTTCCCAGTATTCCTTGCATTAAGCCACCAGCATCATTCCACTGTATCATCAACATATCGATCACCAAACAGGAAAATCGTTCATCCACCAGACAGGAAGATCGTTCGTGCTATGAACGCCTTCATGACTTTCGCACACAACGCACAGCGCACCAGTCAATTATCTTCCGATACTCTCAAGTACGCCTGTCAAAACTGGGCCACTCATCTCTCGCGTGCTCCAGATCCACGGGATGAAACGCTCAACTACATATTCCAGGCTTTCTGGGATCGTTACCTCCTTTCCTGGCTCGAATGGCAGTGGTGTTCAAAAGGTCTGCGGTCATGCCTTGTCATCTTATCTGAAGGGCAGAAACTTGTTAAGTGTATTCCAGGACCCTGAGAGGAGACTGGTTTCCGGAAGTTGGCTCTGAAACATGGCTCATTCCAAACCTTTTATACCTTTTATGTTGATAGCGGCTTACGACTGTCTCTTACATCTCCTTTTCCTCCTCGCTCAGTTATCAGCTTGCAGTCTTGATTGCCAAGGGTTTGTTCGACTCATTCAGGATATACTAAATAGATACATGTAAATTCAGTACCAGTGGTTTGACTCACCGCGTTTCTTTAAGAACCTATTGAACTTTGAGAAGCAAGCACATACTGAAAAACTTGACTGCCATTTGAATCAGAAATCTCCGTGACCCTCAGACTGGACCGTGGCGAACAGGCTAGAATCGATTTGATTCATATCTTGCCGGCAGGTAGGCAACTCAGGATCCTTCTCAGAAGCCGGGCTTTGATTGTTGACGTAAATACCTTCCGCGTTATTGCCGCGAGGTTCACTGGCTAGCAGCTCTTGGGCAGCTCACAATTTTTCACAATGGCCTCAGAAGAAAGCCCTTTACTGGTGCCTACCGCACATGAAGCTATTTACAACAGATTTGCGCCTGATCAAAAGAGGTGGATTGTGTTTCATGTGTCTTTTGCGGGTTTGTTGGCTAGTGAGTACTGGGAGTTAAAGTGTACTGTTTGACGCAGATACTGATAAACATTGGTCAGTGTTTGTCCAAGTGACGTTCGTGCCTTCCATCCCTCAGATAGCTAAAGATCTCGACTTAACACATGCTGTCGTTAGGTGTGTGTTGTATGCTCATCTGATATGTAGTCACGATCGAGCTAGTTCCCAGCTTGGCTTTGAGCGTATCGGTCTTTGCTAATGCCATCGGAGCGTTATGTTGGTCTGCGTATTCGTCTTTCTGTGCGTGCATCCCATGGCGTGTCTTACACTCATTGTAGTTTTTTGAGTTCTAACACCAGTCCTACAGACGGACGCAGATCGATATATCTGTGGGGAATGCCGTTTCTATGTGTTGGGAGCTGTGGTGTCGCGTTGTCGACTTCGTTGCAGAGTCTGTTATTCTGGCGATTCGTGCAGATGTTTGGATGCGCTGGGGCGTTGTCGTTGGGGTCAGGTGTAATTGGCGACATTTATAAACTGGAGGAGAGGGGGACCGCTATTGGGATATTCTTTAGTGTGAGGAATCATGACGATTGAATGGTTTTTTCGGTTTGGTATTGACACTGCTATCTCAGGTCACACTTCTCGGGTTCACTTTTGCCCCGTTTATTGGAGGTAAATATATTCTGGATGTTTATGACCGCTGACTCTAGTGACACATTTGATCAGGTGCGGCGACACAGTATTGGTCCTGGCGCAACCTGCATTATTCCGTTGGTGTATGGGGCTTACTCGAGATGCTTCTCATATATCTTTCATTTCCTGAGACCAGTCATCCCGGCACATTGGGTATTGATAAACTGCCGTCCAGGAGACGGATTCATATCAAATGGGTTAACCCTCTGAGCAGTCTTTGGTTACTTCGCAGTCCGAACCTATTTGCGGTTGTGAGTGCATTTACCATGCGCTACGTAGTACAAAGTCTTAATTTTGTGTGAGATTTAGATGCTTGCGTCAGCTCTAATGGTCAACACCATGTATGGTGCGTTGTTACTTGTTACTGATTGTGCAGTACATTCTCACATAGAATCATGTAGTTCTCCTCGTACCGATAGCGAATACCATTGTAAGCTGACAATCATCTTCCATCTCGCATCCTGATCGCGGTATAGGGCGCCCGGTATGGAATCACGAACAATGCCATCATCGGGGCATTTTTCCTCCCAAACGGACTGGGATGCTTCGGTAGGTCCAGAGCATTGTAGTCACAGTGCACCAACATGTCCTTGAACAGGCGGAACTCTGGTTGGTGGCCGCCTGTCGGACATTGTAGTCAGAAAATGGCGGGAGAAGCGCAGAGGAGCATATTGTCCCGAAGACCGCTTGAGAGCGACCTGGATTGGAGGGCTACTCATTGTCCCATTGTCTATTGGGGCATCGGGGCTGATCGCGACATATATTGGGGGACCGATCGGCCTTGCGCTGAATATATTATGCCTCTATGCGAATGGAGTGGGGGTAAGTCATGCGAGCTAGATCCCCTCACTTGTGCATAAAGCAATTCATTGGATTTATAGGTCGAGTTAGTGTTGAATCCCATTAATTCTTATAATGTGGACATAGTGCATTCTCGAAGCGCAGAGGCCGCAGCTGCTTGCATGTCAGTCTCTATAATATCGCCTGACTATTAAACTTGAACTCGTTCATTTACCTGTCAGGGCGAGCTGGTCGCTCATCATGTCTGTTGCCACTGCTCTTATCATTCCAACGATCGAGCGCATAGGTGTTGCGTGGACGGATATCACTGCGGCTGGCCTTGCGGTCATCGGACAAGGGTAGGGGTCTTTTTGAATGCAAGATTGGTGATACTGACATAGCACGGCTTTAAAACTTCTTTTATAGGATGATTTTCTTGACAATTCGTTATGGTGATAGCATGAGGGCGAGTATAGATGTTGGTTTCTCGACCATTGAGAATAATTAACGGATTGATCTTTGTTTATCTGAAAGGAAGCAATGTATTATAATCAATATATGTGGAACAATATACTCGTCATCATTGCCAACAAAGAAAATAGAATTGTCTCCCTGTCTAATGATGACTCGAGCCTCGAGCACCATGAGAACAAAACTCGAACTCGAAATACTGAATTTTGTAAGTGCAAGGAGTCAAATTTATTGTCCTTTGGGGTCAAAAACCCTGAGTAGGACATAGCCCTTTTCACGCGGGGGTTACTCCCGCTCATTCTACCGTATGCAAGGAAAGCTACGAGCGCAGAGCTGAGAATTAAGCCTACGTGTTCGATGTTCTATTTTTGGATGTATGTGAGCGTGGCTGTGTAGTGATGTTGTCAAGGCAAACTTTGACACGCACAGACTCGGACCACTCTGCAGTGACTCATCATACGTGTTATCTATAACCTTTTTATCAAATTTAACATCACAATATCCTACAACGTACCACGCCCGTGACGCTGACTCTGGCCTATAATCGACATTATTAGCAAGTGCAGCGAAGGGTTCTCCATGGTGTTGTAAACACAGCATGGGCAGCTCCTCGTTGTACCTGCCACGTTGTCAGGCGCGGTGCGCCTTAATCACCCAGGACTCACCTGATGTTTCTGTTGCATTGTTTTGCTGTCGCTTATAGCCACGAATCACATCCTGTAATGGTGAACAGGCCTTGAGCAAAAACGTAAGTGTTATCTTTGCAGCTACAGAGGAAGCCGATCGCATAAAGTATACGGATTGAAATAAGCACAGCAGTCCGTGTTGTAGCACCGATTCGCCCTGATGGGCACCAGAAAAGTGACCAAGATCATGCGAGCAAGGAAAAGTTGAGTGAGCCACTTTTTGATAGATTTTGGTCGTGCAAGCACCAGTCTGAATGCCTGTTCTAGGATCTTATGGGACAAAACGTGAATATAAAGCAAGCTGCACAGTCGGATTTGTGACGAAAATTTCTTCATCTACCTGTTACTCTCCATGATTGCAAATTGTACGTGGACAACTTTGGTGGCGAGGTTGAAGACTGTAAATTGTTATCCACAGCCAGCTGGCTTTGCCGCATTTGACTCTTGCTTGCTGGAGGGCATCCGAGAACCGGAGATTGTCATTGATCGTGGGGTGAAATCAACTTGGGTCCCAACCTGAACATTAACACCAACCCTTGCCATCACCAAGGCCCTCTTTCCTCGAGAAATCTCAAACATGTCGGCCACCCCCGCGAAGATAACTCGTTTTCTCAAGCGTCTCGTACGACCAGCTAGCTTGAGATATCCAGTCAAAAAGGTGACATCACTATTGAATTTTAGTGTTCTCGCGTTGACCGACAATGGTTTCTAGCCTGCGATATGGTTCCTTGTATTCTTCTATGTCTGCTCAGCCGCATTCATCATCACACTCACTCCAGCTCGCATTGCTCAATTCGTGTATGATACCGGTCAAAACTTCCGACATCTTCCATATGGGTACATGCTTCTTATCCTTGTCATGAGTAAGCATGTCTTGTACGCTTTCATCTGATGTTCAAACATGATTCATCTCAGTTGTCACATCCTTCCCCCCTTTCATTGGACATAGCATACTCCTTTACTTGTTCGGTTTCACATACGGCATACGGGGCATCATCCCCGCGGTAATTGGAACACTGGTGGCATCCGTTATAGTTTTTGTCACCCTTCGGATGATGTTCAGCAAGAGGCAGCGTTTGTGGACCCCCACTCACGAGAAATGGCAAGCTCTGGAAGTTGTCATAGTCAGTGTGTTTCATTAGCATCGGCTTATTTGCTTAGTGGAAGATGCCTACAGCGATCAAGAGGTATGCCCTTGATCATCCTCATCCGTATGTCTTCACTTGTGCCGTGGGCTTGGTCAAACTCGCTATTCGCAGTAAGCTTTTCAATTGCCAGTATTTTGGATCTAATGCCTTCACAATAGAGCATATCGTCGGTATCGTTGCTCCAGTTCTTCATAGCGACTTGTTTTGTCGTCCCAAGGGTCGTGATACAAGTATTCATCGGAACTCGTGTTGCCAAAATCTCAAACAACAAACTGAGAAGTCGCAATATTACCCGTAAGAACTCATGACATGCCGTTCTGCTTTTATTAATTCACGGCGCGCAGTAGCGAGATTTTTCAACGCCCTTCTCATTATCGGTGGTATTCTGTCAACTGCTTTAGCCAGCTCGTTCGTATCCAGGTCACCGCTATTCTGGATCTTTTCTCACGATGCTATAGGCTGGTCTATTATTTCGTACGGAAGGAGATCAAACATTTACGTGTCAGCTCGTCAAAGCGTGACGAAACAGCTGCAGAGACATTTGGGGCAACACAGGAAACGTCTTTTTCTGACTCCACAGTTTGACTCTTACTTCCTTACTGAGCTTATCGTAGTAAGCTGCCTTATCTTGGTGGTGGAATATATATTATCCACCCGCATTGTTGTGTTCTTGATGGATCGATCCTGCTGACCGTTGCTGTAGCAAAACTTGCTGCCAAGGGACCGAGTTTCAGATCAGCAAGAACAGCACGTACTAATTAGGCGCACCAGTAGGATTCCCCTCCCGATTGGACAAATACTAGTGAAGCAACGTGCTGCAAAATTTGGTAGCTAGTCATGAGTTATGAACTATCTTTGTCAAACTGACGCCCGTGAGCTAATAGTGAAAAACATGTGCCTTCAAGGGGCAGGGTCGAGAACGAACGGCAAGTGAGGGCGCTTGCGGATGGCAAAACAGGACTGTCTCTGAATGGTGGGGTCGAACCCCCAACGTCAGGTATAAAATCTCGATTCGGAGCAGATGGTGCAACTACACCACCACGCCCCTTTGGAGACTAGACGCAGAAGCAAGGATGGCAGTATATATGAACTTGTACTGTTAACGCACGGCAAAATAGGTATCCCCATCTAAGAGCCTTTAAGGGGGGAGGGGGAGTCGAACTCCCAACATCGGGTATAAAAACTTACCAAAGCGAACGATACAGTTAGATACCGTTGCATTTGGCACTGGATGGAAAGTTTGGGGATGGCAGCAGTATATACGCACTTGCACTTCTTTTTTTATGTAAATGAAGAAAAAAATGCGCATGTTAGATATAGCCTTATTCGCGAGGCTTACTCCCGCCTAATCTATCGTGTGTAGTCTTGGACTCTTGGTAGCTTATGCCGTAAGCCCACAACTCGGAACTTCGGTTCTATGTAACAATGGAGGTAAAATGAGGGGTGGAATGATGTTACGATAGCGGCTATTGTTTCAGGGTGTAGTCCTAATGCACGCTTAGTACTAGTACAAGTCCACCGAAGGTCCAGTCTAACGATGTCTGTATTCACAATGGCTTCGACTTGTTTCACCATGCACCTCAAATTTGTTTTTGTGGACCGTGACTGAGCCATGGTATATAACTTGAGGGCGTAGGCATTTCCTCTGCATCGTTATCATTCAAACAGCTATTAATGCACAGTTATTTGTGCCGTTTTACGTGTCTCATAAAATAAGTTGAATCTGAAGAGACAAATCTACTGAAAAAAGGTGCTTTTACTTCTGTCGTGTTCACATGACTTCCCCACTGCTCGTACAAAAAGTAACGATCACTGCTAAAATACATTGTACCAAACACAAATTCCGGTCATCGATCCTTTATACCATGAGACGAGATGTCTTCACAATCTCGAGCATCATGCCCAGAGCGATCAATCCAAAACTCTGAGCTCCAAACATGCTCGGTTCTTCCTTCAGGTTATCTTCTGCTACACACCACGCCGCCAAACAGCGCTTGAACGTTTCTGCCATCACTCGCCGGTCTGACTCTTCATAATCTTCTTCCTCGTCCGTTTCCGTCTCTGATGTCTCCTGGTCCTCCTCGTACGACGTTTCGGTCCTTGATACAGGATTCTCCCCCTGAAGTTCTTCCCTTACTCTACGAACGAGTTCTTGCGTCTGAAAATATTGTTAAATAACCCATGATGTAGATTGGATGTTGCGCTGACCTGCAAGTTCATCGCGGAGACTGTATTCCGCCGACGTTGATGATCGGACCAAGTTGCCATGATGGTCCCGCTCACCAGTTCGGCTTCGGAGACGTGAACATTCTTGTTTTTCGACATTGTGTGTGCTTGCCCGACGATCAGTAGCTGCTCGCAATATGCATTGAGTAGATATGTAATCTCCTCCATCAACTCTTCACTCGGATCGGGCAATCCTGGAAGGCCAAGATGACGGAGGTCTACGTAAGAGAGCGCAGCCTCCACAGTGGCTCCGTCGGATGGAGAAGAACTCCCGTTCCATGCATGAGGTATTACTCTCTTCATTGGCACCCGACGGTAAAGTTCACCGAGAAGCTTTGTGCTTTTGTAGTACTGCCCGCCGGTGATATCAGCGCCTTCTTTGGCAAGAAAATCTGGCCTGGCTTGAGTCCTCGGAAGCCAAGGTAAGGATCTGAAGTTAACAGGAGTGCCGCTCTTCGGAAAATCAAGTGCCTGGGAAGCAAACTTCGCGAGCTCAATGCATTCTCTACAATTTGGAGTATTCTTGTCAGAAAACCTGAGATGACTGATGGCGATGGGACCAATGAGGTCGGCCTGAATCTATTTTTCACAGTTCATCTCGCAGTCATTTGAACTTGAAGTCAGGATGCAACTCACATAGTCAATTACGAAGTCTGCGACATCGGAGATGCCGCATACATTCGGTATCGATCTGATGGTCACTGCCGGATATTCTCCGGGTTCGAACTGTTTCGTTGGTAGCAGCCTCGGCTGCGGAACGCTTAGGCATGAATGGATGTATCGAAACTTTTGAGCTTACATCAAGAATTAGGTTGAAAATGTCACCATCAAGATCGCCTCCACCCAGACATGATGCAAGCGCCCGTTCACCCCTGTGGACGATATGATTCAGTGTGCCTTTGTTTTGAATCATGAACAGAACTTACTTGCAGGAAAAGACGACGACATTCTTCAAGTGTTCCAACTCTGGCCGTCGTACAGCCGTCACAACCTGCAGGTCGCCTGGGTGAATCTGTGGGCTGCGCGTTATGGCAACCTTTCCCGTGATGCTCTCAACAAATCCCTTCCTTTCATCAAACACGGTCGCGTATATCTCTCCTTCTCTCAGGCAGCCCCATTCATCGGAAACGCCAAGCAAGGTATACGAACCTGGCACTGATATGTGCGCGCGGTACTTTAGTTCCCGCAAGATGTACGTCTCGACGCACTGCAGAGAGCTTTCAATGAGCTTGTTGGTCCACAGCCACGGGTGATTTTCCGCGTCTCCAATTTCGAGTTGCAAAATGGACGATAGGTTTGTGAAGAGAGACGGTAGATGGAAAGATGCCCCAAGTCCGTGTTGCTGAATAATTTTTGAGGCATCGGTACATGACAATCGGACGGACTGAGCTTTGTGTATGTCATCGTCCTGTAGCTCAATAATTCTTTGAGTGTCCACACCCAAGAACTCCATAAGAGATATGAGCGGACGATTGAGGAACACCGGTATTGGTTCCGCTGATGTCGATTGGACGTCAAATGTGAGATTCTCGGGGGCATTGAACTTGATCTGTGACGGACGAAGGCGGACGAGCTTTCCTTGAATTGTGGGGTCTTGGACGACCATGCCTTTGGCCCCGCCAAGTCGAAATTGGAAGGCCGATGGAACATGTCGTAGCTTCGCGGATCGCTTTTTTCTCTTCTGCATAGACCTCCATATCTCCGTGGCAAGCTCAACTGATATGGAGCTGCACCCATCTGTCATGAGCCCGCCTGAAGGCGAGTATCTGTCGGGACAACGAAAATCTACTTCTTCGGGAAGAAGTGTGATCGATGGATCAGTGCCAGAGAAGGCTTGAGACCATCTTGCAGCCAAACGAGCTGGTTGTTTGTGAAGTTTGGAGAAATCGCCCTAATAATTGCATTCAGTCCAAGACATCGAAGGAATCCGATGGAAAGAACTCACCAAGTTGTTTCGTATTGCTTGTGCATTCAGCAATTTCCCATCCTCATCCTCGAATGGCGTAACAAACCACACCGAATGTTCTTTCAGACCGCTCATAGAATATCCCAAGAACTGGAATTGGCGTCCAGCGACGCGATAGCCATCGAGGAGGATATTGCGATATCGCACCCTCAAAAGGTCTGCAATGGAGCAATCGGGTTCCCGATGAAGTTTCGATCCATTCTCGTCCTGGAAACAAACACGCAGGAAGCACTCGGGATGTCCGTATCGGCGTAAAACACTATTGGACTGGTCCGGGACAGGTCCCTCTAGAATATACCGCGTGGGCGTTAGGATGAGATGATAGGATAGGTAGACCCCACTCTGTGGTGGCGGGGCTAGAAGAGGACGGGGCTTTTGGTGCTCTTTGATAAATCCTTGGGTAACTCGGCGAAGAAGAGAAGGCAAACTCTCTTGACTGGATTGCCGCCGTGTCCGGCGGTTGCGACGTTTTGTACGACTCGCACTGCGTCCTGCAAGCTCCGAGGCAAAGGACCGAAATATTTCCGGCGCATCGTCGCCATGTTGAGCTTGTAATGATAAGATGGCCTCCTTCAGCGAAAGAATGTCCGCCGCACTCAAGAGAGAATCTGCAACCGTCTTTTCTACTTCGAACCCAAGCTTGTATGGGATCTGAGAGAGTGACTCGTGAAGCTTCTCAACGGATGTACCGTTCGAGATGTGATTACGGATCTTGATATGGTGTTGCGTGGAGCAACGCAGATGGAGACGATCGCGGCATGTATAAATGAACCTATCTGCCTCTGACTGGTTGTGAAAGGCCAACATCAGACTATAACATCCCGGAGGCATTTTTTGATTACGCCCCAAACCCGCCATACGATTAATAGTAGTGTTGTCCAGCATGTCGGTAAGCAAGGTGTACACAGGAGGCTCATCGGCACGAACGAACACAACAGTGGTATCTTCATCCCGGTTACCCACTAGTGCTGCGATATTATGAGGCGCATAGGATGCAGTGATGGATGTGGTGATGCTTTGTCCAAAAAGCTCCATAAGACCACCGAGATCAATACCGGAGGGGTTGTTATATGTGTTTTGTTGAGGCTCAAAGGTGAAGCGTACCTGCCGATGCTCCAGATCACAAATCACATTAGCTGTACCAGGCGGGGACACTTGTGAAGAAAAAGATCCATCCGGGAGGAAACGGCCGAACGAATAGCGGAGAAGCTGGAAAGACTTGTTTCTCATAAGAAGCCATTCCTGCTCTTCTCGCAACTGCATTGGGTCGCGCCATGGAACCTTATTCAACCTCTCGATACGGGACTCGTGGATCGCCTGCGTGCTCCTGCTGATGAGGATTGGTCGACCTTTGACGACAATACCTGTGACACCATGAGCACGCAAGAAAGTGACCCCAGCATCCTCTGTTGGCAGAGTGAGGGTGCCTTGCTGTCCGTCAGGGTGTGATTCGTCTGAGAAGTGTACTTCAAAATTCAGGAGAGGACTGATTTGAAAAGGAGGTTTGTGAAGTATGTTGGCGAACGCAATTGTCAAGTCTTCTGTAGTAACTGCCAGAGGGATGTTGTGCAAGGAAATTTCCATCTATCCAGGTCATTGTCAAGTATAAGTTTAGATCGTGAAAGGGTCACTCACATTGTGTGACTGTCGATTGGTAACAACGAGAAAGACGATGGCGTCGGCACTTGAATATAAGCTGGGTTTTGATCATGGACAAACGCCCTACGGAAGCCAAATCAGAAGATAACCACTAATGCGGGCGTAACATCATGGCACGGTCATGATACTGCGCACCTTTCCCTTTCCTAACAATCACCCAGTATCAGGCGCCGTGCCAAACTATCGGATTGGAATGCAAGGCAAATGAAACACCACTTCTTCTCCCCAGCGGTGCTATCGGTCGGCTAGATACATCAATCTATACAATTGACAACTACGATAGTGAGCCTGTACCGTGATAAGTTCGACGCCAAGACTAGGAATACGGCAATCATGAGTTTCTCCACCGTTCTATCGTCACTGACTAGGTCTTTTCTGACCTGAGCATCCTTCCTCTGAGCGGCGACGATCAATTCTATCTTTAGTCCCATCTCGCCATCATGATACGGCTCACCTCACGTGCGTGATCTAGGTCTTGTGATAGCGACAAGAAGCCAAGGAAGTGCTACAACTAGGTATTTTGAGTGCGATCTGCCAAACAAGATTTGAATTTGATAGGAGAGTGTGAGTCACTGGCCTTGTCCTTCTTGAGATGCGAACCGCCACATGAAAGTAACCATATCTTTCCATGGATCCACAGCATGGGCCTCCAAAACCCCTGAGTCGTATCCTGTTCCAGGAGGTGGACATACTTGGTTATATTGCTTGATTGCTTCAGGCAATATACGTGTCTCCTTATCCTTGATTGCTCCATGTTTGGTGGTTGATCCTTCCGGGGCACAATACCTTGAAGGGCCATGATCATGGGGCTCACTTCGGACATGCTTGGTCACCAAACATTCTGGAACATAATCGTCCAATTTTACAACACTTCTCCAACATCTTAGAAGAACCCACCGTTTTGCTTCATCCAGGACCGTAGATTGAGCTGTGAGACAATAATTCACCATTTCAGTAGCTTCCCACGCCTGTAGGTCAACCGTTTGAAAAATATGGCTCCAGAGTACAACACCAGGGGTATCAAGCCCAGGCGCTCCAAAACTTTTGATAATGTCCTGGACAGATAAATGAAAAGTTGGCGAAGACAAATAAAGCGGTCACCTGGATACTCGTTATCCTGTAATAGACTACGATCGGCTCTGGTGTCGGGTAATTATATTCTTCCTTTGCAAGCAGTACTGAGAGCGCATAAAATAGAATCCCAGAGATGGCGAAGATGTCGTCAAGATGGCACTATTACTGTTGCAGGAAATTAGCTGCGAGTCACCGAGAGTAATAAACATACAGTGCGATGGTTAGCTTTGGTTACTGATGGTCGATAGAGCTCCTGCAGAAACAGAAAATAGAAGCTTCGCCGATGTGCATTCAGAGCGCAAGTAGACACCAGGTGGGAGATGTCATTCCCACAAATCAGGCTCAAGACTTGGACTTCGGACGTGTTCGGACCTAGAAAACTGATATGAATCTCAATGAAACCTCATCACTGGTCAGAAAGACGCCTTCCGAAGAATGAGGGGTGTAGACCATGTCTTTGACAGCATCTTTGTACTCCTGCGGGACTCATTGGGCGACATCATCCCGACATAGTCATTTGGCAATTTTGCGACGACCTTTGAAGGCACTATTGTGGGACATGGAACTTTGCAGAGAAATACGAGTCATTTAAAGACTACTTGGAGTTGTAAATGGGATCTTATGGACTAGGCCATTGTTTAGGCCATGAATGAAGAAAAAAAGTATGGGAGCGTTTGTATAGACTATGCGTGCGAATTTTCACGTCACGTTGACAAAGTTATTATATTTCGTGCAAACTCGTTACACACTTCTGCCAAAGCGTCTCTCTATATCGTGGTCTGTGCATACCCATTTCGCAGTGCTCCACGACTTGCTGGCACTATATGGTTGACTCTGCCAGCGATTCTCTAGGCCCCATTTCTTCTGCGACCGTCTCCTCAGTCCTCGGCATAAAGGGGTCCCTTCGTTTTCGCCGGCATGGTGCAAGTCAGAAGGCACACGTCGTCCTACGACGCGTAGAACTTTCAGAAGAGTCCGTACATGACGCTGGTAAAGGGCCTGTTGCATACTTTAGCCTTTTTGCGCAGAAAAGAATCGAAGTCAAGCCTGGCAAGGAGATTTTACTAGCCGTAGCTTCCGAGGATGGATCTTTCACAGACCAAGCCGTCATTTTCGAAGGAGATCTTTTTGCTTCAGATACACAACCTGATGCCGAACAGGAAACGCAAGATGATGTCGAACATGTTGTTGAGGTTCCATTCGTCCCTCCAAAAATGAGGAGAACGTGGAACAAGGCATATGAACAGGTGAGCGTAGTGCCAGGTGAGTGATACATGCTTGACCACGGGGGTTCTTTTCAATGTGCTATTTACCATGTAGATAGCGCCCACCGCCCGCCACCTCTACCTGAGCGTGTATCAGTGGGTGTCCAGGCTCAGCCATCATGGGCGGTGAGTTCGGTCCAGGCAGTTCCAATAACATCTCCTGTTCGAATTGGACAACACCCATCGCTTCCGGAGGACAAAGAAGATTTGAGCCTCGATACACGCTCGTCGGAGGTAGTGGGACTATATCCTGCTCCTCAAAAATTATCTTTATCTCCGACTCTTAATGCTGTTGTGAGTGCACTTTTCACTTACTTACAAGCGTGATCCTGAGACGCAGTAGATAATGGACGAAGATCGTGAACGTAGCTTGTCACCAATGAGTTTGGGCTCTCCTTCTAGCACTCCTCCTCAATCTCCCATTATCGAGCGCATACCGAATGTTTTTAGAGTTCAAAGTCCTGTAACAGAACCTCCAAAAAGCTCTCAAGACAGCGGTATGGACCTCTCAAGCGACTCGCAAGACGAGAAGCAAATTGAAGATGATCTTCGCCACCCAGGGGATACTAGCAGTTTACCTGCAGAACCTAGCACTCCCACTTCCGAGACTGCTGACATGGATCTCCAGTCTTCTCCTAGTTCTGCATCTTCCTCGTCGTCTGACATACCTGGTCTTGTAACCGGTTTATCATGGCGTGCACCTGCGCCACCTCATCGACCCGTGGAACCCGGGCTCGAACAGCCAAGTTCACCCCCGAAAACAGTTATTCCCTCTCTTCCGTCTGTGCAACCCTCTATCTCTGAACGAATACATCCTTCTCTAAAAGAGTCTCCACCTTCTGCGGTGCCTCCTACCGTCAATAAACCTGCGACTCTTCCCCCAAAACTCACAATAAGTGTTCCAAAGAAACCGGCGATTGTCAATCCATTCGTTTCTGGTGGATTCATGACAGAGTTTGTTGGTTCGCCTGCATCGCTCACTGCTCAAAAATCGCTACCACCGAAGTCTCGCACCGGCTCACCGAACATGTCTGAGGCACAGGCAAGTATTACAGTTCTGATCATGGACCATTAGACTCATATGTTAATCACTCAGTCAACTCCTACGCCCATCTCAACGCCTGCACCCCCACGTTCGAATCCTCCACCTCAAGCACCTACATTCATTCCTGCTTCTTCCACTGTGTCCACTTCCCTATCTCCTTGTGCACCTTCATCCCAGTTTTCAACAAAGCCTTCCCCTCCACCTCTAGCAGTGCCTGCAAGACTATCTGCTCAAGAGCAACGTCTTCTTGCAGCCCCCTTACCTCCAACTCCCTTCATCTGTGCCTCAGCCGCCACGAACTCAAGCATACCCCAGTTCTCTCCCCCCTCGTCCGTCAGAAACTGTGATCGCTTACTCCAATAAGGCGCCTTACAAGCCCAGTTATTCACCTTTAACGTCAGCCAGCGATGCAAGAATATCCTATAATGCTACCGGAACAATATCTAATCCTTTGAACATTCGCCCTTCACGATTTGCCCCACTCAAAGCTACTCCAATCCAATCTCAGCAAGCGCCGAAGAAACCGTTGACAATCGGTAATGGCTGGCCGCACACACGACAGGCTAACGGACATGGCTCTACGTCTATATCCCCTGTGACATCCAAGGCTTTACCACCACCTACAGGTACTCATCGACCCCTCACGCCCGAGAGCACTCGCTCGTCAACAACACCACCAGGTCTATCAAATTTTGTCGCATATACCTCCCCATCTCCTCCTGGTTTTTTGCATAAGTCGCTAAGGGATAAGCCACCGACAGACTCTCCATCCAGTTCCGGCGAGCCCAACGTCAAACACGGTAAGGATGCGTCTCTGTTAGAATATTTGCTTTCTGTTTATGTCTTTTCAGAATACATGGATGTTCCATTACCACCCACGCCTACGACGACTGTGAAGCAGAAAATCTCAATACAGTCGCCACGACCTGTGTTGCCTGCTTCAATCACGTCTCCCAGCATTTTCCGATTTTCCACTGAGTCCAACAGTGCAACACCGCCGTCCGACAGCAAAGGCAAGAAACGGGCGATGTCTACAGCGTCTGATGTAGAAAGCACGCGCCCGCGGAAGCGCACACATCCCTGGCCCACACAAGAGAGTATGTACTCCACACGGATCAAGAGTGATAGCGATGCTGGCGTCAGAGAGATCGTTTTCAGCTCAGACGGTGAACGGATGGCTGTCGTATGTTCGTCTCTGCTGTTCTTTTTTATCCTCCTACTTGGTGCCAATCTCTTAAATATAGGCCATGACCGAACAATCCGAATATGGAGTGTATCAAATCGAGTCGAAACTGCCCGTCTTGCGCAAAACTCGCCAATATCATCGGTTGCTTGGATGGCGGATGACAATGGTATTATCACGCTGGGACAAGATGGTATGATCAGTAAATGGACGCGAAACGCAAGTGTTGATGTTCTTGGTCTCGAAGTTGACTTTAGCTTACCGTTTGAGCCAGAACCAGAATCATTGGCAATGGGCAAAGCTCCTCGATGCGGGGAAGGAGGAATCCATCAGCTTCACCTACAACAGGGATCGCCTTGCTGTTGCATTTCCTCGTTTCGGTGTGAGAGTGTGGCTATGGATCAAAGGTCTGTACTTCTCTCGGGTTTCAAACAAGCATCATTAGATCTGTCACAGGCACATGGCAACCACAGCGGTCCATTCTTCGACAAAATGTGACGTGTATCAAGTTCGTTGAGGATGGTGAGGCATTACTCGGAGGTACTAGCGACGGCGTATTGTAAGGGTTCTCACAAGTGTTGCACCAGTAACTTCTGATAACAGATCGCAACAGATGGTATTGTCAAGTGCCCAATGGGACCCTCCGAGCCTACGCATTTCTCAAAGCTAAAATGCATGAACCTATTTCTGATTGCCTAATCTCACGACTGACATGATCTATGTGACAGACGACATCTGGACGTCAGTCCGAACGGAACACAGGCCCTTGTCTCTCAAGTGGGCGCTCGTGCTCATCTTGTAGGCATTCAAGGGATGGATCGCAAAGGCAAAATCGAGCAGGTATATGCGATGAACGGAGATTCGGCAAGTGACGCGAAACAATCTACCCCTGCGGTGTTCGTCAATGGTGGTCGTTCTGTGGTGTTCCATAGCAGAGAGTCTTCTTGTTTGGTCTGGAACAAAATGAAAGGCGAGGTTTTGAGTGGTCTGGATCATGGAGATGGTGAGTCAATTGTGATTATTGCTCGGCTTCTCGCTGACTTCGTGACTTCTGATGTAGATGAGCAAACCCAGGCCGTCGCAGTCAGTATACTTGGTTTCCTTTTGCGATGTGTGGTATTGAATTGTGTCATAGGGCTTTGACCGTGCATCTCATTCATACATCGTCACGGGAACTGCACAAGGCCTTTTGTCGTGGTGGAACTCCCCTCCCGATCAGTGACTTTAGGTAAGAACTTAAAGTACTACTTTTAGCGCACTTGCTCATCAGGAACATTGTCTCCGTGTCAAGCAACCTTCTTGATTAATTGGGTGAAACATGCTAATCATTCCTAAATTCCCTCTGGAAGGATGCGATGTACCAGTACTTTGCATGTGCAACCTACCTAAATTATGATATGAGCATTCTATAATTTTTGTATGGACATTATGCAGCTACTATCCGTTGTGGTGATTTGAGGATAATTGATTCGGAACCTGTTTCATTGTGGACAAATCCTCATGATAATGGCACTAGTGTTTGGCATTATTTGGCTGATTAGGGCCGGTTCGTCGGGTCAAGCCTGTATGATCAGAAGTCGTAGTTGAACTCCTTCGTTGCTCGTCGTCGTCCCCAACATCGACACCGTACTTTCTCATTTCTTCCACCGACGTACGTTCGTCCGCCTTCTCCGCTTTTGTCGTCATTCTTCGCTGCTTAACCAGTCCAACTGACCTAGGTCCTGTTCGTAAATTAGAGTCAACCTTCTCTGTCGTGATTGGGTTAATAGCATTTCCTCGCTTCAACTCTCCTCCTTGAATTTTCCGGAAGAATTGGTAAGACGTCTGTTCATTTGCCTTATTACCCAACAGCCGAGGTTTTCATCCTTCATGGTTGCGCGGTTGTCATGCAGCCCCCTGCATGCTGCAAGCGTTCTAAAAGCGGCCCTTAAATGCGTGGTTGACGCGTGTGCTGACTGCTTTTTTCATCTTGATAGCCAAGTTTGTCACGTAGAACCATCTCAACGACATGCAGACTATCAAGGTTGTAGTGGTAGGGGACGGTGCTGTAGGCAAGGTGCGTGACGTGTTATATTTGTATGCTCCGGACTTTGAACTGTGTGCCCCGATATCGCCAGACTTGTTTGTTGATCTCATACACCACGAACAAATTTCCAAGCGACTATGTTCCGACTGTAAGTTGGTTCCGCAAGAACGCCAAACATTATGTGCTAAATAAGCGCAGGTCTTTGATAACTACGCTGTCACCGTAATGATTGGTGAAGATCCTTACACGCTAGGTCTTTTCGACACCGCCGGTTCGTGTCTTTTTGTAGTCTCTGTCGTAGTTACACTTCATACAATCGCTCACACATCACTTCCACATAAAAGGGCAAGAGGATTATGACCGTCTCCGGCCACTGTCATACCCCCAAACCGACGTCTTCCTTGTTTGCTTTAGTGTAACGTCCCCTCCATCCTTCGAGAACGTGAGGGAGAAATGGATTCCAGAGGTGCACCACCATTGTCCGGGTGTCCCATGTCTTATCGTTGGGACGCAAATCGATTTGCGGGACGACGCTCAGGTGATCGAGAAGCTCTCCAGGCAGAAGCAACGACCGGTGCCGACCGAGCACGGCGAGAGACTTTCGAGAGAGCTTGGTGCTGTCAAGTATGTGGAGTGCTCAGCCCTGACACAGAAAGGGTTGAAGAACGTCTTCGACGAGGTCGGTGAAATCTTTGATAAATCCTACCTGAATGATTGGCTGATAACCTACAAGGCTATTGTCGCTGCACTAGAGCCACCCGTGGTTAAGAAGACACATAAATGCGTCGTCGTTTAATGAATGATCCATCGCGACGGTACATCTTGTTCTATCTTCTTATGACTCCTTTACGCCTTGTTCTGCCTCATATATCCTTCTCATCTTTTTTTATGTCGTTTCCCTCGTTGCGCCAAGACATCATGATTTTCCCCAGTCCTGTAGCATCTGTTCTCTTCCGCACGAGCTGAGTGGATCTTGAGGCTATGCTCGTGCTCTTAGAGAAGCTGATCTCGTCCGTCTTTCTCACACCACAATTGATGAGTAGTTCGTATTATCGGAAACTGTTGGGTTCAATAGGAATTTAATACCCACGACGGGGAGTCCTTATGTCTATTCATTACAGATTAGAGATAGCTTCGAAGTAGGGCAGAGTTGTGTGTTGGCGAGCCTCCCGAAACACGGATCTGACGGAGTTTCAGATACTATCCCCATCACGTACATAGATCATTTCTTGATTATAGTAGCGACAGTTCAGGTGCCTTGTAAGGATGTGAGAGGTGTCGTCCAGAGGTGCTGTGTGATAACTCACCATCGCTCGACTCTCGAATGCAAGCCAATCTCCTGTTCCTGTTGGTAGAAGACCCATAGAACGACACTTCCAGAGGCCAACTGCAAGTGTCAACAGGTTGCACGCGATGTATGCTATCTTCTGGAGAGGAAGGACCTTGAGTGACTTGACGCTTGCAGGTGTAGGCGCAAATGGTGCGAATGCTGCCTCGACAATAAGAGATGCGACGGATATATTTCATTAAACGAACATACCTGCATTCATACCAGCAATATTTTTGAAAGGTGATAGAAGAAGCATGAACACGATACCCATGCTGAAGATTTGTACGCCTCCCCCAGACATGTACAACATAAATGCCTGCATAGGAAGAGACTTGGCTGGCGAAATAGCGAGATCCCAAGCACGTTTGTCTTTCAGAGATGCATACGACGATGACGTTGCTGCTGCTGGAGCCTTGGCTGGTGCTCTGGACTGTTGAAAGCATTAGCTTAACAGACGGTTAGAAATGAACATAGGACTGACGCTTGGAGCAAAGCTTGAAAATCCTGGAGGAGGAGGAAGGTTCCTCCATTTACTGTGATCTATGGATGTATATTCCAGGTTGAAGCAGTTTGCCATCTTTGAAAGCACCGTTTGAGTGGGTGTAAAATGTACAGAGTGCTACGTCCCACCATGAGACAACATAAATTCTAATTAGGCAATTGAGTTCGGCATTCGGTACTTACATATAATTGTAGCTTATACTACGAGCACATCTAAACATTTGAAGTGACTAGCTAACAACAGACTCTGCACTAGATGTTAATACCTGAAGCTTTGAAGCCTGGTGGACCTCGGCGCTACGCCAATGTTCAAGTGTAGCAAACCCTCACAGTTGAATAAGATGAAAAGTTATTCAATATTTCCTGATACGAAACTCGGGAGGAATTAGCGAGTACATACACGGAAGGTAAAGCTTTAGGGGAGTAAGTACTATGTATATGGGCACGCATTAAGCTCGGGTGGTGAACATATCGGTAGCAGATAGGATGTAAGGAACGACAGTAGCGACCAAGGCACCAAGGGTAAAACCGACGGCTAAATTTGCACCACTGCTTAGCTTATGGGAGCTTGCCGCTCTCGAAGATGAATATCGCAACTTCGGTCTTTGACCTTCCTTGTCAAAATTATTGATAAACGTTACTTTGGAATCTGGCGTTGTGAGTAGACCAGGCAGGTCATTCACGCTTCCCAAGTTCTGTCGTGCCGAATATGCTTTGAGACCTTTCTGACGGGCCTCTGGGTCTGAAGCGCGGTCGGTTGACTTTTCCGTATCAACCACTCGGAGGAGTTCGGTGCGACGGGCAACGAAGTCATAGAGTGGAACAGCATATCCACATGACTTAGCAGAACTGTTAGATCGAAAGAGACTGGAGTAGATGGGGGATGGCCTACCGTTTGACACTGATACACATCGATAACGATAACAGCACAAGAGCCCGGCTTCCTAATCTCAGGAGAAATAAGAGATTCGTATTCTTCTGTGCCACATTCGTATACAGTTCCTACAGTCAAATATTAGAATGTAATTGAGGAAAGACCCTCAATTTGTAAGCACCGATCCCAAACAATTTCGGAGGTCCCTCAAAGGCACTGAACAGGATCGTTATGCGACCATTCTCCCTGATATGGGATATTGTTTCCATTCCTTACTCTCACAGTTAACTAGCACGAAAATTGATCTTTGTGGTACTCACCGCTCTTGGTCAAATCTTGATACCAAACTCGGTGAGAGTTCACGACATGGAAACTATCTGCTGTGCCCTTGGCGGAGAGATTTACATGACCATCAGGACTCAGGGGAGCCGAAGCCACCCAAAACACGCGTTGTTTCTTGATCCATTCGATGAGAGATTCAGGTATCTCATCATAGAACTTGGCTATGGATAGTAGATGATGCAACTAACGAGCCTTGTTATCCTTCCGAAATACTTCCGGGACCAGCCTGGTTTATAAGTCTGCTTCGGCTCCTCAAAGCTCCCGGTAGTACGTCCAGCGTAACGTACTAGGAACGTGATGCTAACAAGACCTCGAAAACCTCGTCAGCCTCAAATTTGCGTCTGACTTACCAGAGTACTAGTAGTAGGAACAGCAACGGATAAAACCTCTTGACTACAAACAGGACAACTTTCTGGCGCTCATCCAGGAGGCTCTGTCTCTCGAGAGTTGTATGTGCTGAAAACAGGAGTGAGCCTGAGATCGTTCGCCATGGTCATTTGGGACAGGGAGCAACCGTTGGCCACTCGGAGGAGGACATGTACTATGTCTGGCGGCATTTTCCTTGAAATCTACTTGGTTTTGCAAATGCAGTTGCTTAATGCGCTGTCATTGAGCTAGAAGAGCCTGGCCAGTGGCCGGTGGCCGCATCAACAACAACATGCCGCCAGCGGGGCCGAGTCACTTACTGTGAATAATATTAATGAAACACTCGGCCTTTGAAATTTATTCTTAGCGCTGTCAGGCGCTAAGTTCTGGGATTAACTCTCTTCCTACCGTCGTTCCCGCATTGTTATGTCTCTCCAGCCATTCACCTCTCTGTACCGATATGCTGTTGAACCAATAGCACCATTTACCTGGTTTGGTACCAAGGTCTCTTCCCTCGACTTGGTGGCCGTGTTTCGGCTTTGTATCGCTTTGAGACAGATGAGAGAAAATTTGTATGCTAAACACCAGCGAAGTGCTGGAGAGGGTAAACCTGCACTTGTAGAGGAGAGGTCCTTCGTGAGAGACGCATGTGCCATGCTGACGATTGTATTTGGAGGGGAGGCTATCATAGGTACGGCTAACTTGTTGTGTAGGGAAATGTCAGAGCTGCGCATACTGACCGCTCCCTATGCGCAGGCCCTCTCCTTGGTATTCTGCCATCTTTCATGTTCTCCGGTGTTTCTCCTGGATTGTACATCGCCGCACAAGCGATTGTAGAGTATATCCCTGTGCTGCCGCCCATGTCACTCGGCACCGAGCTTCCTTTATCCATTGTCGACGGATTTACCCGAGCGGTGCTCCTCTGCAGCCTCATACCACCACCCGTTATCACCCACACATCCCCCGTTATCGCATCTTCCCCGTGGGCTCTCCTTCTCTCATCTCTCGTATGTGATCGTTTCCCGTCGTGATTTCCCTCATCATACCTCTAACCACTCTTTCCTACCACAGGTCATCACCAATGGTGGCTTTTTCTTAACGAACATGTTCTCATTCATGGAGCCCACACCGCTTACACTTACGACTCCCGATGAGCTCAAGCCTTATGGCTGGACAACCACTGACATCTGGTCCGCCCCATTTATCACGGGGCTCTATGCCCTCCTCACCCATGCCCAGCCGTTCTGGGCCGAGTTGCACAGTGTAATGTCGACTGCCCTCGGAGGTGCTGGCAGTAGAGTTGGTCCTATGGACGCAGAGTCCGCCCGTGCGCTGTGCGCGCTAATTCTCGCAGCATTGTTCTCCACCCGGACTGCGAAGAACTTCGGGCTTATCTGGAAGAAGAGTGAGTTCTATGAGTTGTTTTTATGCTGTGGCGTTACTAATGGTTCTTCAGGCGTTGTAGAGAAGATCAAGACACAATGAATACCCAGTACGATATCTATTTATACCGCTTGCTGTAGATCTACATGACATTTATGAATGATATGTCCTTACCACGAATAGTGTACGAGTGGTCCAGCGGTGCGTTAAGAGCATGTTGAGAAACTCTAAAGATGTAAAGCCCTACAGACACTGAGGCCTGAGAATAGAACATATCGAGTGCGTTCCCCCTTGAGGCTTCTGACTTGGAGCTCCGATTCTCTGATTCTCCACTCCCAACCCAGCAGACCTTGTCTCTTTGCCATGCTCATTCGTAATAGTCGAGCCATGAGACTGCGCAATTGATCCATTGTCCTTTTCCGTGAGATGGATGAAAATGCATGTCAGACTAATGAGCTATCAGCCATCTGGGCTTCATGCTTCGTGGTCACTTCTTCATGAGACAGCACCGCAAACGCGTAGAACGAGCTGTCTGGGCACTTGCACTGATTCTAGTTGTATTAATTTCAATATCGGGCAGGACCAGGTTGGTTGCTAGGCGTTCCGAATTATTTCAGGCTTCAGCTTGCCACTTGGTGCAAGCATAAGTGAGTAGTTACTTCGTCCCCTCATCCTAAGTAATGTTGATACATAACAAAAACAGGCCACTTAACTTGTCCTGATGCATCAGAATGACACTATAGCCTGTCTTTTGACTCAGGACTGCCACCTCTAAGTGGGTACAAATCTGGTGCCTGTGGCCGCTGTGATACTGTTCTCGTTCAGAGCAGCAGGAGCCGCAGTGGTGTGTCTCTTTTTCAACCTTTCTGGCATATATTGATCTTAGGTTCATTTCACAGTTCCTTGCGTAGTTCAAGTCCAAGCTGTGTTCCCGCTGACCAGACCGCCCGTCGAAGCACCCGCACTTGATCAGGTGCTTGCGACGATAAGTCGACAATTTTCAGATCATTGAATTATCGTCAGAATGATTCCTTAACATGGACAATATCTTCGCCAGCAATAATAGGAGATTCTTGCTAATTTTCAACCTGTCAATTATTTGTCGCATGTAGCCTATATACAACAGATCCTCCGAGTTCCAGACCTACGTGATCTATCCAAAGCTATTTTGACACGTTTTGCAACCGTCAGTCGCGATTCTGGTCAAGATATGGCTCATCGGAAGGCTCCGATAGGCCAGGATGTTGTAGACTGTAACAAGCCAGGCAGCTGTCGTAGGGACACAGGGAAATGCAAACAAGCATGCATCGAAGAGGAGTCTTGCTAGTGATAAAGGTACTGGTGGTATGTCAGGGACCTCAAAACGCGCACGAAAGACAGTCCAAGCATGGTCTGCAGCACCTGGTGGGTTTGCAAATCCTTTCGCACTAAATGGATCTTCATCAGCACGCCCTCCGAACCAGCAGGCAGCAGCACACCTCGTACCTCCTGAGTCTATTCCTCATCCTCCGCAGTTCTTCGATAATATCATGATGCTGCCCAACCGCCAACAATATGATGCATATGTGCGCCCTACCGGCACAGATCTATTAAGCGTTCATTTCACAGTTTTGCAGATGACTTGACACCTTCGACACCACATCCGGTGTCGTCGCGGTCGTCACCGGTTTCCGTCTCGGACATCTTGACAAATATTCGATGTTTTTCCTCGGCAGTCCTACCTCCATCACGTCCACTGAGGTATGCATTGGTCTATGGTCCACATGCTCTGGATTGTTTATCCGCCAACCTTCGGTTCTGCCTATACTCTCATCCTGAAGTCCGCTGGAAAGCGCACCCATTCTGATACAAGTGCCAAGCTTACTTTCCAAAAACGTTTTTTCCGATAGGATATAAGAGCAAGGCCACTAGCAGAATCAGAGCCACTGTTTTTCTTGACACATCCCACATAACCTAGCACGAACCATGCATTTCTCATTCCTCCGAGTAGTCGCAGTCGTTGCAGCTTTGACAAGATTTATGTCTGTCACCGCACAGTCCTGTGCGGCCGTAGCCCAGGCTTGTGGCAAGAGCAGCCCGCAAAACCTCTCATGCTGCGGTGGCCTTACCTGTACGCCTGTTGTGAGTATGAGTCGTTCGCTTTGCATCCGAAATTCAACCCCACGACTCACCTTTGCACCTTGTACCAATAGGAGTCCGGTACTCCTACCACGCTCTGCACGAAACAGTCCAGATGAGCCTGGCAGACTGAGCATGTCACAATAGTGTGTCTTATTTCTTTCGCGTTGGCACAGTGCTTGATCGCACGATATACAGTTCGTCGCGGAGTTGATGGATGTGCTCACTTTTATACCAATTTTCCTGACGCCTCGACCGGACTCCCGAATAAATTACTGTAGCATTGATAGAAGACCTCGGGCTCAGGCCTCATGTCATTCGACTTGTATACGTTTTACATCAGTAAAAGTATAGAAAATCGGTGTCTTCAGCCGACATTGAAATGGGTGTACGTGACATTGAAGATCGTTCGAAAGAGGCTACTTGAAGACCAGGCTAGAACAGTTCCAGTCGTTGGCGGCGTCGGCAATTTATTTCCAACGCATTTTGGGGGTGTTTGTGCTGAAAGCTTGCACACATACATCGAAGAGCTCCTTATGAAATCACGTGGTCATCGATGTAACACAAGTCAAAGTGTTCGGATGTGATTGAAACAAGTAGTCCACTCTCTTCGCTCTTGCTGGCCGAGCCCGAGGCATGACAGCTCTCCGATTATTTTTATAGGACAACTTGAAGAGTCATTCTGCACCAGAGAACTCAGACAAGAAACCGTGACACAGTGGGTTGAATATATCTCACCTTATTCGTCGCCTCGTACGCTTGAATGATTACTATACCAAAGATATGGTACCGTAAGGATAGATAGACTCGTAACCAGTCCGTCTATCGACGGCTTGCCTCATTAGACGGGCTGGTCACGAGTCTAGATTCCTGTGGGCTAATGCAAGTTAGGCAGCACATAAGCAACATGTCATAAACATGCTCACACTCCAAGATTACAGATTAGAATAAGCCTGCAGGTGAACTAATGTCATAAAAAAATTGTATGTATAGATCCCTCGTCTTGCAGTTGTACTCATCTCCACAAAACCCAAGTCGAGTGTCCGGCGTATGAACATATTTAATAGGCTCACTTGCAGGAGGTCACAAGTATAGCTCTCCATCGGAGTCCATGCAGGTGCAGTGGCAGTGGTAAAGTGGATAAATTTCATTCATAAATTTCGCCCATTTACATCTTCGGCGTTTATAAATAGGCTCGTGACCAGCCTGGCTTATACTACCACGGTTGCACAAGTAGTGTAGCCAGGCTGGTCAAGTGGCGTGGCAGGGCGAAGCGAGGAGTTTGAAATTTGATAGGTGCCGATCGTGCCGGAGGTAGTTCCGATCATACTAGATGTCCACGGGAGTTCGCGCATTTTTGGCAAAACGGTTATTACTCCACATCGCACAAACAAACAAAATTAATTCTTTGACAGTTCGATAGCGTGACGTCGAAAGTACAACGTCTGCTAGTTTCTTTTTCGAAAATTGACGTGTTGAGTCCAGCGGAGAGTTACCGCGCAGAAAAGTGCATTTTCCCTGGAGTTTGCGCACTTCGTCACACTATGTCACACGTCTGCCGCGATGCTCCGCAGAATTCGCACCGTTTAAATGTTGTGAAGTTGTGTCTATGCTCCTTGATTCGAAGTTGATTGCATGCAGGCAGCTAGGAGAGATCACATGACACCAAATGACATTAAAGGAGCGTGCACATCAAGAGACAATAGTGTAGTATGAGAAAGGCTAGCTGGGAAGGACTGATCGTAACACAATTTATTTGAATCTATTCTATTTTTTGGGCAAGGCCTTTCCAGGCCTTAGACCGAAACATGACTTTTTGGGAAAAGCTGAGCTGAGATACCCTGAAATAAGGAGCAAACGACGCAGCCAGCGTGAGCTGAATTCCCAAAATTTAAGGAGATTGAAACATACTTGTCTCGTTGTTAGGATGGGAGTGCATAGCGCATAAACGGCTCCAGGATTGGTTGGTCCTGCAGAAAAGGAGCCATTACCAAACCATGCTTTCGTAAATACAAAACAAAGGCATCACTACTCCATCGGCCCATGGTTTTTACATTCTCAAGTGGTACTCCTCGTAGCAGATATTCCAGGGTTCCACCAATCTGAAGACCGTGTGTCTTGAGCGAACCTATACCTAATTTCTCGCTGGCAAAGTGTAGGCACTTGATAAACTCATTTCGAGTGAGAGCCCGCATCCCATTACGATGGCGCCAGCTGAAGAGTGCTGCGGTGGGAGTGGGTTCATTGATCTTCAAATGGTTAGACAAAGCGGCTTCGGGATCAGACAGGCCAGATTGGGCTGCCCAATAGACGTCTTCGCCAGTGAGAGAAGTCTTTGCTCGCGGTAAGTGGAATATAGCGACACGAAAGCCGTGTCTGTCAGAGTCATAGTGCCAGTCACAGACTCTGATGTGGTGCTGAGGATCGAAACTCTGCAAGGAAGGAACGGTGAATTCACCGATGCGGGCAATGGTGTAGAAAGTGTTACACACTCAAATAGATCTGTTAGGCGGAGCCCTAAGAGGGGCATCGTCCGCTAACGTTCGTGACGTAACCGGAAGGATCCGGTATAGCAAGTGAGACTGGCGATGACGAGTCGGCAGTGATCACAGTACGCGCGTGTCACGTGACTTCTGAGACGGATGTCTTAGAAGTCGCTCAAGGTAAGGACAGTCTTGTCCGAACGATGAGGTCGATCGAGGTAGACTTAGTTGCGATGAGCAACTAAGAAAAGATACTAGAGACTGAAGCCAAAGGGGCGTTCAGAGAGAAGTATGTTCCAGGGAAGATTGAGTAGATTCAAGTTAGAGAATCTAGTACAGGGTGACCGACTACTTATACTAAGTGGAGAGGGTTAAGGGCAAGGCTACCGCACAGTAGGTAAGGGTAAAGGGGAAACGAGAATGGTATAGGTGCGTTGGCAACAGAGCCGGATTAGTGATGGATGGTCGAATGTGGAATGAGACCGAGAAACGTCGGGGCGGACCAACGGTACGAATACAACGTGCGGGGATCTGCAGTCAGAAGGAACAGAAAGAGGAAAGCCACATTGGTGGCATGAGTCAGACCGAGTCAGAGGTGCGGGACCACATTGGTGGTCAAATCAGAGGAGGAACGTGCGTGCACGTGCATAGAGGCGGGCGATGCAAGGGACAGGAATGGTCCCGAGGATCCGGTCAACGGAAAGTCGGTAAAGGAGGACGAGCCGGTAGATGGTGAGGGCGAGGATGAAGGGAAAATGATAGGGGGGCCACGTGACCGATGTTACTTGTAACAGAAAGATGTAGTCAAGCAAGCATAGACAGCAGCATGTAGTGGAGATGTGAGGTCGAGCGTAGAGCGAATTGCTATCAGCAAGTCCACTGTAAATGGAGCCCGTTTCGGCCGCTTGGAGGTAGGTGGTGCTAGTCGCTTCCCTCCTGCAAGGGCAAGAGCGCATTGATCATGGTTAGCGAGCCAAGGTTGGCCGTGCAGCAGATGCCAGGCCCTGATTGCGTAGAAGTAATTTTCGAGGCTTTTTCCTGAATACAGTCCCGAACATCCTGCAATGAAGGCTAGGATGAGTACGGGTGAAGCGGGACAACGTTGCTCTTCTGGGATGTTCCAAGCATCGCAGAATACATGGAACACCAGCAGCCCTGAGCCATAAGTTTCCTTCGTGTTTGGTGCGTGGGAGTGAGCAAGAACGGTGATGATGCAGTCTATGTCGTTGTCTGAGATGTTGACCAAGGAACCTGTGTGGTCTAGGCGCGAACGAGGAACTTGTGGGCACCATAAACGAAGACGGTCACGCGCTAGACAATGGGGACGCAGAGGGGAGGGATTGGGTGTGAGACGTGAGTCGTACGGACGTGCTGGGACATTATGGTGAGTAACAGCGATTGGGGTTGATGATATGAAACGAGAGCCATCAGTCAGCCCATGTGGTGCGGAGCTGCCACAGTTGTTCCTCCCAGTATCTGTCCTCGTTGTCGATGGTGACCTCGTGATCATCTGAGCACTGATGGTCGCCCACGTGCTGCCTGGCGCTTGAGGAGAGGTCAGCATCGCAGACGAGGAGGTGTAACTCTCTAGGCAGTGATACTGGGGGTAGGAGTAGATGGTTGGGCGGGAAAATTCCCCTGGAGGGCCCATCTGCGGGGTTGTCTCCGCTGGGAATGTACTGCAGGTAGAAGGAGGTCCCATCATTGCGCGATTCAAGTAGGTCATGGATTTGTCGAAAAACAAGGTTTGTTTCTCTGTTCCGGCTTCTCCCATTCTTCCAACCATTGACAACGCCCTGGTTGTCGCAGAAGATGAGGAAATGTAGTCCCGAGCCAATGGGGCTGGCATCGAGGATGGTGCGAACAAGGAGTTCGAAGCCGACGCACTCAGCCCAACCAATGTCTTGCTGTCCGTTGAGGGTTTGCCAGCCTGGGCAAAGAGTCCATGCCCTCCAATGCCCATTGACAACAATTGCGATTCCGACGGAGGTGCTCGCTGAAGGTTCAACGATACAGCGAGGCACGAACAATGCTCCTGACTGTATCTATAATTGTCGTAAGGTCGTGCATTGCCTAGTCTGCTATACTTGAGACGACAAGTGCGTTCGACCCTAAAGGGGAAGCGAGTGCAGCAAGGATCTAGTAGTAGGCACTGAAGGCGCTACTGGTTGGCCAATGCAAAGCGCGAGAAAGCGCAGGTGCGCGCAAGGCGCAGGAATGCGCGCGTGTATGGCGCGAAGCGCGGGAAAGCGTGCGCATGTATACAGATACGAGAGAGAGTAAGAGTGAGTTTGCTTAAGTGATGATATGATGTAAGACAAGAGAAGAGAGATGCGAGGTGTAAACAAATAGATTTCTACTATGTTCTGCTAGGTGAATAGTGGGTAGTAACCAGTAAGTCCTCTGTCGTTCTGGTGGGAGAGTAAGTTCGTAAATAAGTATGTACTGCTGGCGCTTAAGTATGGCGCCTAAGCGCTGTCATGCGGAGCCGAAGTGCTACCGAGTAAGGTATGTAAGGATATATGTAAGTAAGGGTCCATGATAAAAATAAAGATGGAACGATATGCAAATGTGAGAAATGGAAATATACGCACTAGGGAACTTGGTGGACAGTGGATGGATGCTTCCGGATGGCTGGCGCTATAGGGCGCTACAGCGCGGGAAAGCGCGCGCGCATATACATCGTGAAGCGCGGGAAAGGTACGCGCGTTGCGCGGGAAAGCTGCGCCTCATATAGAGATAGCTGCGGGTAGCACACAGAGTGATGCTACAAGTTCGTGCCATGTACTCCCCAGTGAAAACTGCCATATTGCACAATGAGAGGCATGAGTCTCTACATCGCGTCTGAAAAGGCTTGGATGTTGGTGGGGGAGGGAGGTTTGGTGATGGCCCGGCCAAGGAAGGGTCTAAGGAGCCGCGAAGACCACCAGTTAAGGTCCTCATTGATATGTCGAACAGGGTGATGTGGGACGAAAGGATGGTCACTGCAGACGCTGACCATGGCTTCCATAGAGGTGAGGTAAGCGCGGCCTGCTGGGATGACCAGGCAGGAGTGAAGTAGTTTGCCATACAGTTCTTGGGTGTCCAGCAGTGTGTGTGCGCTCCGTGATTTCCAGTCTGCAATGCAGCCCAGATATTTCGCCTTCTTTGCCGATGACAATTGGACTGTGCATTGCGCAATGTTCCACCACAAACCCCAGTAAAGTGTCTCATAGGCGAAGGCTGTGTCCTTTGATGGTTCCCATGGGATGCCCAGGGGATTGGACACGCAATCAATGTCTGCGAAGGTAAAGGTGAATTGAACATCGAAGGCGGAACGTAACGATTGAGAGGACAGGTCTTGTAAAGGAAACCGGCAGTCCTCGGCATAGACATCAGACGGGTTCTCGTCGAAATGAGCACCTTTGTACCATAGCCGACCCCCAGACTTCTGTTGGCCTGAGCGGGCCAAGAGAGAATGTGTCGAGGCACGTTCTGCATTGTAGGAGGCAAGAAACTCACGTCGAATTCGGAAAAAAAGGTGATCATCAACCCATTTTCCAATGGGTCCGAGTCCTGCGGCACGGAGGATATCAACGCCCGTGTCAGCCACATGACCATACACGCCAGCAGATGGACCCATACCAAACGAGATGCAAGTGTCTGCGCAGAATTTACCTCCTGGAAGAAGGACAACAGCCGCTGCCCATTGAGAGTGATGCAAGGGAATTGTGCGGTACGCTTCGGCCACATCCCGAGTGGCCGCTTGGGAGCCGGGAGGCAGAGAGCAGATGATAGTGCATATGGTTTCAAATGTTCCCCAGGTGCAAGGGAAGTTATCTGGGGTAACGCCGGCATTGATGGACTTGTTTGGGAACTCTGGCGATGGTACCAATGGGAAGGAAAAGTTTTGGATGATCCTGAACTTTCCCGGTTTGCCTGATTTTGGGATGATGGAGATGGGTGAGGATTGGAAGGGTCCAAGGAAGTGGAAAAGCTCATCGTCAGTGAAAGGTCCGAGATAACGGCCAGTGCTAAGTTCGCGAGAGAGTAGTTTGTCGAAGGCAGCATGGAAGGTGAGGAGGGAAGGACAATTTGGAGGTGTTTGCTGTGAGGTGATACGAGGGATGCCGAGGTCGAAACCCCGTCGTAAGCTGTCAGGTAGGGTTGGATAGCGAGAGGTGAGATTGTTCGCCTGAAGCTGGGATTCCCAAACGTCAGGATCATAAGGCGAGACCGGGTGAGATTTTCTGAGCTCGAGAGCAGTTCTGAGCGCCGTGAGAGGTTGACAGACAACCGGAGCAGACATGGTGATCGTCGTGGGACTGGCTGATGCAGCGGGCTCTTTGCCAATCGACGCATAAGGGTTTCTCGGAGCTGCGTAGGAGGAGTTGTTTGTTTGTCCAAGTAGCAACGGTGAGCATGGTGCCGTCCCACAGCCATTCTGCGGAGCATTCGATGAACTTGTGGTTGTGTCTTCCGAGGCACACGGCGCACACGGCAGAGGGACAAGGTCTGTGTGCGCCATCTTGAAAAACCTGCTTGGCACCAGACTGGTGGGTAGCGGTTGCCACAGGACTGTTCTTATGCGGCTTTGGATGAGGGTGCTTCAAGTGGGTGTTGGGGTAAGGTTGCCCATGGTTGCTTTGTGAGTGAGAACTGCCAGACACCTGAGTATGTGAAAGGAGGAGCGCGAGCGCGAAGATGGCAGAGGTGCCAAGATTAGAAAGGCACGCAGTGTAAACGCAGAGTGATGAACGCAACATCAATTCACAGGTGAACGCGGGAAAAGAAAGGCACAAGGCGATGTATTGTGATTTATAGATTACATACAGGACACAGCAAACACAAAACGCAAGGAGAAGGCAAGAAGGCAATGCAAGGTAGTGAACGCAATGGATAGGCGAGGAAATTGTAAATGAAATTAGTTTGGTTGTTTCTAAGTGTAGAAAAAGGTGAAACTGACCTGGGTATTGTGGTCATGGTGACGAGATTCTTGCAGGACACGGTTGAAAAGGCAACCTAAAACAATGTCGCTGAGAATGGAGAGATCCCAGGCACCAGTGCCAAGAGCGACAGCATGATGCCAGGCTCTTTGTTGCTCTTCTTGGTAAATCATGAGAGCCCGCTGAGCTACTTGGTCACTGGAATTCCAGTAGCGATGGGTCATAATTGCACCCCAGAAACGAGCAAGCATCAAAATACGTTGTTTGGGCCAATCACATTCTTCAAGAGCTGCTATGATGCGAGGGATTGCTTGGGCGAAGTCGACTGTGGTGAGAAACCGGTCAGGAATGACATTTTTAGAGGGTTTGGAGGCTGCTGCGCTGATCCAAACCGTGGTTCCATCTTGTTCCGAAGGGATCAAGCCCTCATCATCTCTGGTGCTGTAAGAGAAGAGCGCCTCTTCTAAACCAGCATTAGTCCAGTAGTACAGCTCTACAAAACTGCCTTTGTCGATCTTCCGTAAGGTGAAGTCAGATACAAAGGCTTCTTCTTCGTTGGTGTCTGGACGAGGGCGCATGAGTATGTCGGTGTGTTTGAAACGGTTCTTCTTCCTCTCGTCCACCCGCGCAGTTTCCTCTTCCAGCTGACGGATTTGCCGGAGGCGAGTTGCTTCTTCTTTGGTTAAACGGGCTTGCTCGGCATGAAGGCAAGCCTCTTCAGCTTCTTGTTGACGCCACTGAGTGCAGAGGTCGTCGTTGGTGGCGATCCAAACGAGTCGGAGGGATTCTGCTGCTTGGTCCTCAGTGACGGTGGCAGAGACGAAAGGAGCGCGTGAGGTGCGGTAGCGCTCGCTCGTGAAATCTGGGCAAACGAGCAAACTTGGATCAGAATGTAACTTATTCATTTGAGAAATTTTTTAGCGGAAGAGCTTTATGCGAGTTGTTGAAATTTTAAACAGCCAGATCTGAGAATATGAGAGAGAGTATTCCGAGAGAGCAAGAACTAAGATTTGAACAGTGGAGGGAAGGAAGAGAGAAACATTAATTGCCTTCTCAAAATGGGCATAGACCTCATTCTTACCACGTGCTCGTGCCTCATACTTAGTCAGAATCCAACATGTGTAAAGCATTTCGGCATTGCGGAGTTATCAATGTTTTTTTTGTGCACCAAAAACTTATGGTTCGGTTCGAGTTCGGACCGCAAAAAAACCGAACCGGACCATTGAGAACGGTTCTCAATGGTCCGGTTCTCAGTTCTTGTCGAAGACCCTCTGAACTGGACCAAACCGGACCACGGCAGCACTAGTTTTGATTACACAGTCTCTATGTAACGCTTTGGGCAGATTGTCACGTCTGGGGCTTATTTCTTTATCGCAGATGATCCTGACAAGCATGTGCCCCGAATAAATTTGTTTTAGTATTCTCTAATCATGTATATAACCATCTCACAATATTCCAGAATTATATGTGGAGATCTGACCTTTAGAGTGAGCCTTCTATGCCTCTTGCACTGATAAGTTGCCCATGGAACAAGATCTACTTCGATTTTCTTCAAAAAATATATATGGCAGTGTGTATTATGTTTGGGCGAATCCAGATCTACCATGGATAAGGATTCTGTGCAGAATTGCGTGTGCTAGAGTCAATGTGTGGACTCTTGGGACACATGGACTTGTGGGACCATCTAGTATAGCACAAGTTATGCATCTGCTCTCGCTCAGACTGTAAGCATGTTAAGTTTCAAAATTTCAACCATGATGCATGATGCATGAGTTCTGTATGACCTTTATGGCTCGCCGCTCGAGATACAATTGAGAATTCACAACGTCCAAAATTGTTCCAGCTCAGATGCCTCATATCACTACTTTTGGGGTCGTAAACTGATATGAAGTTGCTTACTCGCTCATTCGTCCATGTCCAACACATTCAGAAATTGCACAAGTGCCTTGTTTCGAAAGAAACCTTCTCTCCAAGTTGCCATGGAGGGTTGTTCCTAGATTGAATACAACATGAGGTCTATGACTGACTCATCCACAATCCACGAAGTATTTTGAGGACAGCGAGAATTTCAGGCTGCTGATACATCATCACGGGTGGGTATAATGCATGAAATGGAATCATTTTGATTGTCGTAATCAATGATTAGTGCTCCGGCGCGATGTACTGTTGTATTTGAGAGGATACTGTACTTTTCACAGCACAAACGAAAGAGTGTTACCCAAAGCGGCATACCAGCATCTGCCAAATTTCAAACTCCTCGCTTCGCCTGCCAAATCACTCCGAGTTTGACCAGTCTGACTACGTCAATAAATTCTCACCATCTCAAATTGACGCATAGTCAGACTGGTTACGAGTCTAGTTTATAAACCTATATTGGCACTTCGGCACGGTGTTCACTGTATCTTGATCTTCTCAGCAATACCTGCACATGGGTTAAAAAGCCATCAGCGCTGATAACCGATCCAGAATAAGATAACTCACTCTTCTTCCAAACAAGCCCATAGTTCTTCGCAGTCTGGGTGGAGAACATTCCTGCGAGAATTAGCGCGCACAGCGCACCGTGTGGACGGCCTCTGGGTCCATAGGATAGTTTGCAGGGTCCAACCTTTACTAAATAATGTAAGTCAAATGGTAACATACCAGTGGTTTTCAGAACAGCAGGAGCAGTGGTGTGTCCGTTTTTCAACTTTTCTGGCATATCTTGACCTTGGGTTCATTTCACAGTCCCTTGCATAGTTCAAGTCCAAGCTGTGTTCCTGCTGACCGGACCGCCCATCAAAGCACTTGCACTTGATCGGGTGCTTGCGACGATAAGTCAATGATTTTCAGATCATTGAATTGTCGTCAGAATGATTCCTTAACGTATGTGGACGATCCAGTTCACCAGTGAGAATTGGAGATTCTTGCTAATTTTCAACCTGTCAATTATTCGTCGCATGTAGCCTATATACAATAGATCCTCCGAGTCCTCAGGCCTGAGTCCTGATACACATTCTGCTTCTTCCTGCGACATTTACAGCCATCCGACAGGCCTGTACATGTGTACCAGACCTACGTGATCTATCCAAAGCTATTTTGACATGTTTTGCAATCGTCAGTCGCGATTCTGGTCAAGATATATGGAAAGCGGGAGTGATCAGCTTCGTATCAGCTTCGCTAAGTGTGTTTGTTTGGCTTTTACCTGTCAGACCCCCAACCACTGCTTGAGAGAGACTTAATATTAATGTTTCTAGTGATATATTCAAGATGTATTGCTTGTCAAATTGTGAGTCCTCCAATGGTTACAGATAGTAACTCAGGTGCTGATCGTACCTTAATGCAATGACAGCACAATCTGTGACGGAATTCAAAACAACTCGAACATTCAAGTTGACGAGTGCAGGATTGTGCTCCCAACATTATGACTGATCATTCTCGGCGCACCAACCAGCATAAGCCATGTCGTGAGTGTTAAGCCTGAATCACTGCCAGTTTCACTTATTTTTGAGCGAGCATAGTAGCTCCTGCCAGGGAAATACAAGATCCGGCTCAGTTTTATTTCAAGCTCAACATGAGTGATGTTGACATCATGCACCACCTCAAAGACCATTATGACCAGGAGGAATATGGACTCAGGTTCGTGTCTTACATATGTCCAGTGCAACTACTTCAACTAATTTATCATGCTAGCATTGTCAGCTTTTGTCGGATGCAAAATAGCTGGGGCTGGAAATGGACCAGGCAACAACAACATACTCTCGAGTCCATCGAACAGCATGTCCGGGAGATTCGACAACGATTTCCCCACCGAGGTGCCGAGGCCATCAGACAAGACCTGCGCCAGCAGTTCAGCTTTCACGTACCCCGGTGAGTTGCTGTCTACTTGCTAGTACTGTTCACTATAAATCAATGTTTGAACAGCGAACTGATCGCCAAGCTTCTCAAGATCACAGAGCCAACTGCTGTAGAAGCTAGGCGTCGTGGACGTCTCAAATGGAGGCGTTTTTGGTGTGCAGAGGTTAATGATGTCTGGCCCCAAGACCAGCACGACAAATGGCTGCGCTTTGGGTTATGGCTGCATATCAGCCTCGATCCATTCACTGGCTGGATTAATTGGCTGAAAGTTTGGTGGACCAACAAGAATCCACGCCTTATTGCTAGATACTACCTTGACTGTTGCCGAAAACTCGGAGGTATGTCACCAAGCCCCTCACATTGATCGGACATTGATCATGTCATTTTTTTGTGATCTCAGCTGTACCTTTGATCACTCAGAGCGATCCAGGCTCCGAAAATTTTGCTGTTGCCAACGCACAAACAATGATTTGACACCGCCTAGATCCAGCACTCAATGGAACACTTCAGCACTGCTGGATGCGAAAGCACCAGAACATCAAGCCCGAAATCATGTGGTCTGTGCTTCGCAGGGACTATGAGCATAAGGCTGGTACTAGAGTTCGAAAGAATGACTGACCGATGATAATTTGCGCTTGACAGGGTGAGGCAAACATTGGGCGCCATTTTGCAAATTTTTTGATGGGGACACCGCAGATAGTACTAATGCAGGACTTGAAAGATGTTGGATGTCAGATGAACTTGCCACTGTTGCGTGAGGTGTATCCTGGTTTATGTATTCTGTCAGTCATGCAAGGTACCAATAGTCCATGTTGAAAACGAACATCACAAGACTTGGACTCAGCTAGTACTTCCTCACCATTTCGCCTTTGCTCAGCGGCAAGGAACTTCATATGTGGAATAATGAGGTGAAGTTCGATCCCCTTGCCAGCATTGAACTGCTGCTTCGTGTTCCTGGTCTTGAGGAAGTGGGATGCTATGGCATTGATGTCTTCTCCAGACGGATGGGGAAGAATCTCCTCAAAACTACTAACAAGACGCAAATGTGCCTCTTCAAACGTAAAAGTAAGACCCATGGACCACTTGATGAACATGGGAAGTAGGGTGAGGTACACCAAAGTTTTAAGGTCATTGGCACCAATGTGGTAAGGGATGTTGCTGATCGACTCGACTATATCCTATAGAAGATTCAGTGAAGTCGGTGAAGTTGAATTCGGAATTGTAGAGAGCAACACTTACAGATATTAGAGTTGGTTTTTTAGCCCGTGGAATCATCACTGCAAGGTATGCCTTGACGCATACCACTTCGGGAACACTCGAAGCATAGGCCTGTCGAGCAAGCCAGTCTCACATCTCTTCATAAATTTTATGCGCATCTTGATAACCAGGCTTGAGTGGCAGAGTTCGAAGAAGGTCTGAGTACACAATAAACTGAGCGTCCCGACCATAAATAGATATGTTGGGCCCTAATGGATTTGCACGGCAGATGTCTGAGGGGCCAGGAGCTGCAGGCCAGTTGGGTAAAGGAACAAATTGATGATTTGCTGAGGCGCGCCTCAGGTGAACGGGACCTGGGATGAATGCAGGTGGAGGCATCCCACATGATACACTAAGCCCCACTGCACAAACAGGAAGTTGGGATTCTACAAAAATAAATGAAGGTTTGTATTCAATATAAAATGCAACTGTACTGGGCGACTCACTTCCACACTGCACCTCTGCAGTCTGCTTGTGAACTGCAGCGCCATCATATTCGGACTGGCTGAAACCATGCTTCGAGGTATTTGGAATTACTAAAGAAAATTATCGTCAGACTGTAATGTGACAAAGTCTGCACACCAAGCAATTATTTTACCTGCATCACTTATTTTCTTGGTAGTGAACTTGGAGCGCTGGTATCAGCTGCATTTTTCACAAAGCCATTTACCGGGCTTGCTCGGATCTTTGTGCTCAATATAGGTGATAGCAGGTACAGTGCCAGGATGACCGCTAAAACAGTTGGCATACTCGCAATAGTGCTGGTCAGCATTTGTGGTGAACTCTGCAGCATACATGATGATGGTGGATTTTTTGGGGGGTTTGGATTTAAATTTCTGAACTGTCAGATTCAAATATTAGTGCTACTAGAGGCTCGTCGAAGCAAGCAAGGGCCTTTGATATAACCATTTGATGCAAGTCTATGTGCGAGTGATGATTTCTCATGTCAAATTTGCAAGGCAAGAGATCTTAGGCACCACGTCAATACAATGTCTTAACCTCATTCTGTACGCACAGCCACATTTATGAGTGTAGTCGGTAAATCCTTCATCGCGTTCAGTGGGTGATTGGGGGTCTGGCAGGAGAAGAGCCAAACAAATGTCTTTTTAGTCCAGCTGATCACTCTCGCCAAAGCTGATCACTCTCGCCAAAGCTGATCACTCCCGCTTTCCATAAAGATATGGCTCCTCGGAAGGTTCCGATAGGCCAGGATGTTGTAGACTGCAACAAGTCAGGCAGCTGTCGTAGGGACACAGGGAAATGCAAACAAGTATGCATCGAAGAGGAGTCTTGCTAGTGATAAAGGTACTGGGGGTATGTCAGGGACCTCAAAACGCGCACGAAAGACAGTCCAAGCACGGTCTGCAGCACCTGGTAGGTTTGCAAATCCTTTCGCACTAAATGGATCTTCATCAGCACGCCCTCCGAACCAGCAGGCAGCAGCACACCTCGTACCTCCTGAGTCTTTTCCTCCTCATCCTCCGCAGTTCTTCGATAATATCATGATGCTGCTCAACATGATGCATATGTGCGCCCTACCGGCACAGATCTATTAAGCGTTCATTTCACAGTTCTGCAGATGACTTGACACCTTCGACACCACATCCGGTGTCGTCACGGTCGTCACCGGTTTCTGTCTCGGACATCTTGATATTCAATACTCGATGTTTTTCCTTGGCAGTCCTACCTCCATCATGTCCACTGAGGTATGCATTGGTCTACCGGGTCCACATGCTCTGGATTGTTTATCCGCCAACCTTCGGTTCTGCCTATACTCTCACCCTGAAGTCCGCTGGAAAGCGCACCCATTCTGATACAAGTGCCAAGCTTACTTTCCAAAAACGTTTTTTCCGATAGGATATAAGAGCAAGGTCATTAGCAAATCAGAGCCACTGTTTGTCTTGACACATCCCACATAACCTAGCACGAACCATGCATTTCTCATTCCTCCGAGTAGTCGCAGTCGTTGCAGCTTTGACAAGATTTATGTCTGTCACCGCACAGTCCTGTGCGGCCGTAGCCCAGTCTTGTGGCGAGAGCAGCCCGCAAAACCTCTCATGCTGCGGTGGCCTTACCTGTACGCCTGTTGTGAGTATGAGTCGTTCGCTCTGCATCCGAAATTCAACCCCACGGCTCGCCTTTGCGCCTTGTACCAATAGGAGTCCGGTACCACGCTCTGCACGAAACAGTCCAGATGAGCTTGGCAGACTGAGCATGTCACAATAGTGTCTTATTTCTTTCGCGTTGGCACAGTGCTTGATCGCACGATATACAGTTCGTCGCGGAGTTGATGGATGTGCTCACTTTTATACAAATTTTCCTGACACCTCGACTGGACTCCCGAATCGATTACTGTAGCGTTGATAGAAGACCTCGGGCTCAGGCCTCATGTCATTCGACTTGTATACGTTTTACATCAGTAAAAGTAGAAGAAAATCGGTGTCTTCAGCCGACATTGAAATAGGTGTGCGTGACATTGAAGATCATTCGAAAGAGGCTACTTGAAGACCAGGCTAGAACAGTTCCAGTCGTTGGCGGCGTCGGCAATTTATCACGTAGTCATTGATGTAACACAAGTCAAAGCGTGATGTGATTGAAACGAGTAGTCCACTCTCTTCGCTCTCGCTGGCCGAGCCCGAGGTATAACAGCTCTCCGATCATTTTTATAGGACAAGAGCCATTCTGCACCAGAGAACTCAGACAAGAAACCGTGACAAAATGGGTTGAATATATCTCACCTTATTCATCGCCTCGTACCCTTGAATGATTTTACCAAAATGATGAACAAAGATATGGTACCGTAAGGATAGAGCGAATCCGATCCAAAGCGCATTATGTTCAATGCATCGTGCACTTGATGTCATGGTGAGTATTGTACTGCCAGATTCATAGTTAGACGCCATCCAGAAGTCGATTGTACGCGGGAGACAACAGGCCTTGTCTCCTATTGTCACTTTTTCAATCCCAGCCGCCCATTTCTCTCCTAGGTTCTCTTCTTTTCGACTACCATCATGGCCTCCGTACTATACAAGCATCTATTACTGTAATTGATGATAGGAAACGTCCGAAGGCGATCGGAATGCTTGCATACCGGCGATTTCGAAATTGGTGTGTCAACAAGCTCCACTGACGCTCCCTTTCATTTTGATCTCCGCATTCTCCCTGCGTGTTCTTTTCATGTCGTCGGCGTTCAAAATGCTACACCTTCTGTGCTCGAATCTAAAAAGAGATTCTGGAAAATGGATGGGTTTGTGGAATCAGAAGACACTGTCGCCGATCTGCCCGTCTCTGTCTTCATTTTTGGTGGGAAATAGTATGCACCGCCTGAGGACGGTTTCTATTTTATCAACGCGCGGGTCATTGATGCATTGCTACTGGCAACTGCCATAGAGGATGGAACCAGTCGAAATCACGCGGACGACGAAAGGAGGAAGAGACAAAGGCAAACATAGTATACAGACGTCAATTATTATGAATGGAGGCATAAGGTTACCGTCCGAAGGGTTCAGAACTCTTGTAGTTTGTAAACACGGCAACAAAACGGGGTATGACTTGTTGATTCTGAACGCCAGTCAAAAAAACGCCTTCTAATCATAGAATACCAGAGCCCTCAGCTCGATGGATTCCCGAAGCGGCGCTCCCTCTGGAGTGTTCGGGTCTTGGAAGCCAGTATGAGGCGTGAGCCTCGCGACACTGCCATCTTGTACCGAGTCAAAGCTGAAACCCTTTCAGCACGACAACAATCTTCCCCGAGTGACGTCACTCACCATTTGATAAGAACAAACTCTTCTGGGGTCATCGCCTTCATGTATTTCCACTGGTGCTTTGGGCTGTATTTGACTCCAAATGTTTCACCCTCGTGGTCAGGGTATACAAGAGTGACAGGTACCAAGTCTTTCTCGTAATCAATACTCCGGAAGTCACATAGTGCAAGCGGCCAATCTACAGCCGCATGTGATATAGGACGCCAAAGGTTAACGATTTGGAAGCGTCTTCGAAGGAGGGAAGGAGCTTCTGTTGGCGGGAGATGCCTATGAACACGAGCAATGGACGATGCAGTCGTTTGGTCCACATGAACCAGCGGAACTGGTTGACGTTTCTGTGGGCCATCATCTACCTCGCCTGGGCGACGGCGACGAATAGCTGTGACACGAATTGGAAATGAAGACGTCATTTCAAATTGGTAGTGGTCAACGTACTATGATCGAAGATGACAATCCTGGTTGCTCCCGTAACCCTCTTGATAAGGTCGATGCTCTCAGGGTAGTATTCGCGCTCGACCTCATCATCATTCAAGAAGCTGGCATGTTTCGCCGCTTCTCGCCCATACTGAAACCCAGCAATGTCGAGCTTATAAAGCTCCTCCTTCCCGCGCACATCCTCAATTCGTATATCATGCGTGTCCTCGGCCCAGTTGCGGGCTCGCTTTCCGGTGGCGCCATCTGAGTTAATGGTATTGTAAGGCCGAGAGCCGTCAGACGGAGCCAACATGTAGTTGAAAATGCCGATAGTGTCAGAGGCCATGGTTAGTCCGTTTGTGCTGGATGAAATGCGGAATGAAAGTGTCCTTGGTATCACGAGTGAGTTGTATCTTACTTATATATGTTTCCAAAGTCCGGGGAAGTCGTTTGGCTGACATATCATGTTATCAAATACCTGGTCCGCTGACTGTTAATGTGGATTCATAAGCATGACGCCAGGGAGCTGCGGGATGCGCAATGAGTGGAGCTCTTACCTGAATCATCAGCAATCTACGCCGGGGAGAGAATTCTTGATTTCGTAGCCCAAAACACTGTTGACCACGTTCCAGGATACATATGGCATGTATAGCACAAATTATTATTGATGATGTCGACCAAGTACATATTGGATTGACGAGAATAAGCATCAACTTCTCAACTTTGTCGCTGCGCAGGGTCACTGCAGGTTCAAGTGATTGATTGATGAGAGAGAGAGATCAGGCTGAGAGACCTGGGGTTTGAGCCTGCGAGCATTCTGTGGTGACGAAGAGAATTGTCGATGCCTGCCGGCAGGTTGTGATACAATGATCTAAGGCCTACTCAATTGTATATCAGGGCTCGCGTATTTTCTGATAAGCGGACCATATCTTATGATTCCTGTGGGCTAATGCAAGTTAGGCAGCACATAAGCATCACGAAACATGCTCACGATTTGCAGACTCCGAGATTACAGATTAGAACAAGCCTGGAGAACTAATGTCATATAAAGAATTGTATCATGATGTGTAGATCCCTCGCCTTGCAGCTGTACTCATCTCCACAAAACCCAAGTCGAGTGTCCGGCATAGTTGTCGAACATATTTAGGCTCACTTGCAGGAGGTCACAAGTATAGCTCTCCATCCAGGTACAGTGGCATTGGTAGAGTAGATAAATTTCATTCATAAATAAATTTCGCACATTTACATCTTCAGCGTTTATAAACCTACATCACTTCGGGTATTCACTGTATCTTGATCTTCTCAGCAACACCTGCACATGAGTTAAAAAGCCATCAGCGCCGATCACCAATCCAGAATAAAACAACTCACTCTTCTTCCAAACAAGCCCATAGTTCTTCGCAGTCCGGGTGGAGAACATTCCCGCAAGAATTAGCGCGCACAGCGCACGGGCAGCCTCTGGGTCCATAGGACCGACTTTATCGCCAGTGTTTCCGAGGACGGTCGAGATAACGCTGTGGAGCTCGGCCCAGAATGGCTGAGCATGCGTGAGGAGGGCATAGAGCCCCGTGATGAACGGCGCACACCACAGGTCCGTGGCTGTCCAGCCGTAGGGCTTGATCGCAGCGGGAGTCGTAAGTTTGAGCGGGGTAGGCTCGAGGAAAGAGAACATGCTGGTTACGAAAAAGCCTCCATTGGCGATGACCTGTTATGGGCAAAAGCAGTTAGAGAGAGATCAAGACAGGATCGGGAAGGGACGACGTACGAGAGAGGATAGCAAAAGAGTCCACGGAGAAGATGCGATAATAGGGGATGCGTGGGTGATAACAGGTTTGGGTGTAAGGCTGCATAGAAGCAGGGCGCGCGTGAATCCGTCGACGATAGACAACGGAAGCTCAGTGCTGAGTGACATGGACGGTATAACAGGGATATATTCTACGATCGCCTGTGCGGCAATGTACACACCGGGGGAAACACCTGAGAGCACGAAAGATGGGGGAACAGCGAGCAGAGAGCCTGAAAGTGGAGAGCGGTCAGATGCATAATAAGTTCGAGTTAGCAAAGTACCTATGATGGCCTCTCCTCCAAATTTGATCGTGAGTGAGGTACATGCGTCTCTTAGGAAGGATCTCTCCTCCACAGGTGCGGGTTTATCTCCAGAGCGGTGCTGATGCTTGGCATATAGATCTTCCTTGGTCTGTCTCAGGATGGTGCAAAGCCGCAAGGCGGCTACCAATTCGATGGAGCAGACGTTGATACCAAACCAGCTGAAAGGTGCTATGGGTTCAAGAGCATACCGATACAAAGTTATGAATGGCTGGAGAGACATGACGGGGCCAAGGAATGGTTGAGGTCAAGGTTGTAGAAGAGAAGCAGAAGTCCTGAGACATGCTTCTTCGGCTCAGAGGTTCTGACACGCCTTTGCCGGCAGTAATATTAGCTGGCAGTCGGATTTCGGAGCAATCCCATGTGCACAAGCCACTCTGGACTTTGGACACTCATGATCAGGAATTTCATCGGTTTGCTTATGAGCAAACTCTCCTAAGCACCAGCCATCGACAGCATACAAGTACAGCAAGAAAACGTTCAAGGAAATAATCATCAACAATCTCGATTGTATTTATACCATAGAGTCCCGGATAACAGTATTTGGAACAGCAAATAAATATGCGCAATAATGATAGTCAAACCACGACCACGAGCAACGTTAACGCGATTAGATTTGTGACGACCGTGAAATGCCGTTAACAGGTATCACAGAGAATCACTCGGCTAGTCGAACTTAGTTCCCATTCCTCGCACTGGCCACATCAATACTGTCGTCGACCGTTCCAAACTTGAGATCGTCCAGGACGCCAAGCAGATTTGTATCCCAATTCTGGAAGTGCAGATTGACAGCCGGAAAGTTTGGACACAAAGTAGGAAGGCCACCGAACAGCTGAGGTGCGCCCCAGTATACGTCCATCTTCCGGTCCTCAGAAAGTTCGGTCCAATATGCTGGGTCCATAGGGTAATCAATGACGTTAAGTATAAATGCACCTTTATACGCTGCTGCAGGTTCCTTCAGCCCGGACCCTGGGAACGTCGGAACTTCCATGAATACGTTGACAGCGAGATTAAAATATGTCAATTCTTCGGCAGAATATATCATATTACCGAATTGAACAGGAGATGTGACCACACTCGGTTGGCCTCCTGAAAGTGGCTTGTATGAGGCTGAAACGCCGCGCTTAAGAGCCATGGACCATAGAGTGTCTTCAGGGTTTTCTAAATTCTCGGAGTTTGATGGATGTTCCGTATGGAGGACATGGATGATTACGCCATACATATTATCCCAACGTGGTGGGTTCATACATATGACCTCGCTGTTTCGGATTATGACCATAGGAAGTGGCTCCGGGAACGCGTCCTTGTATCTTTCAAGGTGGTTGGGAAGCTGGTTCAAGAGCTTGATGGGATAGATCCTTGGGCGTCGCAGGCCATTGTGAAAACATGGGTCTCGAGGGGCTTTGGAGTAGTATCGGCGGGTGACAGCGTCCTTGTGCTGACAGAAGTTGCTGATTAATTGCGCGTATTGTCGAGCATCGGGCACGTTGAAGAAAGGCGGCAGACGCAGTGGCATGTCATGGTGCTCGTCTAGCTTTTCGTAGATCATCATCGGTATGATACTTTCTGCCTCGAGAAATTCTCTCGGTATGCAGTAGGTAAATGGCGCAGGGAGAGTGGCTCGCAGTGCTGGCCCGTTTGATCCGGTTGAAGTTTGGGTATGGACGAAAGTCGGTCGGACTTGAGGGATTCGAGTGGCATCATCGCGTGCAAGTATGGTATCCGTATTGACGTGAGCGGGGATTGGCCGTGGTGCATATAGCAGATTTTGAGGCACATAGTGCATATTGGCATTAATGTTGTTGGCATCCTCTTCCAAATCATATTGCGCGGAATCAGGGTGAGCGAACTGGAAGCCAGGGACCTGCATGTTCGTGTGTTCGGCTTGCATACTAGGTCAAAAGAACGATTCTCGTACCTGTTTGTGAAAACCCAAAGCGTCGAGATTGCTGGCGTACAGTTCATCATCACTTGGTAAATGATGAGCAAAGCTCTGAGAGGGTGCGATCGTGGTGGACTGAATGTCACGCACGACGAGATGCGCGGACTCATTCAGACTGGAAGAAAAGCTTTCAATCCGAGTTGACTGCATAATGTGATAACAAGCAAGAGACGAAAGGTGATGAGGATGCAGAGGAAATGCCTATTGTTTATATATACCATGGCTCACGCAAAGGTGGTTGCAATTGTGGTCCTGGACAACATTAATATTTGTTTTAAAAAAACAGCAAAAACCAACTGTCATTACTTTCAACTGAAAGGTAACTAAGCATGGTACAATGGCGAAGCGGCTGTAATGGCCCTAAACCGGGAATGCGAGATAGTTCTTTACAGCGATCCAACCCATGAGTGCGCTGGTTCAAGACTGTCCCCTCCAGAAAACTTGGTGTCCACATGTTCCTTGCACCGAAAGGTGTAATCGGACTTGGAATAATCGGTCCTTGATTGGCCAGGGAAGCAATTCCGCAACCTGCAGGATCTGCCGAGTTAGTCGTAGGAGATCAGGGCATGTCATCAGACGCGCTGTGGGTCGTGCTGCTCGCAAACCTTTTTGCCCTTTTGTTGAAGAACTTGCAAAGGACTAGCGATTGTCATGACTTCACCACGACAAGTCTTGAAAGAAAAAATGGCACACACACCCGCCACATTGCTACAACAAAGGCTACAGTTAAAGTGCAACTTCTGTCCACGCCATCTAACATTTGTTACTGCCGGTCCATACATATAATTGCCAGTCTTGTCGCTCATCTCGCCTCGACATGCTTTAGCTACCACCGGGCCGACCCCGTGGTCACGATGTTTGGTCGGCCTCATTAGTCTGATTGGTAGCATCAAAGGTCTCAACGCCTTGTTACCTTCCATGTCTGCTCCGCATACCAAGCGTATTTGCCAGATAATCAAGGTGCGTACTGCGGGTTCTCGCCTTGGGTAATAAATGCTCAGACCCCTGACCGTTCATCATAGCTCAAACCAGAATGCGTGGACGAGTACAAAGAGGTCCACAGGAACGTCTGGCCCAGCGTCCTCAACGCCATTAGACGGCACCACATCGTGGACTACTCGATCAACCATTACCCGCAGCTGAATTTGCTCATCGCAAACTTCAAGTACACGGGTAGTGACTTTGAGAAAGATATGAAAGCCATCGGGGACGACGAGGAGACGCAGAGGTGGTGGAACCTCACAGATAGTATGCAGGAGAGCTTTAATGACGGTGCTTCTGGGAGTGGAAAGGATATCCCTTGGTGGACGGTAAGTTTGCTTTGTAGACTGGAGATTTTCGCTTCTTTGAATAATTTGGTGAATAGGACGTCGAGGAAGTCTTCCGTTTCGAGGGAGGTTCTTCAGCATGATACGTTGATAGCCATTATTGATGAGTTTGACTACCTCACTGCGTGAATCAAGTATTGGATGACAGCTATGCCGTCGACGGGTACTACCGTGCCAGGATGAGATACTAAGAGTTTGGGCTCAGGTTGTTGACTAGTTAGAAGGTAGTAGTGCGATATTGAAAAGGCAGAGGTAAACAAGAATGTGACTGGTTACAATTGCTCAAACTCGACGCAAAACGTAACTTCAAGACATGGTAGATTTCATCGGCATGCACTACGTATGTGCAAACTTATCTTCGAGTAACGTAGCTTCAGCCCGAATTCCGATATTCGATCTGAAGTACGCTTCTAGTCAAGTGGCAAGATTCAAATTGTATGACCAAGTGCATGAGTCGATGTAGAACCCACAAAAAGCAACCTCTCCAACAACTGAGAGCAATGACTTCGTACTGCTTATGTGAACTTTTCTGAATGGTGCATCCGTCTCAAAATCCACTACCGGCACCTGGAAAGATGCTACCGCCAATATTGACAAAAGACAATGAATTTGTCGCTGTTTTTGTGTTCCAATCAGAGTCAATCTCCGGAAGATGAACATGTCGATAAACTCTTGTCGGAAGTAATGTACTCATGCGAGGAGGGGGAGGGTCATCGACTTGAGTGTCGCTGAATAAATTTTAGCACCAGGAACAACGGGCAAGTATATGGAAAAACTGGCTATAGTGGAGCATAAAGCACACACGGAAGCGTCGCGGAGGCGGAGATGATGTAGATCTTTGTGAAAGGGGATGTGAGGTTTGAATGCGGAGGCCAAATAGTGACAGTTAGTGTTGAGGCGTAGGCGAGAAATATCTGGTGCATAGAATTTGCTGAGTCGGAGAACAAGAAAGTCACATTCCAAGGCTCTCAAACGAGGTGTGTCGAAGTTGATATCCCAGCCACACAGGTGTAGCATGAGCATGATGACCATTTCCAAACGCATGCTCTCAGAAAGGAGGATATTGAGAAGTTGAGAGTTTGCCGCGGGTATCATCCAAGGTTAGTGACCGCTGCGAGTGCGGTTGCGTCATGGGGCACTGTATACAATGCAAAGGGTGAACCAGAGCGAGCAAGCCAACACTGAAGAAGACGCGGAAGAAATAGCTTGAATTGAATAATGTAACTTGCCCGGGGGGACGACCTGGACAGTGGATACGCGACCAGACTCCTGCGCCAAAGGTGGCACACCCTGGTCAAGTCTAGGGGACGGCTGGAAACGTTGACCGAAATGGTGTCATGTCCGCATGAAAGATACCCGGATAGTCTGTAGAAGTTCCACTAGTACAATGGATGTACGGCCCTGACGGCGTCACACTGACAGGACTTGAACAAAAAAGGACGATGGCATGGATCTCGTGATGGAGCAAATCTTCACCATCATGATGGGCTCTAGATCTCGCTAAGTGCAATATGGGTGTTATTACCTCCGAGTACTGATGACCTCTTGGCTGTGTCGATTGGTCGGTCCAGGGCTGGCTCGCCACCGATATGGCTAAAACTTGGCGAGCCTCGGGCTGGACCGCCTTACATACTTATTGTACGAATGAAATTGTGGCACCTTCAGCCACACGATTATGTAACAACCCCGTTTGGTATTAGTAGTACTGTTAGTTTGTGGTTTGCTCATATGTTTTGCTTTAGCACTCTCGTCCAGGTACGTTATTCTCTTCTAGCTCGTATGTTATAGAACTTAGTTCTGACTCGTTCTATGTACTGAATAGTGTTTTTTTCACTCTTGCTGAGTCCTGACTCGCTCTAGCCTCTGCAGACCGTTGAGGCATGCGGGGCGACGAGGTCACGGTCGCGCGACGTGGTGACCGAACGACAGGCATGCTTTTGAAAGTCCGTCATGGTTGTTCTAACCGTGTTTCTCAGGGAGATTATTCTTACCTGAGCTTTAATAAAGTTTCGAGTAACACTAGTGAGTGTATGGAACTTATCCGACTAGATGGCCAGGGTACAGTGGGAGCATAATAAGCTTTCGGGCTCTTAGTAGCCATAATCCTTTCCATCACCTTTTTCACTCTCCTGCGAGCCCTCTACAAGTACTACGACGATGGCCAACAAGGCAAAACTTGAGGCACTCCTGACTCTAATCAACACATCCGCACGAGATGCCATCGCGTTGTATGAACAGTACGGTGATGTACCCGCCATCGACCAGACAGAGCCCCACCCGTTGGACAATGCAGTCGACCAGGTAGCTTTGAAGAGTGCCATTCGTACTCTTGAAGGTGCTTGTGCTCAAATATGCGCGACACTTGCTCCACCTGCCCATACTGCAGTTAACGTGAATACTTGAATGATATAACACACTTTACTTTTGCTCATCAGATTGTACGCAGCTTGTCCAAGTGTATGATCATGCTTGCATGCGAGTAGTTGCTCGGGAACATGTTTCTGATATTCTGTTGAAGTACCCCAAGGGTCTTCACGTCAACGAGCTCTCCAAACAAATCAACATCGAGCCAAAAAAACTGGCCAGGATAATGCGCCTCCTGGCCACGAGAGGTTGCTACAATGAAGGTAAGGAGCTATTTGTTGCCTGGTTTGATTTCTTCTCAGACTGCGCCAGTTGACATGAACGTTTTTGCCAACAACCGACTGTCTCTGATCCTACTCGACGAGAACCCTGTCAAATACATGATCTTGTTTCATGTGGACATAGTTGCCAAGGGAGCACCGGTTTTCTACGAGACGCTCAAAGATCCAAAGATTGCCTACTCGTATGAACCAACGGTTGCCCCTGTAATGTACGCCATCAACAAAAATGGAACCGAAGGAACGCTCTTCGACCGGATGGCGCGGCATGTATGTTTTTAAAATATTGCTCGTCAGGAAGCTTTACTCATATAATTTACTCGTAGGACGGCCAACGCCAGGTAGGGATTTTGGTTCCTCCGTACGATCATTCTGACGTCTCTAGTAGTCCTATCACACGTCGATGAGAGGTCTGAATGACATTATGGGCTCCCTCGCCGTCCTGACTCGTAAGTATTTGAGCACACAAAAACGGGATAATTCTGTGCTAACCTGATAATAGATTTCCCATTCGAAAAGCTCTCAACAGTCGTTGACGTTGGAGGAGGCATTGGAGCATTTTCTCTGCCTTTGGCTAAAACACATAAAAACGTTAAAATTATAATCCACGATCTTCCGGAAGCATTAGTTCAGGCGAGAGACGTAAGTCGGTAGGACAACATACTTGTCACCAAATTGATGGAATCTAGATCTGGGCGAGAGAATGCCCTGAAGCCCTGACAGAAAACAGGGTCGAGTTCAAGAACTTGGACTTCTTTGAACAAGTTCCCGCGAAGGGTAAGGACATCTACTATGTAAGTGCTAAACTCTGTAGGTGACAACCTGCAAAGTTGACAATGATCGCAGCTTAGAAATATCATCCACGACTGGCCTGACCGTGAAACTGCACTCATTCTTTCAAACCTTCGCAAGGCGCTCGGTCCAAACAGCCGCGTCCTCATCCGTATGTCAAATATAACGTGACCCATCGTCCCGCAATCTGACAATTTTCAGATGACTATGTGCTCCGCCAACTCAGCCGCAAACAAGCAGTGATAGAAGCTTCAGAGCTCGGAGTTGTTTCGGTATGTCATGTCCGCTGACCTACATCCATCTTTGTTCATCTCCGCACCTAGGCTCCTGAACCTCTTCTTGCAAACTTTGGCGTTGGAAATATGCGTTTATACCAGCAAGACATGACTATGTTGTTCGTACACAACGCGATGGAGCGAACACTACAAGGTTCCCTCACACTTGCGTGAGTAATATTCGATTACTGCCTTGGCTTCACCTGATTGGTTTGGAATAGCACTGCCGCCGGTCTGAAACTAGAGAAAGTGTGGGACCTTGTCGAAACATGCGTCTTGGAGTATTCTGCCGCATAATGTTCGAGCTAATCAATTGTTCATCTGCATATATCTTCACGTGCGAAGATACACTGCACGCCACATACTTACCAGAATACACCTGAAGTTCCAATAGTTTGTTTTGTAATTAGCTTAATTACTGGTAATCCTTGCAAAATATCTTGAGATCAAGAACTGTTATACCGATATAAACACTCGTCGAGGCTATCATGATCGAGTATCTCTCGACCTGCGTCACGATAAGATTGCATAGATGCAAGAGCCTCTGCTTCTTCACATCATCACGCTGTATGAATTTGCAATGCCATGACCCCAGGGCCTGTCATATGGCTCATAGAGTTATTCCTCCCATGTTCTCGCGAACACTCAGCCCGTATATCGAAGAACGCACGTTTCAGTTGTAGGACGAGTACTTCGTACAACGGCCTCGCTAAGTTCAACCGTGATCCTTGACTCCTGGTTCTCCCGCACAAGTATGAGGACTTCGTTGTTATCTATGATATCCATCTTTGCCGACGACCACACCCACGGATAGTAAGTGGAAGTATATGATATATCAAGATGATCCTATGGTGATCATGATATCCAAGTGTGGGTAGGTGGGGGAAGGTAAGGCACACCAAAGAATTTATGTTTGGGTAGGCTTGGAGGTCTTGGCCAGTCCGTTCACTGCCGATTCATTTCAAGTCTGTCATCAGCTATGGAACAATGATAACGCATATTATAGGAGGCAGCGATGATGGGATTTAGGAATTTGAATATATGAGCTGACTGCCCGGGCCAGGTGAAATTGATGCAGCACTGTCACGAATCCTATGGGAGTACAGATCATGTTCAAACACCTCGTGAAGTATTGAAATAGATGATATCTGCATATACATTTGCATTCACTGTCATGCAAACACCAGACAACATGAGAACACGTAGGGACAGCACAACCCACCTCCGCCAGCGAATTATCTCCTGCCACCATGGTCTCTCTCCCTCTCATTAGACATCCTCCTGCGCCTATCACCTCCAGGAGAACGTTCATTCCGCTCTCTCTCAGGATAATCATCCTTGCGCCGCCGTTCATATCCACCATCCCGCCTACCTCGATCCCGTCCATCCATATCCCGCTTGCGAGGCGGAGGGGACCGGTCATCTCTCCTGTGGCGAGGAGAGTCGCGACGGGTATATCCTCGTCCATCCCTTTGTCGCGGGGGAGGCGACGGGGACGGCGTACGAGAGGAATAGCGCCCGCCTCGGCGTAGAGGAGGCGAGCGAGAGTCGTCTCGAGCACTACGACGTGGGGGCGGGGGCGGAGTGCGTGAGTCATCTCGGGCCACACGGCGTGGGGGTGGGGTTGGGCTACGCGAATCGTCCCGCCCAGCACGGCGTGCAGGGGGACGACGAGAGTCGTCTGGCACACTACGGCGTGGTAGAGAACGCGAGTCATCCCGCCCTCTGCGAGGAGGAGTTCGTTGACGTCGCCTGGAGTCCACAGAAGATTCTGATTCTGATGGGGAAGTGTCCGAGCCAGAGTCGGATTCAGAATCAGAGTCAGAATCAGATGAATCGGAGTCACTACTGGATGAACTGGATTCTTGTTCCAGCATGGCACGTCGTTGTTCCATAATAAGGCGTGGGGCATTCTACCAGAAAAAAGTAAGTCACTTCAATGCTTTGAGCATGTAGACTTGACATACCTTGAGGTACTCTCTCATTTGTTCGGTGAGAACACCGAGTCCAATGCTCGTGAAGTAGTTGATGGAGAACCGTGTGTTTTTCGGGTTGTCCATTGGGAACATGTCCTTCGTCGCGTGTTTAACCTGCTCATCCTTGAACCTCTCCGCGAGCGTTTTCAATCCCATACTCTCCATCATCTCTTGCATCATAATCTTGATGAAAATACGGCTTGAGCTCGTCGTGTCCTCCTCGTTGATCTTGACACACTCGAGCACAATCCAGGAGACGGCATCGGTCGCGAGCATGTGCCCGAAGAAACGAGAAATGTTGCGCAGGCGATTAGTCTCATACCGATGGATTGTTGTGTAGTAATTGACGAAGGCCTGCTCGAGAGCATCTGTCCAGACACGGTTGAGTTTGCTGAAGCGCTCGCCAACAAGACCATAGAAGCTAGAGTAAGAACGTTCTTGCGAGCAACATTCGATCACCATGTTGATGAGCTCAATCTAAAAAGACAGTCAAGCATTTGCAAACCGTTAACTATGCGACCACGTACCTCATCGCCTTCTTTTATCTGTACTTTGAGGAGCTTATGTACGGCTTCCTCGTAATTGAGGGCATTCATGATCGTCAAGTAGATCGTTCTACGTAGGTTCACGAGATTGGTCTCCGTACGGTCTTCGATGCCTTCTTTGTCTGCAACCACTGCATGATATGAGCTCGCAACTCAAGATATGACGCAGAACTAAACAAACCTTCGTCTTCATCCTCGCTAGACGACTCTTCAGAGCCAGATTCTTCGTCCTCTGAGCCTTCACCTAAAATCTCAGCCCTGATAGACTTGTACTTTTCCTCGTTCTCCAAATAATTAGGATCAAACTTGAAAATATCTATATGCAAAATTTAGGCAAAACTGCTTGTCAGAACACGAGTACGCACTTAGTCCTTCCTGAACCTGGAGCTCTTCCTCGAGCTGGATTTGATGTGTGATCTGCTCTTCTTCTTCAACCAAGTCGAGACCTTCAGGAAGGATTGGGTTATCCTTGTACTTATCCTTGCGAGTTTGCATTAGGACTTCGATCATATATTGAACCCTGTGGCTGATCGACCCTTCATTCAAGACAGCACGGAATCGCTCAAAAACAGTCGCATTGGCTTTTGGTGAGTTTTCGGCGAGGAAGGCGCCTACTTCGCGCATGAAGCCGACAGCGATTTCAATCGAATCATCGGTGGGCCGCTCGAGAAGAAGAACCAGGATTTGGAGAGCTATGATTTCATGGGCGACGGCTTGATTAACGAGATGAGCGATAAAGGTCGTCGTTGAGTGGCATACAATCTTGGAAGATGAGGTGAGCAAACTCAAAATTCGACTGTAGCTTTCGATTTCGCTTACTTTGTCATTTCGCTTGAACGATCGTCTGAATTGACTAATCAAACGAGTGAGAACAAGTTCTCCCACTTGAGGGAGTTTTGTGTTGATAACAGCCACCACTGCAGCAAATACAGGCGTAAATGGCAAACTTGATGACTGCGCCTTCATGATGCTCCGAGAAAAAAGGCCTCGGCCGCGGATGAGATTTTCGGAGAAGAGTTCAGGGACAATTTGCTTTATATTCGCAATGTTGACTCGGTTGACAATACCAGTGAGGGATTTGCGGAGGGCATCCCAAGATAATCGCTGGTATTCTGGACTGGTTTTGTCATCGGCAGCAGCGGCTTGCAAGGCGCGTAAACGTGCAGGGGGCATGTATACACCACCCGAGCGTGAACCTATGAGCTTTGCAAATTCTGCTTTCCTTTCTGCTTCGTCCCGTGCGCTGTCTTGCACTTTGGGATTTGTCGCTTTTTCGAGGTTCATAGCTGCTATATTTGCAGCAAGCTGCCTCTCTCTTTCGGCCCGTCGAATGGGGTCCACATCGTTTACACGAGGAAGGTCAATATGAACACGAGACGGTGACTGCGAACGACGGCGAGTTGCCGGTGGAATGCCATCTGGTTCACCAGGTGAGCGAGAACGAGACCTGAAAACATTATAAGCGGTCGAATATTTCAAAAGACGATCTCCAAGTACCTCTTTCTACGCTCGGAAGGACCATCTGAAGCAATTTGAGGGGGGAGCACTGTTGTTGCCATCGTCGTCCGTGACGAACTGAACCCGTGGGAGTTCTTTGGCTTGCTATGTCAATACACTTAGTCAGCAATATACTGTTTACGCATAAATGCTTTAATCAATACGGTCATCCTTAGGAGTCGGAGACCCGGTGTGCGAAAGTGCTTGTTCCAGGAGCAAAGTTTATTATCCTTGTGAGTTAGCCCGTGAACAGCTATCATGGAGACACTCGAAATCCTGGCATCCATTACTAGGGTAGGTTCAAATGTATGCTCCGTGACTATGTTCTGATCTGTGAATGCGTGGATAGCTCAGTGATCGCGTAGTGAGAGTGTTGGGCCAGGTAAATGTCACATCGTGGAAGCGCACACTCCCAATGTAACTCTCTTCCGCAGAACCCAGGAAAATTCACGCTTCAAGGTAACTACTAACCGCTTTTTTCCAAGTTCAAGCTCAAACCAAACGGCTCTACAGGGACAAATACTTATCTTATCGGCGAGCGCAACCCCTACACGCTCATCGACACTGGTGAAGGCAATGACGCATACATCCCTCAGCTCGAGTCCGCCCTCTCCAACACTTGCAAGCTCACGAACCCAAACGAACCCCACATATCCGACATCGTCATCTCTCACTGGCACCATGACCACACACGCGGGATCAACTCCGTCCTTTCGCTCTTACGGAGAATGTGGGATGGGCGGAACAAACCGGCTCAGTTCAAGCCTCCCCGTATCCATAAATTCCCCCTTCTGAATATGCCGTCCGACTCTAACACAACTATCCCGCTACCACCCCCGGGTACATACGCCCCCACCGTCAACGGTGCCTTCCTCCACGACCTCGTGGACGGCCAACTTTTCCCCATAACCGGTTCACCCTCACCCATGCGAGTCATACACACCCCAGGACACACCCCAGATTCCATCTGCCTCCATGTCCCCGACGACCGTGCCCTCTATACAGCTGACACCGTCCTAGGCCAGGGAACAGCGGTGTTTGCGGACCTAGGCACATATATTTCCTCCCTGCACAGGCTCCTCGCATTTCAATCTGATTATACTGTGTTGTACCCTGGGCATGGCCCTATCGTCGCTGAGGGCCCTAAGCTTATCGGTACATACGTCGCACATCGTATGGAGAGAGAGGCGCAGATTGTTAGCGTCATTGAGAAACCTAGATCTGACGGGCAGCCTTGGTCTACGTGGGGAATTGTATCCACGATATATTCTGCGTACCCGCAGGATCTATGGGAGGGCGCGGCACAAAGCGTGAATCAGCATCTTGCGAAGCTTCAAGCCGAGGGCAAGGCGAAGAAGGTTGGGGGCGAAGGCAAGGACGTCAAGTGGGAGCTGCTAGCGAAGCTATGAAGGACGCGAAGGGCCCGTTTCCCTGCGGGATGTCAGCTGCAGGTGAATGTGCAGCCTGGGTGAGAGGGTTTCTATTTTTTGATGTGCGAGGGTCGTTGATGTTTCTTTGGTGTTTCTTTGGTGTTGTAGGTGGGAGCCTCAGGTGGCTCAACCGGGGTATCAGCATCCGCAAAGAAGAATATAGCATGAACTAGATCGTGCATTCAATGTAATATACAAGTAACATATACCGTGAAAATCTTGCGAGCACGTGTACATCTGCCACCGTTACAGTGCATCAAAATTGATATGATGCGATGCTCTCCTCCGCTCCAGCTCATCCTCCCTCTTCTCATTCAGGTGCAGTACGAAGACAATGCCTGCCAAAATGAAGGTTGCAGCTACGACTGTAAGCGTTACCCATGGGACCCAAGCCCCTGGCCGGAGGAACAGCTCCCTTCGCCATGCCCCATCACCAAGGGCAGGGTGGATGACGACGCGCGAGTTTGGAATGACGCCTTCCATATTGATGAAATGTTCCTGTGTGTGCTTGGTTGAGCCGACAAACAGGTTCTCGATGTAATTGTTGGTGCGCCCGAGCCCGAAGAATGAATATGGCGTCAGAAGGGAATGGTAAGAAGTTTGAGGAAGTTGCCCGACTTGAGCAGCGGTACGACGGCCAGAAGTGTCAAGAACCGTGTATTTATACGATGCACCAGAGTAGCTCACGCCAAAGGGCTACATCAACTACATCAGCGCAGTTCCCCACGAGATTAGGGAAACACTTACGGAGTACGTCGAGCCGTTTGAATCCGTACACCATCCATTATTACATGCACCATTTAGCACTGAGCGAGGTATGAGAACATGGCAGTCATGCAGAAATGTTTCCCCTCACCTATAGCATTCAAAAAGAACGCATCATAATAAAAATTGTTCTGGACAAACAATACACTGCCTTGCTTTTGCTGCCCATTTCGCTGCACGATAATATCCAGCGTACCCTTGCATAAAGGTCAAGTCAACCCCATATGTAGAATACAGAAAATAGATACTCACATCCTCATCCATATCCAAAAACGAGACTCCGCGTGCGTCCTTCACAGCTTCCAAAGACTCAGCACCCTTCGTGACAAGTTTGAAGCCCCTCCTGCCATTCCCCTTTTCGTCGCATCCTCCCAGGCCCTTAGTACAAGGCTCGGAAAATAATAGTTTGGGTGTACGTGATTGATCAGAGGGGTTCGAGACAATGAGGAGGAGATCCGGAAATCCATCAAGGTTAGCGTCTCCGAGCTTGACGGGCAGAGGGATAGACGGAGAATATGTGGTATCGAGGACTAGAAGAGAGCTCGTGGGAGAGGAGGGAAGAAGGTTTGAGAGTGGTATCTGTACGTATGCCTGGAGTATACTAAGTAAGGCTATGGAGGGCAGAGAGTGGGCAGCGACGAACGTCGTTTTCGCTTCCTGTACTCAAATCGAACTTGAAGTTTGGGTCAGCAGTGCACAGCTCCTCTGGTCGCCGACAGGTTCGCCTTCCTTGTTTGCCTATGGCAGGGGATGTTGGGGAAGTACACAACGGTAATTGTTTGTTGTACGCTATGTTGATAAAACAGCCAGAGCCCACGCCAGCTGAGGAAACGGATGAGCATGAGGGAAATACCATGTCGATAGTGCCATCCCTGTCTGTCTATTGGTTGGTATGGTTCGGAGGGGTGAATAACGAGGGGACAAACCGACGTCAGCAAAAGATATCCCCTGCGTCCCAGAAGGTAGGTCACCGCTCTGGTCTAACGAAAATCCAGAGTCCTTGTTATTAACCCAGATCTGGTATGACTTCTTCCCCGAACTATCCTGGCATACCAGAAAGATATCTCCAAACACAATTGTTAAGTTGACAAATGGTATAAAATCGTCCTACATACCTGCTAAACAATCACCATTGAGATCAATCACAGCATTGCTGTGAGGATTGGCGAGCGTGCACTGGTTTCCAGTAAAAGGAGGGTCAATACTATCCTATAGTTAGCTGAAAGATGCCGCGTGCAACCTGAGGCGCTTACAGTTCGAACAGCGTTGGTGGACTCTGCGACGCATTCCAGATATTCCGCCAGACTGTGAAGGGGGCGGTATAAGTTCCTTGCAAATATGCAGTGCCCAACAGGTCAATTTTCATGTCTCCATCGATATCAACTGGTATGGGTTCTGAGAGCGTCGAAGATGCGACTGAAATAGAGTCTGACGCTACAAGTTACGATTATGGTGGAACGTTTGGCATGAGAAAGATACCACTCACCAAATGTACCGTCGTGATTACCTGTGTAGAGAGTCATATCTAGTCTATCTGAAGAAGCGCGATTTGAGCTCATGACAAGCACATCAAGCTTGCCGTCGTGCGTGAAATCGCCTGGGATGACATTATGAATAGGCCACGGGTGTCGCACCGATGAGACTTTCTTGAATGAAAACACATCTGCCCGGAGTGGAGTGATCAGAGGGAATATTTATGGGGTGTACTATTATCTAACCGTGTTGCCAGAGGTACACAGACAAAGTCTGCTGGTCCGAGTCTACTGACAGGACGTCCAAGCTGTTGAGGCGAAAGATTCAATATATCATCCACGTATAGACACATATGTAACCCACAACTGGTCCCCATTAAAGTCTCCAAATGCGACTATCCGATCCCCGTCATTAATGCCCAGTAAGCCCGCATCCAGGAGAGAGTTCTTCGTGAACTGTTTCGGCGAGAACGGCCATATTGATGCGACGGGTGACGAGAGCAGCAATAGGGTCAATGTCAGGTATGCTGGAATGGATAGTAATGGCTGGTGTCTTTGTGCGCTCCAAGACTTGAAGAATGAGCTGCCCATGGTGAATCCAGAGTTACGCTAACTAGCTTCTGTGTGTAGCAAAATTATTCTGTTATTTCTGGGGCAAGGGTGTTACGGCCACGGAAACCCTGAAAAGTTTGACACGCGCTCTTCCGGAGGGGGTAATTGAGAGTACTACACAGGTTTTGGTGACGGTGTCAAACGATGAGGCAAACACCATGTTCTTCTCACGTGATCTTTACGTGATTTTTCCGCGCATATCCGTGTCGGACTTGCTTTAAAGCTGTGTTTCTCTACTGTCCTGTCATTTTGCACTCGCCAGTTCTCAGCGCTCAGCGCTCAGCTCGTTGATCTTGTCCAGCGCTTACTCAGTCTGGTAGCAATTGCCGATAAAATATCACACAAGGCTAAAATATAGCTGCCGGGTTTTGGCGTTCGATTTCACGATAAAGGCGTGGTTGAGTACAGTCGAGTACTAAAGTCAAACTAGTAGTGTGCCGCTAATTTTTGGTCTTGTAGATCGAGTGAATGCATCATGTCGGTAGTACTTCGTCACACGTCACAGGGCATGAACCTATTTGGAACGCGCGCAGATCCAGGGTGACAACGTCGAGGTTGTGGACAACGTAAGTAGTTCAACACATCAATGATCATAACGTGGGAGAGGGGGTACCACGTACCCGACTTGGCAGGTTGTTTGTAAAGTTGTTTGTCCATGTCCGTGTTCAATGACACTCCTCAGCGCGCTTAGCGCTACTCCGAGTCCATCGACGGTATACCAGACTAGAACAGATGCATCAGGCTCTACTCATTCCCGACGTCTTCCTTGAAATATTCGCGCATGTGAATCAAGTCTTGAACCCATCGTCTACTGGGGAGAAAGTACTGGCTCGGAAATCTATTGCAGCCCTCGCAACGACATGCAAAACGTTTCACGAGCCCGCAATGGATTTGCTGTGGTCCAAAGTAGATCAGTTGGAACCATTGCTAGGCTGCGTAGCGAGGCTACATCCGCTGATATATCATGGCGGTTCAAGGGTCAGTATTTAGTATTCAGTAGTCGTGCTCTATTTTTTCATCGGCTAACGGAGCATCCAAAAAGTGGGACAGTACTTGGTCAAAGGGTGTCGAACCATTATCTGCCCATGAAGTCCGTCAATTTCTGCGTCACTCCGCACGCGTTCACTCATTGAATGTACAATCCGATCACTTTTTTCACCTTCTCTCAGTCGTCCCCATCGAAAAGTGCGTCTTCTTGAGGTTGCGGTCGTTAACTTGGAGGCTTTCCACTGCCAAATATTTGGACCTATTCCTGTCCCGCACGCTGCGCCGTTGTTCCCTGTTCACCATCAATCAAAATCTTAAGAATATTGTGGCGCGTTGCGCTGCTTTGGAGGGCCTATCCATCAAAAAACTAAATTTTGACGCGAGCACAGCAGATGAGCTGTCCTTGCTGTCCGACAGTGTCCGTCTGTGCAAGCAGCTCGTGACTTTGTCTTGTCCCCCGCTCGACTGGGCAGCATGGGAACATCTCTCCGACCTTCCTAACCTAGTCAGGGTAGGAGTCCGTGACGTGCAGATCTGCAGTGCCCCTGCTTGGTCGTTAGAACGCAATGTCGCCAACCCTACGCAATTCCTCAACATCACAGCTCTCTCTTTGCAGGTTAACAGTGCTGGATACATTATCACAGTCCTGCAACACTCACAATTTTCTTCGCTGACGGAGCTCAAGATAGAAACCGATCTTCTGTCTTCGGAAGAGGCAGAACAACTCTTTTGTGCGCTGTCCAACTGCAAAGCATGCCAGACCTTGCAACAACTTGAAATCACCGTGATTAGCGGATCTCGACATCAGGGCAGCTCTTTGACAGCCATTCCACATCTCCTTTGCTTCGCACAGCTCCAAACCCTGCGGCTTGTTTGCTGTTTTTCCTATATCTACCTCAACAACGACCTTCTCTTGGAAGCTATGTCAAATTGGCCGCACCTCCGCACTCTCGAAATAGAAGGCTCATGTCTTCATCCTTCTACTGTTACATTCTGTGGATTGTTCACGGCGCTCCGTCTGTGTCCACACCTCCACACTTTGCGGGTGTTGATTGATCCTGTGAACATCAAAGTTGGTCCTAACAAAATACAACATACCTCCCTAAAAACAGTGGATTTTGACACCTTATCCCCCATAGTGAATACTGCAGATGTAGCTCGTATCATTTTCAATGTGCTCCCTTGTGTTGACCAAGTTAATCAGTTTACAATGCACACAGAGGGGTGGGATGAAGTCAACAGGCATCTCAAATCTTTGAAAGCTGCTGTGCTACATTAGGGCTGCACACTGTACTATGGAGACAGATAGTAATGAAAGATGAGACAATGTAATCATTGTACAAAACTTCGTCGAGTCAAGTTCAGACCAGGACCAATCACTGGTGTTGGAAATTTCCTAAGTCGGTTGCAACAGCGTGCCTGTGAGACTCAGTTTGAACCATATTGATACCGAGTTACGATATTAAATTCATCGTACTAGATGTACCCGAGTGTTCGTGCGTTTTTGACAGTTTCACGTATTGCTCTCGATCCACAACACAAAATAGATATCGGATAGTTATAGGTAGATAGATTACCATCTCAATAATATGGCCCAAATTTTTATATACAAAAAAGTTGATGAGTTGTGTTACTGCAGCATGACCGAGCACCCTTAGTCTATCTCACCTAGTGTTCGTGCATTTGTCACACTGCGTCACACGTTGCCGACGTTGCCGATTACAAGTCCGCCGTACAACACGCAAGTTCATGCCGTGAAAAATCTGTTGCGGCATGGCGGGATTTTAAAATGATGTAACGTCTTGTGGTAGATTGTCACGCCAGATAACATATCCTTCACTTGTGCATCAGTAGTCTGGCAAATCAACCTCAGATATTGTCATTTTAGCTAGATATCTGTCAGAACTAATGTTCCAAGCACTTCCGAGGTCAAAATTGGTGTGAGTTTGCCTTCCCGACGCTGATCAGTGTGCCAAATTGTCTCCAAACGGTATATATTGTATCATAACATTTGCACAACACAATCATTCAAAAAATAAAAGACATAGAAATACTCATTGACAATGCAGGACCATTTAATTACTATAGACCAAAATGATTCGTGATGATTTGCGTGTGCTAGCTCAAAAGCACGAACACTAGGTGAGCACGAACTCGTGGGTACATCTAGTAAGCTTCTGTAGATGCGAGTTGCAGAGCCCAACTATCATATCTGCCGCCGTTGGCATAGTTCCATGTTAATGATGATGTCTTTGGTGCCCAGCGAGGATTCATATCCGAAGAAATTTTGTCAGAAACGAAATCGCCATCCTCATCAGAGATTATGAGCCAATAATTGAAGTTGCCAGGGGTGCGCTCAACGATTTTGGCAGCAATAACTTCCTCGCGCTCAGCAACAAAGCCTTCTATTTCCAGGTTCCAGGAGAAAATATGGCCTTCTTGAGAAGTAACTGTCGGGAGTGAGGAACTCACAAAGGATGGCCTCGCCGCTGCACTTGGCGTCTTATTCGGCATCGCTCGTGGCTGGACCGTATTAGAGTCGTCCACAGTGTCTGATGGAAGGTCCCCGAAGTCTTGTTGATTCTTCGGCGACTTCCGGTTACCGGTTTTGCCCCTAGCTTTTGTGATAGAAACGTTATCAGGGAGTGATCAAGGACGACATGACGTGAAGCGCTAACTGCCATATAAACTGATCCAAGTCAGAGTCCTTTGTGTTATCCGCACTTGCCTTGAACTTGCGCTCGTACATTGCGCGATACATGCAAGTCTCAAAGAACGCACGAGTCGGTTCGTTGGTGCCCAAGGCTACGAATTCGTACAATTCGTCGACATCCCCATCGAGGTCGCGCCAAATGAAAGTTGGTTCATCGTCTGTCACCCCAGAATGGAATTCAAGTTCTTCACTGATCAAGAACACCCTCTCTTCATCAGCTATCATTCGTCACGTGTGAAAGCCTGTGTTAGATGACGTATCCAACAGATTTACGCACTTTCGTCTTCATCTTCGAGAAGCTCCTGATCACCATCTTCATATACTCGTGTAATAACCAGCTGAAAATTGTGGTCGAGTGCGGGGACACGGCGTATGGTCGCTATTGCTTCGTTGTATCTACAATGAAATCAGGGACAATTATATGATGCACCGACACAAGCTCGCACATGCATTCCCTTGATGACCGGATGTTCCCGGCCTGACAAGGTGCAACTGGCCCATCTCGATCTTGACGACTTCGGCAGCATTGGGGTCCTCTGAGAGTAGTAAGGTCACTGGTCAGGCCATCGGACATATCTTCTAGCAAGATCGAACGTACGCCATACTTTTCCAAGTACTATAGCAGAAAATATTATAAGTATACAGACCAAAAAACGACTGCACTTACGACTCTTGAAGATGTTCATAGTGGCAATATCGAAAGGGAAATCGGAGCCACAGGACCAGACGGCGCGGGTGTGACCAGTCGCGTTATAGTAGCGTCACGCGTCAAATGTCACACACGCCAACTTAACTTGCTGCATACCGCCGTAGCCATTGAAGTATAGGCACAGGACAATATGTCAGCTCAACATCCATTTTCTGCATCAAGAAACAAGCTTCATGGTCGGAAGTATGCTGTCCCATATCTTCCCCGTGTTGAATTTTGTTACCTAGACGATTCCGGAGTGGGCAGTGCCGCAGCAATCCCAGAACTGCGAAATCGCAAACAGCATCCTACGGAGGTTAGCACACAGGGGAACTTCCGAAACCATCTACTGATCATGCATGTCAAGGATCACGCAGCAAACTCTCCGACTTCAACTACTATATCGGAGTCTGGAGGCAGTTTCTACGGCATGAACGAACCTCTGCGGCCCACACTCCGCAGTCTGCCAGTCAATTTGAACACTCCTCGTAAAATTACCATTCGCTCGGACATAGCTTTGGTCACCTGCTTTGACCCTGCAGATAAGGAATTATATACCCTTTGGGCTCCCAAACCTTAAGAAAAGGCAATGCGAACAATCTTATCACGGACACATCATGGCTCATAAATTCTTAATAACGAGTAAGGTATTTGATTTTATAAACGCCCCAAATGTTCTTACCGCGGTGAATTTCTGATGAGTTCTATACTGCGGCCATCTTCACTCACTGCCTCACAATTTAACGACTACGGTGTCGGGCTGCACGGCGAAGTTTTTGATGGACCCTCTTTCGTCCTCCAACATAAAAACTGAGCTTTGTTTGATAGAAGGCATTCATCATCAGCATCATCAGCATCTTCTTCATGACTCGCTCCATCTTAACCAGTACTTTATTCTCGACTCTTCTTTTGACCTATGTCACTTCGACTCGGGCAGCCAGCAATTCTACACAATGTCCTTCCGACCCTTACCTAGACCCGCGCAACGACCCGTGTAATCCCCTTGGCTATATCGCTAGCATTCCGCCAACTGCCGTCGCCTTTAGTGAGTATCCAGTAAGCTTGGGGACGCACATAACTCACTGTTCCAAGGTCTTGTGCTGCTGATCGCTTTCGCCCAAACTTACCGAATTATCTATAATGGTGCGAGGTGGATGTGGCCCATGGTCGTCGGAGAATACAGCACGTCACAATCTCATGCTTGTGTTGGCTCTTTCTGATATTTGGCCGTAGTTTATGTCATAGGCTTTGGGTTTCGCTTCGCTTTGCATTATAATCCTGATTCACTGGTGATTTACATCGTCGAATACTTGTTGATCGTTTTATCTGTGAGTCAGCGTCAAACCGCAATAATGGTCATTTGCTGATCCTTTGTGAAGCCCTGTTTCTTCATTGCCGCAAATTACGTTCTCCTTGGTCGCCTTGCCAGGGACATCGGCTGCACCTATCAGGTCTTGCTTCCAGTGAGACGACTCACCCTCATTTTCATCTTGTCCGACGTGACTACCTTTGTCATACAGGTGGGTATCATATTTTTAGCGAGCTTCTCTGATGGTGTTTTGTCAAAGGCGGCAGGAGCCTCAATGACTACGTCCACCGTTCATAATTCTGCTTTGATAGGACTTCATGTATGTTTCTTGTACCCACGTTTGTCTCAATCCGAGTGAGGTCTAATCATCTCTGTCAGGTCTTTTTGGCTGGCCTCGTTGTGCAACTGGCCTCATTCCTTTTCTTTTGTGTCATTTTCGCACGATTGCTCTACAAGGTCCACGCTGAAGTGCAGGTCATTTGGATGCAAGACTCAAAGCAACACTGGAATAGCGACTGGCGAACACTCGCCGCTGCCATGGCGATCAGTTGTGTCGGCATTCTGGTTTGTCTTCCATGCAGCAACCTTGTGGCCTTTAACAAACGCTTTTGCAGATTCGTTCATGCTACCGTGTTGCGGAGGCCGCTCAGGGCTTTGAAGGCAGCCTCGCATCAAGCGAGATAGCATTCTACCTAGGCGATACACTTCCCCTTCTTGTAGCCATCGGGATCTATGTTCCATTCTGGCCCGGAAGGTTCATTACAGCCAAGCTAGCGCCCTCCGCCAACGAATCGCAAGATGGTCAGGAGTTAGCATTTTCTCGCAGTGATTTAGGCTACAATCATGAAGTACGCACAGGGGTGCTTAGTGACTAGTGACTACAGTTATTCTGCTTTTATTTATTACTCAGTCTACTTGTTATATTAGGATATTCATAGCACACAAATAGGTGCAATATAAGGACCTTTCAGCTCGGGTAGTGTTAGTTCACGTACGTTGTTTCAGTGGCGAGAGTGCTTGTCAATGATTCGACATGGACGGTGTCAAGGTACCGCCTTAAGCGTTTATGTAGAGGTGTCAGTTACTATATAATAGACTCGCTTATCTACCAAAAAGAAACTTGAATTACCACGCGCAAGTAGAGTACTCATTGTCATCATAGAAGGAATGACTGTCTTCCTTCTATATGGTTTGAGTATCAGAGAGTACATACTTGAAGGTACCTGGTAACCCGGGAGAGAATGAGTACTGACTCGGATAGACCGATTTTCACTGAATGAACCATTTGCCATCCGCGAGGGTCGGCATTGTCTCACATCGGTGACCGAGTATACAGTGTATTGCCTCACTACCGATTACTTGAATGCCTCCCGCTCGTTCTGACTGACGGGGTCACATTCTATTATAGGCTAGTCCGACTGTCCGGCGCAAATGCTACCAGCGGCCCTGCATTAATAAATCTATGCAACTTGATTGAATTCCACGCAAGATTTTGATTTTGAGTGCATCATGATTCAGCAGGTATTGTCACCCTGAAAAGTCTGGCAAAGCTGCGTGAGCAACCTCAGGGGGTCCCAGTGTGACCAGGCGCGTCACTTCTAGTATCACGCGTCAATACTTGAAAGAGGGCCGAGCTGCGCCGGCAGGCACCTTGTTTACCAGTCTGGGTATTAATCATTGCACGACTGAAAAATTTCGATGTATCGAGAGTCCTCAGACTGGTGCCTTCTAATGGTCACCTCGGATATAGCGTGTTTACTAGTAGAACTAGATTAGTCAGTGGCTACTAAACTAAGTGCTTGTCTAAACATAAAAAAATAAACCGGACCCCATATTGGCGCCGAGAACTGCTGTCTGAGTGCCTCTACTAACGTGGGTGTCGAGATACCACGATGTAAACAAGAAAGAATATTTGGCGCACCATTCAAATTTCACCAAAAGCTGGTGAACCTGTCACTCTAACGAATTCAGTACGTTTTCAGTGTTCACAAAACTGTTGTCAACTAAGGTGAGCTCTAGGCTAGAACTTCTTCAGTAGCGACCACAAAGAGACAAGCCGATTCTAATTCACTTTCTCATAGAAATACACCATGTATGTTACACTTACAGTACATATTCCCTTTTCAAACGAAGTTAAAGTTTCAAGCGCTTCATAGTAACTGGTCAATCAAACTCATCGTAAAGTCCTCCACCACTTCGAACCTCGCGATCCCACACGCTTCGCTTTCAATGTGCTGCATCAGGCCTGAAACAAACTTGTACTTCCTCTCGCACTTTGGGCACTTGAACTCATCCGCGTCATGCACCGGAGAGTTGATGTGGGAGTTCAGAGCTCCCAAGGTACGGAAAGTAAGGTGGCAAAGATAACACTCGTAAGCAGTGCCGTTGAATGCGCGCTCTGTCACATAGTAAGACGCAACGCGGGTCGATCCGCCTTCTATGTGGCGAGAGACCGAAGTCGTAGGCACTATTTTGAGTGCATGGACTGCCGCAGTTACTTGGGCTAGTGAGATATTGTGACAAGCCCCCGACTGAATGTGAAGGGCGATCGAGGAAGGAATCTGAAATCTCTTTGAGCACAGAGGACACTCGAAATCCAGGTCTTTATGCACAGGGAATGAGTGCTGTGTGGTAGGGTTTTTGTCAACACAAGAAGGGTAAAAGAGAGAGAGCCGGACTTGCTTGATCCAATGAAGTCGGGGTGGCAAAATCGCGCGAGCACAAAAAGCACCAGTTGTGCTTTAAGCTGGTAGCAAGGTGCTGATAAAGATTTGCCAAGTCAACAAACCACCTGTTGCATCCCACGCAGAACGGCGGTTCTTCGTCATCATAATCATCTTCGTTATCGTAATCATCTTCGATATCGTCGCTCTCGAACGCATACTCGTCTGATTCACTGTCGCTGCGATGAACGTTATTCATGTGCTGACATAAAAGGAGCGTGAGTTGGGCGAAAACAGCGACAAGCGCCTCCCCGCACCTGATACAGTCCAGCAAAATCATAGAATAGTGTCTTGCAATCCTTGCAGAAGGGGTGGTCAGCCGCTTTGTCGCGACAGTGGCCAAACAATGCATGAATGGAACGAAATGTACGGTTGCATAGATTACACTGCCACTTTCGGCGCCTTGCCATGATAGTGGAAGTCAAGACGAAGGTCGCCACAAGGTTCATCAGGGAAATCCTCAATCTCAAATCGGATCCAATGTGATCCAATTTGCGTCAATCTGCGAGCATTCGATAAGCTCGAAAGGGACACGGATGTTTCCCGATTGTTCAAGGCGGCCCTGATTCTGTGACAAGCATTAATGCTATACGACGATCCTCGTGCCAGATACGTATGACCCGTTAGTATCATGATGATTCTGTTGTCATGAGACATCTGACAATGGGACACGCGTATCAAGCAAGGTCGTGACATGCTAGACAATTTTTGGCTCAGCAGCCTCAGCCAGCCAGCCATCTAGTTGCTACCGGCTTGCAGGCGGCCGTATGGAACAGAGTGCTGCGCAGGTATCATCATGATAAGAAAATGAGTAAGAAGGAGACCTGTGACAATTAGCTTTCAAGAACAATGTTTACCTAAAACCACGGCGCTTCAAAGTTACAATCCATATAATCAGGCGAGTCGCAAAACGGAAGTCTTTTCTCTTCTCTCTCACCAATTATTTGTCGTTAGGCCGCGACCAGAATCCGATTCAGCGTCTTCCTGTTACTTCCCACCGTGCATCCATGACCTCCGAGTTTCCAGATTACGATTGGCATGTCCGAGCAAGCAATTCCGATTGCTGTCCCGCTTGTTATGCCGCTGTTGATGTTCCAGTGGAACATATGTCCATCTAGAGTGGCCCGCCTAGCATGCGGGCAACCCATACTTCTGTTGCAGTTGTGCACTCCCAATTCAAAAGGCTCCGCGCATAATGTGAATCCGCGTTTGGCGTATTTCACCAGCGCTTCGGCAGTGCGTGGGTTTGTCTTGTCTTCCATGTAGAGTCGTGGATTAATGAATCCCTTTCTGCTGCACGTCCATTTGGGATACTGCACGATACAAACGAGACGATGCTGCAAACGGCTCATGGAAGATAGGATTAGAATCATTAGCTCTGGGATACTTTAGAAGCTTAAACACGACTGCATTAGATATACAGACCGAATCACACACATGCACGCGAAGCAAATCACGAACATGATCTTTACGATCTGATGACGACACAAATAGAATGAGCGCGTGCAACCTCAGCGTATTGCTCTCTAGTAAGTGTCGCGAAGTTCTCGACAATCACTCACAGATTCAGCGCCATTACAGGCAGTAGCGAACCAGGATATTAAAGACACACGATCACGAGAAACACCCAAAAACCCAAAGTATTTGCGCAAAACACACGACGACATCACAGACGTGCCATTATGGTCTACGAGCGAGACGGGAGGACAAGACACAGTTTGGCCAATCACGGTGGATGAACCAGAAGCCATGGATAGAGACGAAGACAACAGACAGAAACAGGAGAACAAAGAAGGGACGATCGACTTTCATGCTGACAAAGCAATATGATCTCTAAAGAACGTCGGACGGTGTGGAGCCATGAAGATCGAGTCACACATGACGACACCACAGAAGTGCCATCGTCTACAAGTTCGCGAGCGGAGAGCATGAGCGAGACTGGAGGACAAGAGAGAGTCGGATCAATGACTGAGGAGAAACCAGAATTCATAGATGGACTCAAGACGACAGACGTTTAAACAGGAGGATATATGATGCCTAAAAAAGACACGGCCGTAGGGAAATTCAAGGATAACAGCCAATATTTGATGGGAACTAAGAGCAATCAGCGACGTCAACGCTAGTGAGCTTCTGTCCCTTACTGGCTGCGAAGAAAGCGTGTTACAATGTTGTTTCTAATCGTCATGTCAATCTCTATCTGCTGTCGAGGGCTAAAGCCGTTCTCCTGCGGAAGGTCTTGGATAACATTGAAATCAAGCCAATATTTGATGGGAACTGAGAACAATCAGTGACGTCAATGATAGTGAGCTTCCGTCCCTTACTGGCTGCGAAGGTAGCGTGTCACGATTTTGTTACGAATCATCAGGCCAATCTCTATCTGCTGTGAAAGGTTGGAGCCTTTGTCCTGTGGAAAGTTTTGGATAATCTCTTAATACGAGACATAAATGCTTGCAAGTGAGAATATTCAATAACACAGACGTCATTACGCTTACGTCCATTGCCTGCGAAGGCAGTTTGTTATGACTTTGTCGCGGACTCCGCCAGCAAGTCTCTTTTGGTGATCATCCATGGCTAAGTACGATTAAGTCAAATTTTTTGTGGCATACATAGTCATATTTGGTGACAGCAGAATTACATCACCCTACAGTTGCAACGGCTACAATTCCAAGGACTCGTGCGTTCACTGATGCATGGCGAAACCAGGTGGTGGCGGAGGCGGGAATGCTCCAGGAGGAAACATGTTGGGCGGTGGTGGCGGTATTCCCATCCCTACAGGTGGCATTCCTCCCATCACTGGGATCCCTTGTGGAATAACGGTCTGCGGCGGGTTGAAACCAGGTGGAGGTGGCGGCTGAGCAAGCACACCCGCGAACTGCCCTTGATAAGGACCCTGGAATCCCGGCATAGGAGGACGAGCACCAAAAGCCATCTGTGCAGGAGGAGGACGGGAGGTGATGGGAAGTGCATTGTTCTTCCGTGCTTGTGCGGCGAGTAGACGTTCTGCTGAGGTACCATGGCGCTCGCCTTTTCCATCTTTCTTGAACGCATACTGCACAGTGATGGCTTTGTTCATGAGGAACTGGCCGTTCATGGATTCTGTTGCAGCGTCGGAGGACTCGAAGTCCGTGTATGAGACGAAGCCATAACCCTTTGAAACCCCCGTGCCAGGGTCTCGTGCAATCTATCAAACTCTGTTAGTGAAGACGGCCAGTCGTTTGCGTACTGGGTACGTACCTTTGCTGTTGTGGCCATCATACCAAACGCGCTGAAAGTATCGTATAGCAGTCGCTCGTCCACGTTCTCGTCCAGGTTGCCGATGAAAAGGTTTGCTCCTACATCGAGTTGTTTTTTGTCGGACGATGCCTATGTGAGAGATGTAGTTAGTATAACCCTCCAGAACAGCGTTCAAAACAACTTACCTTGTTCACCCTGATGGGCTTACCCCATAATTTGATCTGGTTCATGATTTTGCATGCGTACTCTGCATCCTCCTCTGTCAGGAACTCACAGAAACCGTACCCCTGATGAGCCATTGAAATGCGATCCTTTGGAAGGTGCACGTTTACTATATAATGTCAGTTCGAATACGCGGTGGATTGAACGACTTGCGGCTTACCAACAGGTCCTGCTTGTAGCATTAACTCCCAAATGAGTGCGTCCGTGCACCGCTCATCGAGATTACCCTAGTATTGATCAGTGTGAGCATGGAAGTTCGTGGCTGAAAGGGGCGCATACCAGATATACCGTAGCCTCCTGGTTTCTATCGTCTTGAGGTCTTCCAGACATTGTCAATGTGAAGATGAGGTCAGCAAAAGTTTCCAAATCTACGGGTCTAGAGAGTCACCCACGCTCTCCAGCGTACCGATGTTTCCATCCATTTCAATTACAATGACCATTACTCAAGACTCCTCCATACAATCCGTCAACGAGACCATTCTCCCTCGAAGATATTCAGTCCTGTTAACACTCTTATTCGCTGATCTGTTATCGGCCTAGGTTTTGATGTTGCTTCTCCGCTATGTAACGAGCTTTGGAACGTCATGAGGGCTTTCTACTCGCTATGGTTCGGGCGCCAATGAATATCACGAACGTCAATTCAGAACTACAGGTGAGTGTAATGCCCTGTTTTGTCTTCCGACAACTCTGATATTTTCCTCCAGAAACTCTGCGGCCGTCGCTGGTGATGGTGCTGATGCCAAACGGCTCCTTGCCGAAGTTCAAGGCATGCTGGGACTCGCCCGAAAAAGACGTCAAGCGGTATCATTTTCATTCTTTTTATCGTGTGTTCTGTTCTTCAAGTTATTGTAATACTTACTACAACTTCGACATCGAGGTAGGTACTTGATCCTACTCCAATTGTACCCTCATTCGTGTGTTTTATCTAGGACCTAGGTTGCCGACTGCGTTTGGACCGCAAATACGGTCGAAGTTCTCCAGCGGCACGCTACATTAGCCAGGCACCCGGGTAGGACAGTCCTGGACAGAGCAGCTGGCGCGAGCGGGTGTAGTAGTGCAGGCGTGTAGCCCATTTTTATAGCTTTTTTGTTGCTTTTGTAGCAGTTCAAATGCATCGTTTTCCGTTAATTTGCGTCAATACATTCTGAGAACCAAAGGATGCAAACCATCTATTCAAATTGTAATGGTTCTGTCAACGATGTATTGGGATCAAACGAGAGAGTAGGTTCGGGGGTGATGGCATCTTTTGATGACATGCTAAAAATGGCCTCCATCTCAGCATCAACCTCATCAATGACCGTTGCAATAGCAAGGGGTCGTGAAGTTGCTCACTCGCTCGCTCATTCATGTCCAACACATTCAGAAATTGCACGAGTGCCTTGCTTCGAAAGAAACCTTCTCTCCAAGTTGCCATGGAGGGTCTTTCCGAGATTGAATACAACATGAGGTCCATGACTGTCATCCGCAATCCACGAAGTATTTTGACAGCGAGAATTTTTCGTTCCTCGTCGAGGCTGGAAGGATTGATCATCCAAGCCAAAGGTTCAGGCTGCTGATACATCATCACGGGTGCCGGTACTGTTGTATTTGAGAGTATAAGTACTGTACTTTTCAGTGTTTTCACGGTACGAATGAAAGAGTTTGCGCTGTTGACAAGTAATGTTACGCAAAGTAGCATACTGGCATCTGCCAAATCTCAAACTCCTTGCCTGCCAAATCACCGTGACTCCGAGTTCGGCCAGTCTGACTACGTCATTAAATTCTCACCATCTCAAATTGACGCATAGTTAGAAATTGATCAAGCTCATCACGTTGTGTCTGTGTGAGCTGTACGGGTACCACACGAAGATCCTGTGACCCTGCTGGCTGCTGTGCCATGGTTGTCGATCAGTAGGCCTAGGGGACTGGTAGGAGTCAGTCAGCAAAACCACCCGGACCTGGGACTCCCACACCGCATGGATGACCTTATATAGTGGGACTAGGGGTCGGCAAGGTCCGGAGAGGCCTCAACTGGTACAAATAATGTGCGGCTTGCGATTCTAATCATTGCTACACAGCGGCCTTGGTACATACATGCAGGAAAATACATAAGAAGTTGTTTCTAAAACCCACTCAAAATATGTATAATACAACGATCATTTACGGACGCCCACCCTGGAGGGAAACTCCAACACTTCCGCACAGGCTGGGAGCACTCTTTTTGACCGTTCGCGCTTCCATAAGTGATAACAAAACTTGTTCGACATGTCTTGCTAATCATTCCTCCACATCCATATCCACCACGTCGTCGTCGTCGTCATACTCATCGTGGTCGTGAGCAGGTTCAGCCTCCCCGTCGAGCAGTTTCTGCTTGGCGAGGGCAGCAAAGCCCTCTTCAGTCTCGTCAGTGAGCTTCAAGGGAGCCATGGCATCATCGGCGACGATAGCCTCCGTCACTTCTGGGACAACAGCGGCCAGGTCCCGCACGCAATTGCACAACTTTTCGAGAGACTTGTCAAATGCTGGGTCAGCCAAGACAGTGCGTGCGCGTTCCGCTGCAAGACCTTTCGACAAAGACAGGTTGGTGGCTGTAATAGGTCCGACGACAATTATGTCATGCACGACCACAGAAACACTATCGTTTCGCCGGAGATCGGGGTTACTCTGTGTCTTCCTGAAAAAAACAATGAGTCATGGGTCCTACAAGTATTCCTCCAGGGAACTCACTGGAAGGATATCCGCCTGCATCCCGCTGCAGCTGCCCAGACCATCAACTCAGACACGGGATCCCGAGGTAGATCCGTCGTGAGGACTTCTAGCACATCGCTGATCACCGCTTCGACTATGACCGCCGTTTTCTCAAAGTCGAAACGGGTGTCAACTAAGACTGCTCCAACAATGCTTTCCAACACATCGCTCAGTGCTTTCGGCGGGTCGTATTTCCATCCCTTGCTGATGGTGTCCTCAGGGGAGAGAGACATAAGCAAAGGAACGTGTCTTGTGATCGCAGTACTTAGTTCAACATTGTTGATAAGCAGATGTTTGTGAAGCCCGAGCCGTCTCACAGCGACAGAGGCTAGGGTTGGCCCGCACACAGCTCGCGAGCGAGCAGCTGACAGCTGACCTGAAGTGGCTTCAGGGAACTTGTTGAACAAATACTTCATGACGACGAGGTCAATGACAGCTTAGGAGGTCATCAGTCGCTGGTTCAGAAGCGAAGCATCGGGTTTGCTCACCATCGCCCAGGAATTCTAATCGCTGATAAGATGACCCGGCAGTAGTTGCGAAAGAAGGGTGAGTTGCGGCTTCAATTAGAAGATCGCCCCGATGAAATTCGTATCCAAGATTGGCTTGAAGGTCGTCGAAAAGAGGTGGTGCCGGCGATGGTTCCGGCGGACGAGAGTATCGTAGCGTCCAAGGAATAGTGCCACCTACAGTCATACCTAGGGCGTCTCCCGCGCGGAGTGCCATATCTATTCCCCCATGCAGAAAGGCAGCGCCTAACGTTGCCTCCATGCAATCCTGTAAGCTTCGACGAGGGTATGCTCGACGAGCATGCCGTCTCGCAAAAGTGAAAGGCTCCATGCGATCGTCATCTTTTGCGATGGTATGGCGCCACACGTGGAGACTCTGGCCCTCCGAGGTGAGGTACCTCTCGAGGCCAATCTCCAACGCCCTTGCTAGCAGAGTCCGATTGGACACGCTGTTCTGGCGCAGCTGAGACAGCTGCCCCTCGTGCCGGTGGGGGTACTTGTTCATGACATGAACGGTCGTGGCAAGTTTGAGAACAGAGTCTCCCAGCGTTTCTAAACGCTGGTTGTTCCACGTTGCACTTGTCGTGGGCAAGGTCGACGCTTCAATGAGAAGCTCGTCCTTCATGGCGGGTAACCCGAGCTCAAACCGTTCTTGTTGAGCGCGGTACAGGTCCGTAGCACGGCGGCATATGCGTGGAAGGAAGAGGAATGCGCGGTACACGTTTTCCGAGAAATATGTGCGTCGACAGGCTCCTTGAGGGACAAGCAGCCCCGGGCGTGCCATTTGACGCTTATACTTGTCGATGTCCTGTAAGCGGTGCATTGGTCGATACAGACCAGAGGGATGACGTGGAATGTAAGTGGCTTCAACCAAGGGACAGTCGGTCGGAACGACCGCTTCGCGAGTCTTCCTGGTCCATCTCTGTACGAAGAATTCTTCGTAGGTGGAGCAGGAAGACTCACGGGAGCCAGGTGGTGGTACAGACAGAGCTGTCAAATCGTGTCGTATCTTGCGCAGAACCATTGCTCGTCCGAACTGATTGCAGTTCATGATCAGGGTGCGATGATAATCGTCTTCAGTTACAGACGACCAGTCGTACGTTCCTATAGGATCGCGAACAACACGCTCCACTGCGTCGAAGTCGATACAGTTGTGAGGAGTTAGTGGAACGAGAAAACAAGTGATAGGGAGAGTGATGGGTCGGCCAGTGATGCAGAACCAGATGCCCATTTTGGTATACTCGTTGAGCATCTCCAACTTCTCCCATTCCTCGTCTTCGTCAAATACAAGTTCGTCAGTGCACCGCATTGTGACAAGACAGCCTTCGCTCATGATCTCTAGCGCTGGTAACTCCGTGCCAGTGACGAGTCCTGCAACGTCAACGCCGTCGATGGAAATGACGTGCATCCTCAGCCGCGGCCCTAGAGCCCAAGGATCCCGCACCGGAACATCTATGATGTCGGGCACATCACTCACATCCAAAAGCTTTCTTCCGTCGGCATCCTCTAAGTTCCTACCCTTGGAGCCAGCTGACGGAAGAAGGTAGTCGTCGAATACCCCGAGTTTGTGAAGCTCCTTGACAGCTATGAATGCTACTGCACGCCGGGCTTCTCGCTTGGAACATCGGGGTGGTCCGCGGAAGATCAATTTATCGATGGGAAGAGGAAGACTGGATGGCAGCTCAAGCACAGTGGCATAGTCACCGCTGTACTTTGGATTTGGGGTGGGTGTGAATGCGTCATGGGGAATTAGGGAACAGAGATAGTTCAATAGACTGATAGCAGAACCGTATGTGAGCACAGCACCCGTCGAAGGAACTATATACCGCTCCCGTGCGGCCAAATCAATCGGATTCTCCTCTTCTACTTCACCTTCCTCCGAGTCGGAAGGCGCCGGTGAGGATGGGCGAGTAGGGTTTTCTCGGCTCTGATAAACACGCTTGAGCTCGGGTTCGCTGTCAACAAAGATCTTGTAACGATTGAGGTGTGCCATGTGACCTTCCTGCACCATGATGACGAAAGTAGACGTTTTGGTGCGTGCCCGACCACGCGATTGTACATATCCGACCATGTGATGTAGCGGATCGAAACGAATAACAAGATCACAGGCCTGAGAGAAAATCAGCTAGTGCATGATAGCAAAATGAAAATGCTTACGGGAAAGTCAAGACCTTCTTCAGCAACTGACGTTGCTACAACTATGATGCGCGCCCTTAAATGAGCATGTTGACGGATATGGAGATATTAACGCACGCAAGTTCAAAGTACCATCACGAAAGGACTTGACAACATCCTGCTGACGTGCGAGACCCATCCCCTTCACATTAGCGGTGGCTGCATGTTTACCACGGTGCCCATGTCCACCACCGTGGCCGACAAGCTCCGCACATCGAATACTGCCTCGAAGTTCTGGTATGCACGAAAGGATCTTTGCCAGACAGGCCGCCACCTGCCGTTGCTCCACAAATACAATTCCCTGAAAAGTCGGAGAACAATGTTCGAGTAGCACTTCTGCAAGTGCCTTGACTTTGGGTGAGCACCATGCAAGTGGTACAGTTATTGGTACAGCAGGAGGCATGGAATCATCTTCGAAGAAAGGTCGAAATTCGCAGAGGATGAAATCAATTTGCTCAAGGTCAGGAGAAATAGTGATAGTAGTCTCTGACGATTCGTCGATGTCCATGCCAGGGTATATGTCGTCATCATAATTAATGCGTGGTTTGTCCTTGATCGACGCTTCTAGGTCATTGATGATCTGGGAGATTCGTGCTTTGATATCGTGGTATAAATAGAGGTCGGCACAATAAGGACCCAGGCTGTTTCGGGTGACATGATACTTCATCTGAAGCTTCTCCCACGGAATTGCAACGTCGGGGGAGCGGAATAAGGATACACAGTCCCACAGATTAGGATGCAGGTAGATGTAATTGGTAGGCGGGGGGTAGTACTCCTTGATGATCTGTGGAACAGTTCGTCAGGTCTTGAGTTCCAGAACTAGGGAGTAGAATACCTCAAGGGGACGGGGGGAGTTATGAAGTAGCTCCGAGACATGCTCGCGGACTGCAATGACGATAGCGTCAAGGTTCCTCTCGAGTGTCATGAGAGATCCCTGAGCATCTTTTGGATTCCAAATGGGAGACGCAGTCATGCCAAACACCTTTGGGCGCTGGAACGACGGAGTTTGGAAATATTCCCGCATGATGCCATTGTAAGCGTGATTTTTCCTAGTGTGATGACACTCGTCAAAGACGAGAAGAGAAACCTGTCTTGCGCGTAAGAAATATTAGTTTCAAGAGGAGGTTAGCTGAATACCTTGTCGATGCTCCAGTGCGAATGTGTGACTATGTTCAAAAATATCTGTGCTAATAACGTTACATCGGTCATCAAAGGGAAACAATGATGGAGGTACATACCAGTCATAACAACGACGTCAGACTTCTCGAAGGATGATCTCCAGTTGGCACGATCAGTGAGCTCCAGATCGAGAGATCCATGGAACTTTTTGACTCGCAAAGGAGTGTGCGCGGCGATAAAGTTGGCCTGTTGTTCGACCAGAGCTACCTTGGGTACCAGAAATACGATGACTTTGCCGCGAGCACTCTCTTGTAGCACGATCCATTTGATGAGCAAAATACTGATGAAAGTCTTTCCACTGCCGGTGTCGAGTGCTGCAATGACATTGCATTCTTGAGCGCGTTGAAAAATCTCCTCTTGATATCTTCGAGGAAGAATGGTCTCGTTGACGGATTGTATGGAGGAGTCTTGAGTAATGGTCATTGTAATTGAAATGGATGGTGTTGGTTATAAAGAAAGATCGGTTAAATACTCTGCATAGTATATACAGGACGAAGCTGAAGGGGACGATGGTAGAAGTCGCCTAGTAGTTGCTAGTAATGACAATAATATTGGCCCGGAGACTAGTGTTAATGCCTTACTTATCAATACACAAATAGTGTCAAATAAACTGTGTATCCTGCTGCGTGAGCGGCATTACTTTCCTAACCGATTTCTAACGTCCTTCTGACATTTCTCATTTATTTGTTACACGCACGAATCCAATACAATGGGGGACGATTACCCCACACTGTTCCGTGCGCACGAGCTCGAACTGTAATAACACTGTTTTACTGACAATGTTTACCAGGTTCGGAACAGATGAGCTTGATGCAATTTCTTATCCCAACTGAAGTCGCCCACGACACAGTTGCAGAGCTCGGTGAACTGGGAAATGTTCAATTTAAGGACGTGCGTGCGCTCTGTTTAGCTGTTATCATGCCACTGAATGATACTTGTAACAGTTGAATCCTGCTGTCAATCCCTTTCAACGTTCCTTTGTGGGTGAAATACGGAGAACGGAAGAGATGACACGACGTGTTCGGTTCTTCGAATCTCAGATTCAGAAGGAAAAGGATGTAGTTCCTATCCGTCCTTTATATGATTCGGCACCGTTACTCACGGTTGGACCGAGCGCTGCTCATAATATCGACGAGCTTGATGTCACACTTGCCGAGCATGAGAAACGGCTGGTGCAGATGAATGATAGCTATAAGACGTTGAGTGAGCGCACAAGGGAGCTGGTGGAGGCCCGGCATGTTCTTCGGGAGACTGCTGTGTTCTTTGAGAAGGCAAGTTTGTTTGATCGACGGGTCCGCATACATGGCATACTAACGTGCGGCATGTAGGCTGAGACCCAGCACACTGACATCAGGACTTCCTTCGATGACAGCTCCGCTCCTCTTCTGCAACATGATGACCGGGAACAGCAATATTCATCCACTGTGCAGTTTGACCTTGAGTATGTCCGTGGATGCCCTTACAATTATTGTACTGATGTGAAGATAGATTTATTGCTGGCACCATCGACCGCACCCGTATATCGACGTTCGAGCGTGTCTTGTGGCGTGTCCTAAGGGGTAACCTGTACATGAATCACACAGATATCACAGAGCCCTTTGTTGACCCTGCTACTGGCACTGAGACGCGCAAGAATGTGTTCATAATTTTCGCGCATGGTGACGCCCTTCTTGCGAAGATACGAAAAGTGGCAGAGTCGATGGGTGCGACACTCTATCCAATTGATGCCAATGCCGACAAACGATCAGACTCTCTGCGCGAGGTCACCGCCCGCCTGGAAGACTTGGAGACTGTATTATATAACACAGGTCTCAACAGACGCAGCAAGCTGCTGAAAATCGGAGAGAATCTGGCTAGGTGGCAGGATGTCGTCCGCAAGGAGAAGGCGATTTATGAGACGATGAATCTTTTCAACTTTGATGTCAGGAGAAAGACACTTGTCGCCGAGGGTTGGGTCCCAACAAGGGATCTTACCATGATCCAACTAGCACTTCGTCACGCCACGGTAAGACAGTTCCATATTTCAGATGAACTTCTCAGTCACGCAACCAATCTCAGGAGGCGTCCGGAACGAGTGTTGTTCCTATCTTACATGAGTTGCGCACGAGCAAAACGCCCCCAACCTTCACGCGTACCAACAAGTTCACCGAAGGCTTCCAGACCATCATGGATGCTTACGGTATTGCAACCTATCAAGAAGTCAACCCTGGTCTGTTTGCCATCGTCACGTTCCCTTTCTTGTTCGCCGTGATGTTTGGTGATATTGGGCATGGATTGATCATTTTCTTTGCCGCATTGTACATGATTTACCAAGAGAAGAAATGGGCTAAACAGGAACTTGATGAGGTGAGTCATTTTTGGGGTTGGTAGACACAGCATTTAACTCTAATGGTTGTGTGTACCAGATCCTCGGCCAGTTCTTTTAGTAAGTTCTAACACGATTGAATCGATGCCCTCGCTAACATCGACACCAGTGGTCGATATATCATTCTTCTCATGGGCATCTTCTCCGTCTACACCGGCCTCATGTACAACGATATCTTCTCCAAGAGTCTCCACATCTGGCACTCGGGATGGGACTTCCCTGAGCCTGGGTCGAATGGAGTTTCATACGCAGTTTCTAATGGTCATATGTATCCCTTTGGGGTGGACCCTGCCTGGCACGGTGCGGATAACGGGCTCGTGTTTACAAATTCATACAAGATGAAGATGTCCATCGTGCTTGGAGTCATTCATGTGTGTTCTCATTTCCACCGTGGGGCGACTCGATCGTTACGCTCAAACGATCACGTTTTTTCAGATGACATTTGCCCTTTGTCTACAGCTCCCCAATCACATCAAGTTCAAACGCCCGCTTGACATTTATGCCAATTTCATTCCCCAAATGATTTTCTTGCAGTCGATTTTCGGCTATTTGGTCGTGTGCATCCTTTACAAGTGGTCGATTGATTGGTCCACCCGAGACACGGAGCCTCCCTCATTGTTGAACATGCTAATTGCGATGCTCCTGTCACCAGGGAAGGTGGATGCGAATGCACAGCTATATCCTGGACAAAGTTTCATTCAGGTTGTGCTTCTTCTACTCGCGATGGTCTGCGTGCCCTGGATGTTGTGCATGAAACCGTACTTCCAGTGGAAGGAGATACAAATGATCCAGGGTCAAGGGTACGTTGGACTTAATCACCATAACGGTGGGCATCGTGAGAGTACGGATGAAGTTCTAGAAAGTGAGGAAGAGGGTAATGGTCGTGTCATTGTGGAGGAGATGGAGGAAGAGCATGTACGTTATTATTAACTAGCAGATAGGGGTGCTATCGTTACTGATCATTATCTACAGGAACAACACGACTTCAGCGAGGTGGTTATCCATCAGATCATTCACACCATCGAATTCTGTCTTGGCTGTATCTCACATACTGCATCTTACCTTCGGCTATGGGCCCTGTCATTGGCACACGCTCAGCTATCCGAGGTCCTGTGGTCAATGACAATCGAGAAATTTTTGGGGATGTCCGGTATCTTCGGGACGATCACCCTCGCAATAGTGGTTGTTTTCTGGTTTTCAGCAACGGTGTTCATTCTGTGCATCATGGAGGTGCGTGTTACAAACGTGCCCATCAGGCGTGGATCAGATATACTCATGCTTCCTGTTCTTTGTGACATGTTCCCATCCGAAACAGGGTCTCTCGGCATTTTTGCACGCGCTTCGTCTGCACTGGGTCGAAGCGAACAGTAAACATTATCAAGGAGAGGGATATGTACGTGGCGTTATCCCATCATTTCTATTTCAATGCGCGTGTAGTGCGCGTGCTGATACATTTTTTCTGAATCACAGTTGTTCACGCCGTTGAGCTTTGCTAAGCTAGATGAGAAGGAGTGACCCCACATGTTACCCCATATTCCTTTCCCATGTCCTGTAGGTGTGATATGGATGGTTAGATAATTCACAGATGTGGGGTAAGGCAGTGAGAGTACGGTTCCGATTACGTACCGACCACTACGTTTGTGTAAGGTTCCCACCCCATTTGAAAAATCAGATTTTTATATGCCCTTGTAGAAACGATGCTTTCAATGTCAATGAGTGATTCTAGATCGACGACAGGCTTAGGGTCAGGGCTTATTACATTGGTCACTCGAAGTCGATTTCACCGCTGTGGTGGTCGCTAAGTGACCGGCACCATCGATGCCCCACATCGCCCTTGCACAGCTCGATGGCAGTGATGTAAGATCAGCGATCTTGCCGGTTAACCGCTTTTGTCGGCCGGCGCAAGGTGAGATAATTTAGATTATCTTGATTTTTCCAACTCCGCAAGAGCCTGTAGCCTTATATCGCAGGCAGTGTTTCCTGATCGATTTTCTTCACTTGTCTCTCACTTCTTTTTCTTGCTCTTCATCATATCTCAATAGAGGTTCGTCCTCTTACCCCCTCTCTCTCCAAGTTTTCCGTGACTGATCTCTTTTCAGGCATTTAGCCACTCAGTAGACATAGAGCACGGTTTTGTAGCTTTTGTTTGCTTAATCCCAACTTCATCATCATAGAAGAAAACTTACTTTCAACGTCTCCACTAAAGGTACGCTTGTGCTCTCGCTCTTGTCTTCCGTGCGCTCATGATCAGTTCAGATACTAGAAATGCCTGCTGCTACTGCTACCGCGCCTGCTATTCCTTCTTCCGCCTCTCTCAAGGGCCCTGTTGACAGCCAAGTCGACGTGGCCGCCCTTTTTGTCGCTGACAAAGCTACCCGTGACGCAGCTGCAAAGGTTCTGGCTTCGGCCGTGCAAAATGATGGCCCTGCTGCCATTGCCGCTGCTGGTTTCGTTGAAGCCGCAGTCAAGGCTCTTGCCGACAAAAAATCCGCCGCTGCTCGTGAGGGTGCAGCTGATGCTGTAATCGCCCTTGCAAAAGCGGGTGCTACCAAGGCCCTTGAACCCACTTTCGTCGATTCTGGTCTCTATGCAGCTCTCATCGAGGGTTTTGCCGACAAAATGCCTGCCCCTCGTAATGCAGCCGTCGAGGCAGTTCGGGAGTTTGTAGCCTCCATGAACCCATGGGCTACCGGTCTTCTTCTTCCTGCACTTCTTCACGAAATTAAAACTGCAGGAAAATGGCAAGTGAAGACTGGCTCGCTTATCGTCCTGAACCAGCTCGTTGTGTCTGCGCCCCTTCAAACCGCTCGCCTGATGCCTGACATCGTCCCTATTCTTGCTGAGGCTATCTGGGATACCAAAGCAGACGTGAAGAAGGCTGCACGCGATTCTCTTACGAAGGCTACTGCGTTGGTTTCGAACAAGGACATTGAACGCTTTATTCCAGCTCTCATTAAAGCTCTCATAAATCCTGTTGAGGAGGTGCCAAATACCGTTCAGCTCCTCTCGGCTACCACATTCGTTTCCGAAGTAGACTCTGCTACTCTTTCCTTGATGGTTCCCCTCCTGTCCCGTGGTCTTACAGAGAAGCTCACTGCTACGAAGCGTAAGGTTGCAGTGTAAGTATTAACTTCTTTATTTGCCGGACATAGATCTCACTTCGCATATAGCATCGTCGACAACATGGCCAAGCTTGTGGACTCTCCTGTCACTGTCCGTCCATTCTTGCCCAAGCTCCTCCCTGGCTTGATCAAGGTCGAGATTACCATTGGTGACCCCGAGGCTCGTGGCATAGTTGGCAAAGCCATTGCCACTCTTCGCCAAGTCGGTGAAGTACCCGCTGAAAGCGATGGTACTGACCTTCCTGCACTGAAAGTCGCTGAGGCATCGCAGCTTGTATCATCCCTCGCTGCTATCTACAAGAAAGCAGGCGCTGCCACTCTCTCCACCACTGACGCTTCTGCCGTCTACGTCTCGCGCCTTGCTGCCAACCTTGTTAACGCCAAGAACTTCGATGTTCCTGAGTGGGACACACTCGCTTCTTACCTCGCTTTCCTCTCCCCCTCTCCTGACCCTGTTTCCATTGCAAGGGAGTGGGTCGTTCGCTCTGCCAGCGAGGACACTGAAGATGATACAGTCCCTGACGATGAGGAGGAGGGTGAAGACTTGTGCAACTGCCAGTTCTCCCTTGCCTACGGTGCAAAGATTCTCTTGAACACCGCTACCCTCCGCCTCAAGCGTGGCCACCGCTACGGTCTCTGCGGTAAGAACGGTACAGGGAAGTCAACCCTCATGCGTGCTATCACCAACGGACAGGTCGAGGGTTTCCCTTCTCCTGATGAGGTTCGCACCTTCTATGTCGAGCACGACATCGATGGCAGTGAGGCCGAGACGTCGGTCCTTCAGTTTATCCTCTCTGATTCACGCATTCTTGCTGGTGAGACTGAAGTTATCGAGACCCTCGCTTCCGTCGGCTTCAGCGATGAGCGTCAGAAGCACGCCATTGGCAGTTTGTCCGGTGGATGGAAGATGAAGCTTGCCCTCGCCAGGGCCATGCTTTTCAAGGCTGACATCCTCCTCCTTGATGAACCTACCAACCACTTGGATGTTGTTAACGTTGCTTGGCTCGAGAACTACCTCGTCAGCCTGAAGACCTGTACCTCCATCATCGTCTCACACGACTCTAGCTTCCTCAACAACACAATCACTGACGTCCTCCACCTTAACCGCTTCAAGGTCAAGAGATACCGCGGTAACCTCGAGGCCTTCGTCAAGGTCGTCCCTGAGGCCAAGTCTTACTACACCCTTGAGGCTGCTGAGGACTACAAGTTCAAGCTCCCAGACCCACCTTTGCTCGAGGGTGTCAAGACCAAAGAGAAGAGTTTGCTCAAGATGCGCAAGGTCGGCTTCCAGTACCCCACGCAACCCGTCCAGCAACTTTACGACATCAATCTCCAAGTCTCTCTTTCGTCTCGTGTTGCTGTTCTTGGTCCCAACGGTTCGGGCAAGTCGACACTAGTAAAGCTCCTCATTGGCGACATGGAGCCCAACAAGGGTGGTGAAATCTGGAAGCATCCCAACTTGGTCATCGGTTACGTTGCTCAGCATGCCTTCCACCATATTGACCATCATCTCGACAAGACTCCTCTCGAATATATGCTTTGGCGTTACCAGACTGGTGAGGATTTGGAAGAGATGCAGAAGGCCAGCCGTCAAATTACCGAAGCCGAGGCACAAAAGATGAAAGATGGTTCCCTCTATGTTCACGAGGACGGTTCGAAGAGGTTCATTGAAGAGATCGTTGCGCGCAAGAAATTGAAGCAGTCCTACGAGTATGAGGTTTCTTTCAAGAACATGAGCTCCTCGGAGAACGTGTGGATGCCTCGTGACGAACTCATCAAGCGTGGCTTCGAAAAGGTTTGTATTGTTCGCTCTAGTGATTGCTTAATGCTGACGATTCATCTCATTGCAGAAAGTTCTCGAGGTGGATACTCGTGAAGCCCAGCGTCTTGGTCTCTTACGCCCTCTTGTCCGTCGGGAGATTGAGAAGCACTTTGCTGACTTCGGTCTCGAGCCCGAGTTTGTGTCACATAACAGTATGAGGGGTCTTTCTGGCGGTCAGAAAGTGAAAATTGTTCTCGGTGCTGCTACATGGCGCCGGCCTCATGTCATCTGCTTGGACGAGCCGACTAGTATGTTCGCTCACTTTTTTCCCGTTCCTTTTACTTATGTCCTATATAGACTACCTCGATCGTGAGTCACTTGCTGCGCTCATCGAGGCCTTGAAAGTCTTCGAGGGTGGTGTACTCGTTATCACCCACAACAGGGACTTCTCTGAGTCCCTCTGCCACGAAGTGTGGGCCATGCGCGATGGCCACCTCGAGGCTTCCGGCCACAACTGGGTCGAGGGCCAGGGTTCAGGTCCCCGCATTGATAAGAAGGATGGCGAGGAAGAGGTTCAGTATGATGCCATGGGCAACAAGATCGATACCAAAAAAGTAAAGAAGCTGACGTCAGCTGAACAACGCAAGGTCGGTTCACTTGCTTTACTTCTCCGAATTGTGCTCACCATTCATTTTTCCACAGCTCAAGAAGGAGCGCATGGCTCGTAAAAAACGAGGTGAAGAAGTCACCGACGATGAGCTTTAAGTTGCCTGCTGGTCATGGTATTGTTAATATGTTCTTGTGTGCACCTCGTCATGTATTCGCATTCATGCCATCTGTTATGTCGTTACCCTCGGGCTGTTGTTTATGTACCCTGTTCACTATTTTCATATAATGGATTCATGCATTTCTGTCTCGTGTCTTGGTTTAAGCGCGTGCACGTGCACTTGTCATGTTGATTGCTACAAGAGCTGCGTGCACAGCTTGAACATTTGAACGTGCTTCTTGTTCGGTTCCGTTCTCTTTACGATTTAGTACAAAATGCCCTACCTTGATGAGCAAACCTCCAATTTGTACGCTAGAGACGTCGGCACACAACTCACTCCGAATGCTACTCAGAAGACGACTTTAATCGTTGCTGGCTGCTATGTTATAGTTATTGCTATTCTCTGGTGAGTAGAATCTACTACCCCCTGCAATAGCCATTGGCCATTGTTGAGCCTTTTGTTCGCAGGCATGTCCCAGTATTGAGTTGGATTAGTGCGTACCTCTTCATGCCATACCCTCTTGCAGCGCCCTGATGTGTTCTGGATCTAAAACGCAGTATACCCTTTCAAGTACGTTTCTCTTACAGATCCGAAAGGTTGCCAATAGATTGATATCATTATTGTAGATTGCTCACCGTGGGCTTCCATGAGGTAAGATCACCTCACCGCTGCTCAAGATATGAGGCCTTTAGACCTTAAGTTATTTTCCTAGATGAGCCATGCAATTGCTGGTATCTTGACTTGTGCTACCATCCATTCCGTCGAGCTCGATCGTTGGTTCAATGTCTTTTATCTCGCCATCGAGCCTCTGCTTACTCCGTTACCATTCGGACAGCTGACGAAGGCGGCGAGACCCGCATGTCGGGCGGTATACCATGGATCACCCTTCCTGCCGGATACCTTGGGTCCTCATTCATTGGCGCTTCTCTTATCGCATGTGGATTTGATACCAATGCGAGCAAAATAGCTTGTATTGTTCTTGGTGTATTTTTCATCTTCACATTATGGTGGGCACGCAAGAATTGGCTGTGAGTGCACTGCGGAGCTGCGGAAGGACAGGCACTGAACGGATCATGCAGGACATGGATACTCATTCTTGGAATGTCTGGCTTGATCGTGTTATTCTGGCTAGTGGCGGACAGCGTGGCGTTGCGCTATTTTGTGAGTTGTTCTGGACGTTTCTCGTGTTTCAAGCTAAAGCCTTTGATAAGATCTTGTTTGTTGGCGTGATGTCGGATTTGTATGTGCTGTGGGACGTGATAGGTAGGTTTAACCTCAAGGCTTGCACGCGTCAGACTAATAGGTTCCTTCAGACGACACCATCGCGCGGAAAGTCAATAGCTCCGATGCATCCGCGTTCGCTCGGATTTGTGGCTGTTTCCCATCGCAAGGTAAAACCCTCTACATTTGATGAATCTTCGTTAATGCTTTATCAGTGTGGGGCGTCATTTGGCTTATCGAAGCCTTTATGTTCTTTGCTGCTGGTATCATAGTGGGGCTAGTTGCATTCAAGGTTCTTATCTCATTTTCCCTCGGTAGGATAGCGCTGACAGACGAGATATTTCAGGAGACTTCGTCGGAACAGGAATCGGCAGCCGCACACTTCCTTCCTGCTCCAGGATCGAGCGGCGCCATGACATCTGTACCATTGCCGGGTGTCCTCTTGATGATTGTTACGACCTTCTTGTGGAAGCTGTTGTTGTGACTCTGAAAAATCAGAGCCGGTAATTGGGCTTATTGAGACCAGATATGACACTCCTGTAGCTTTTACTGTTGGTTCTAGATGCAGAATGATGCTTTGTATACTTGGCTTGTTGATACTGTTTTGATCCGACCTTTTTTGATCCCAGCACTATTTTGATAACTCGCCTGTTTTCCTGCAATGTGTGCATAGTGCCACATTACAGTCCTCGTTGGTACGGTGCAGAGATCTTGTTATTGACATTCACGTTGCCGAACGAACGTTTGACAAATTGCACTTCGGAACACGGACTACAGCTGCAGGCTACTGCTTGACCCGGTGAGTCTTATTTACAGTAGCCTTCACAACATACCCTTTAAGAAGACAGCTCGTAGTGCCGAGATCCTAGCGGGGGTGTCCATGTTAATATTAATGTCGCCGCTAGAAATCGTCGGTCTAGACAGGTCTAGACCCGAACCCTAAGATGCACATGCGAAAACATAGTGTGCCTGGACATTTTGTCCCTGCTTTGTAGAGTCGGGGATGTCCAACAGTACCAAACCCCGTGTCGACGATGAGGACGACGTCGATGATCTCGACGGTCAGAAGCCAACCATTTATTATCTAGATGGGCTTATAAAGGCTAGCAGATGTCCTGGATCAATTCACTCCGGCCAAAGCCCCTGCATCCAGTTTATCTCAACCATCGACGTCATCCTCTGCTGTGAATGAACCAACCTCATCGAAACAGGAGCCGTCTTCTTCAAATGCTGACTTTGACGCTGATTTTGCGAAATCGCTTGCTGAAGACATGGAGGCTCTTTGGCGCGATCTTGCGCAGCAGGGACTCATGATGACAGAAGGGATGGATGGCTCGACCGACCCATCGCTCACACAGGGAGCACCTATTACCCCGAAAACTGGCGAAAAGGACGACTTCCAATCACGCATCCGGAACACTATGAACAAGCTCAAGGAGAGCGAGTCAGGCTTGAAGTCATCGGATCCGAGCAGTTCTGCTCCTAGTGCTGATCCACTCGAGGCGCTTTTATCTCAACTTGGAGACGAGGATGAAGAAGAGATGCAGGGTGTCCTAGAAGCCATGATGGGCCAGCTTATGGGCAAGGACGTCCTATACGAACCCTTGAAAGAACTCTCGGACAAGGTAGGCCTGTTCTTGACATAGCGAAGCCTCATTTTTTCCCTTTGTCATATCTGCAGTTCCCGGACTACCTCAAGGCCAATGCAACTACCTTGACGTCCGATGATAAGTCACGCTACGATGCGCAGATTGTCTGCATCAGGCAACTCCTGGAAACTTTTGAATCAAAAGATTACGCTGACGACGACGACAAGACGAGAATTAAGATCGTCGAGCTCATGGGTGAGGTGCGTTAACTCCAAGTCTACTTTCCTCGATATGGCATTGAAATCGCCTGTATAATCACAGCTTCAAAAACACGGGTCTCCCCCGGAGGAAATCATGGGCCCATTACCCCCCGGATTGAGCATGGGCGCTGATGGTATGCCGGATATGCCGGATAACTGTATTATCAGTTGAATGCATATCGGCGGAGGGACTGAATAAGTTCAAGCGAATACCGGAGCTTGCCGTTGTCCACAACCTTCATGATAGTACATAACATTTGCGACAAATTTACAAGCATACTTGGGGTATACTGAAAATTGTTGCACCGAGAACAAACATCGATCGGACTTGCGCACTGCCGTAGCATTGTAGCTCCCAGATCCTTGCCCCTGAATGAGCACACTCTATGTTGCCGTGTTGTCTTCAGGCGCTGTACCTTGGTTGACTGAACTTTGCGTTGATTGTGAGGTCGAATTGATATTTGATATTGGCTCATTTGACCTAGGACTCGGGCCTCGGTAAACATGACCAATGTGAATCTCACTATACATCTACAAGTTCTGCTACAAATTCGTATTCTGTTCTTACTCCGCATTGAACGGCGGAAGCACCTGCTTCCTCTTGACGGGCCAAACCTCCTCCATGGTCTCGGCATCCCATATCCGTCCACCGCGGACGACATATCTAATATTCCGCGTGTGACGGATATTATCCTGCAACAGGTCAAAGCCAGGCGGGAAGATAACGAGGTCTGCAAGTTTACCCCCCGAGATGGACCCGAGGCTGTCAAAGAGACCAAAAGTAATTGCGGCATCAGCAGTTGCTGCGCGAATCACCTGCGACGAGGTCAGGCAAGATCAGACTCAACAAATAACTGTGGTATAGGGAAAGCGAACCTCATAGTTGCTCAGCCCGCCCGCTTTGGCGTAGAACATCTCCTGGTGGTACATGAGTCCAAGAGGCGGCTCGCCATGCGCCCCGATATGAGCGCGCAGCCCTCTATGTACCATATTCGCAACGGATGCAGAAACATTCCATAGTGCCATCGCTGGAACGAGAAAGTTAACCGACTTATCATTAGGCATGAATCCATGTGAAGCATACAATCGAACGGCCGGCTTGTGCTCTCTGAGACCCCTTCGAGGATGTCGTGTCGTGTGTGCGTGCGAAGTCTGATCATGAGTTATTGAGTGCACATAGCGAAAGGCTGAAGTAGAGACATACTTCGGGTCGTTCGGAATATCCTCTGTTGCCCAAAGATATTGCTCTCCGAACATGCCTCCATAATCGACGATATGCGTTGGAGTAGATCCAGTCCCGCTCATCGTATAGAGCGTGAGGATATCATCGTACAACACGGACACAGGGATATTATGCTCGATCGTCGTCATCCCTAGTCTAATCAACAACCACTCAAGGCTTAGAGCCGAGCACTTACCATCTATAATATACGTCAAATCCCAATCATAGTTCATTCCCTGCGACCGCAATCAGCGGGCTACTCAACTGAATGAGGAAACAGAGGTACACTTACACCTTCGGGCACACACAGCATTCTCACTGAACGTGCAGCTGTTAATAACCGTTGTCTTGCAGCCCTCGTCGGCAAATTGTAGTTCTTATAGCTCCAGCTCGCATCTCCACCCTCAGCTTTGATCCTGATAAGTGCTTCACGCGCCTCGCGCATGCTTGCGATGTCCTGATGGATACTGTATTCAGATGCACCATAGATGACATTGCCGGTATGGAAGAGCCGCGGGCCAGCCATAAGTCCGGACTCGATGCGTCCGCGCTCGACGTAGCCGAGGGAGTTATGTAGACTTGGGCTGTAGGTTCGGGAATGAAATGGTCAATGAATGTGTGGAGAGAAAATCACGCACTTGTGTAGTGTGGTCACGCCGTACGCCAGGAAAGTCTGCATCTCCCATGACGTTGCTGGGTACTTGTCTTCTGTGCCACTCCAGTGTGCGTGCGAGTCGATGAAACCTGGGACGACGTACCCTACGCGTCACGTAACATGAGGCTTTTTCCACAGATCATAGATGAAACCACCGACCGCCCTCAGCATTGATTTCAAATGCCCCCGACAGTCCCTCACCAACACCAGGGCCGCCAACTGCTTCCACAACTCCACTCCGAATCACAACGCTCGCATCTGACCTTAAATCCTGCGCGAGCACGCCATTCTCCATACTCAAGACAGTCGCGTTGTGAATGATGACCACATCAGCGTTGTTCTCCACCGCAATTGATTTCTGTAGGCCATCCGTTGTTGACTTGCGTGCCTCCCTAGACAACCGTTGCACATCAGGGGTATAAGTAACGTCAACTGCTGTGACATGCAGCAAGCCTCGGACACAGTCGATTCCGAAGTTATATGTGTCAGCCTCGATTGCGCCCGCGCATGCGGACAGGCGGGAAAGCTGGAGAGTATGGAGGTATGGACCTAATTCGTGTAGTGGTTAGTTAGGTCACAGTGGAACACGAAAAAATTAGGAGAGAAACGACGCACCAAGGAACCATCCAATCACACTGCCGTCACCACTAAACACGACATCATGTCCACCGTCTCCACTCAGACGCGCCAAGTTTTTCGGTGCCTTCCCAGGCTTGGCCCACATCGCCTTCTCAGGGTCCACTGAGGAAGGGGATGCATAATATACGTGAAAGAGGCTGACAAACGCCGCACCCCCTGCTGTTTGGCTGCGTCCAGCTAGTATTGAAGATATCGAGAGCACGGATCCAGACGGTGAAAAAACGATCTCGTCAGTCCCCTTCCCCTGAGCAACCACCTCCTCAGCACCGTCGTGCAATGAGACCCGAAGTACACTATCAGATTGCTGAACGAGGACTTCACTAGACTTGCCATCCACGAACGACAGCTTGACGACATCAGAAGGGTCGATACTACTTTGGACATAGCGCAAGTTGGTCAGTTCGACCGTGCCTTGGGAGCATGAATGGGACGGAAGCGTGATCTCCCCGACCCATACTCCAGTTTGCGCAGTAGCCACTACGTCACCAGTCAACACATCTCCACCCGTCTTCACTAGCACAACTGTCCGCGCGCCGTTTGCCGCAGATCTGCTTACGACAGCACCAAACCACCGCCCCTTAGGAAGTCCAGCGACCTCCCATACTTGCTTACTTTCCAGATCTGCCAGCTCAAGAGATGAGAAATGTGTATTATCCCAGCGTGCGTGCAAAATGAAAGAAGATGCAGGAACGATGGAAGGTGAGTAGTATCCTGCAGAGGAGTGTAGGTGCGGAATGCGCTGGGCAAGCTTCGAAGTCTCAACGAAGTTGGCATCATCGATGGGGTCCAAGGTAGTCGGATTGATGAGGGAGTCTCCAAGCACCTGCACCCATGTCTGGCCTGCGCCTGCAAATACTGCATGCTCGCCAGATTCGTCCAACGCGAGCTGGGTGAAGGCACGCACGCGCTGTGGGCCTGATTCAAACTTGCGTACATCAGTCTTCATACGCCGAGTTTCCGCGAGCTTCTTCGAGATCTGCGCTGTAAACGGGATCACCTTTGGCGTAAGGTCTATTTTGTTAGTGGCTGTGGCCGCGGCGACAAGTTCCCCATCTGCGTTATACGCCAATGGGACATGCCAAATCTGCCCAGCAGCCCAGATGATGATACCCGGCGAGGACGAAGAGGGCGTGAATGCAAAGGATGGGTATGTACCCATTGGCGCGTAGATTGTGGAGAGGTCGTAGGTGAGCCCGTACCAGATATGATGCAGAGTGCCCGTATTGAGATCCCTGTCGAAGGAATGTCAGTTACGCCAAGGTATAGTACACGTATACAAGGATATTGATGCAAGAACTATGGTGCTTAAGAACACTGGAGATTACCCAAACTCTGAAGGAACATCATAAGTAAATCACTACTCACTTGAGTACGAGTGCTTCCTTATCCCTCACGCGGCGCACGAATGCAAGTGTGCGTCCATCACGCGAGAGTATAGGCCGGCTTGCACCACCAGGGAAGGCGTCAACGAGCATCTTTTCCACGCCCGTCGTCAAGTTGCGCTGGAAGATTGCGTAAATACCCCGATGGACATCTGCATGTATATGAGAAACAAGTACATAGCGCGTTGATGAAATAGCGAATGCTAACACACCTTTGGAATACGAGTAACTGCCGCCAACATCCCTCACATTACCAGCATAAATAAGCGCATCATCGCCCGCCCATATGAACTGTTCGTGTCCGATCTGTTGCTCCACGTAGTCCTCCTTTGTCCACCCCATGGGTAGTTTCTTTGACACCAAACGCTTTCCAGCGCCTGCCTCGACCTGTGACTGGGCGTGGACAGTGGGAACAGGGAATTCCCATCCTTCGCCAGCTCCAAGGGAGCGTGAAGAGTAATACCATTTTGTTGCGACGACCTTATCCCCTGAAGGATGCCAGCGCGGGTCAGACACCCAGTTGTACGTCTCATTCGTGATGCGCTGCGCTATACTTTCATGAGCATCCTGCCTTAACAGAGAAGTAATTGATATTACTCACCATTCACCCTTCCCTCCCTTATCAATCTCCTCAGTTTCCTCTCACCCGTCTCCTTTATACCTCGTGCGAGTTGCTCCTCTTCATGGATCTTCAGCTCGCGGTCATGCGGTGAGCTGACATGCGCACGCACGTCCATGGCCGTGCACCCGTCCGGCGCCCAGGGCATTACCCACAGATTGTCAGCACCGAGTCCAGCGTCGCTTTTAAATGCAATCCTATCGCCTGCAGGTGAAAACCGCGGATCCGCATCGTGTGGGACACCCGTGAGGACTGGTACCGCTTCTGTTCTCCCTCCTACTCTTCCAGCAGCTCCTAAATACGCGTCACCCGGTAGGCAATATACGTCCCCTGCCATGTCAAATACGATATCCCCACTCACGGGGTGCACGTCGAGTCGCAACCATGTACCTTCTGTTACCTCATAGGACAGTGTGCGAGGGTAGGGGAAGTCCACAGATATGTCCCAGGGTTCATGTGCACGCAGAGGGAAGTCGTCGTCTGCGAAATCGGATGCGGGGTCATCCAACAAAGCACTACTAGGGTAGTCGTTAAAGAGAAATTGGTGGATGGGGAGGGCAAAGTGATCAACCCATGTTGCAAGGCAGAGACATATAACTAATTTCAGAACTGCTCGTTGTAGCCGATGATCTCTCGTTTGGCGAGTCGTATAGTGTGACGTTGGAACCCCTTTCGTGGTTGTTAGAGGAGGTTTCTCCGAGTTGGAATCGCCGAACTCGAGAACCATTTTTACCTACTCAGAACCAGTGTCTGAGCGAGCTAACGAGCTTGGAATGGGGTTAACGTTGGTGGGGTGTTTATATATGGGCGCTTATAATGATGAGGCACTCCGGAATAACGTCAACCTGTGCACGCGGAGTACCGTATACACACCTGACATGAGAAAAAAAGCACCCGTCATTCGCGAATTCAATTCAGTCATGCTCATGTATGGCAGTAACGTAGATAGAATGAACCAAAAAGAAATCAGGGACTAGGACTTTGTTAACGCACGAATAAAAATACAACTTATGAAGCCGCCTCTTCTTCTGTTGCCTCGGCAGGAGGAGCAGGTTCCTCTTGTACAGGCTCATCCACCCCCTCGGATTCTTTCTCTTCAACCTTCTCTTCAGCTTTCTCTTCAGTTTTCTCTCCCACCTTTTCTCCCGATTTCTCACCCTCCTGCTCTTCCTCACCCTCCTCCTTGGCACCTTTGCTACCAATGACAGTGGCGTTGATTCTGGCGAGTGAGAGATTACCCAGGGATCTGCCAAGACTCGCCGGCAGAACTCACGTTAACATCACATGCACTGCTTCTCCCTCCTCCTCCCCCTCCAACTTGGGCAAATTCACAGTCAGCCGCTTGCTCCCCTTCCATCCAAAGCTCCCAGTAGAAAAGCCCGACGAAACGAGCTCTATAGCCTCCAAGAACCCAGGATCCGTCGACTCAACATCAGTAGGAGGCTTAGTGTGTGAAATGTTAACATGCAAGGGTTGCGCCCGCGACTTGAACGCAGTGGCACTCAGCCCCGTCTAGTCATACTACACATTCAGATTTAGGGGCTGAGCGATGCGGGGACACAGACCTTCAATCGGGCTGCGCCCTTCTTCCCAGTACCCTTAGCGCTCTTTCGAGCCTCTGTTCTGGGCACCTTGGCACTGCGCGTCTCGCGCTTCTCGGTGGCGGACTCTTCTGCAGCTCGTTTTCTTCCTGCGGGGACATTATATAGGAGCTGTTGAATGCTTGAATTAAAGAAGTTAAACTCACCAGCCATTGTAATAGAGCGGGAGATGAAGTGAAATGGGTGTTAGAAGTCAAGAACGATGCGCTTGAAATTGTGGATCCCGAATCGTCGCGTCTGTTTATATCGTTGTCAACCGTCAATAAATACCACAGGTGGGCGCAAGGTGGACGTGTGACGTCACGCGCCTCGTCACGTCCCTTTGATGCGCTTTGACCAGGTGCCACAGCTGCCAGCCTGCCACAGCTCATAAACATCTTGCAACGTTGACACTTTGTTGACATAGTCGAAGAGCATGCTGTAAAGAGCACTGAGAGCACTGAGATCTGAGACACTGCACCACACAAGAAATGCATTGATCAAACGAACAATAGGATACAACTACATAGGTTGAAACTACTCATCGGCGAACATCAGGATAACTCCACTCGCATATAGTAGTTCATACGCTCTAAGAACCGTTTACCTGAAATAAATATTGTCAGTAAAATTCCATGAAATGTGCGGAGGAGCGAACCTTTAGACCAAGTACTGGCGTGTAACAATTGAACTGTGACCGAATGCAGAAACTCGCGCAATACCGGTCTCGCTGTTCTCCCCTGACTTCCCCCCTGCCTCCGCCCCGCCCGACGTGCTATCAGTGGACGGGGCTCCGAAGAGCCAACCATAACGTCAGATATCATCATCATCGCTGTAGAACTCGTCTTCATCTTCATCAAGGGCCGCTAGGTTTGTCAGGTCAACTTTGTAACGAAGCAAGCCGCCGATTCCACCGAAGCCCTTTACGAATTGCGCGCCCTCCTGCGACCGATTGGTCACAAACTCAAGGTTTGCTCCAAACTCCTTGTACTTCTCGGCAAACCATTCAAGGAGAGGCTGTGGATCAGTAACATGTTCCATTTCTAGACCAGTAGATTTATCCAAGAATCTCTCGCGATCTTTCTCCTGTTCTTTGTTTGCGTGGATGATAATTTCCTCTGACATCATTCCATGAGTCATCCAGGATCTGCAATGACAACAAGCGTCTTACCTCCTGCAGCATTGCGGAATACATAACGTGTGATGTCCAGGTTCTCCCACACAATCAGAGTCTCGACCGCGCCTAGATCAAGCGCTTTCAACGTGTCATCAATACCAAAACAGTACTTGTTCGTGTCTTGGCTGATTTCATCGAAATACTTCTGGATAAGCCTCTTCTCCTGCACGAACTTTACATTTGCCAGCGCATCTGCTGCAAGTTCGATAGCCTGCGTCTCAATCTTAGTCATAACATAAAAGTACAAGAACGCTTAAACCGACCTGATTGAAACCATTCTCACCGCCGTAACTCACATCCACAACCTTGATCACCTTTGCAACCAAGCGTGGGTCAAACATGTCGCTTTGACTGAGTTCTGTCTTGAAGTCGGCGCTTCCCGCCAGAACGAGTCCAGTTACATTGACTTTGTCGTTTGTGATGAAGTGCTGGACAGCATGCTCGGCGACTTTTCGAACGTAGTTGTGGCGCTTTTCGTCACGCAGACGGGAGAAACGTAGCGCAGACTGACCACCACGGCCATGCTTCTTAGGAAGATCGACGGTGAATTTATGTACGATATCGCGAGTGTTGCCTGAGAGGGTACCGAAGAGGGTTCCATTACCATCCATGACGATGAAGCCAAAACGAGAGTCGGACTCGAGAAGCTCGGATAGTGCCTCAGTGTGGAATTTGTTATCACAGAGGTAAAGCGACCTGTTTCATACGTAAGATCAAGGTCATGCATCCGATGAAATACTTACGTATTGATCGGTTTGTGAGGTTCAAAGTCGAATGACACCTTCTTCTCCTTACCTTCGTCGGTAAGGATGGTGCCCACGAAAAGTACAAGACCGTTTGGCGGGACTCGGTTGTACAGCTTAAGGCGCTGCTGGGTACTGGTGATAGCCGCAAGAACAGACAATCTGTTCACCCGCGACTTGATGTTACTCGCAGTACCGTATTCCTGCGTCAACATGGCTGAGGCACGAGAAATTTGATCCTGTAACAGGTAGACTGAAATGAGCAAGATGTAAAAGGGGGCAAAGATCGGCGCACTTTGGGAGGAATGATCAAGCTGATCATGGATGTCCCCGCTCTGTAAAGCACGCGATCAGCTTCCATCGCTGTTGGTTTAATGAGAATATGAAGATATACCCGCGTGCGGAGTCCAAGCTCTTGATGAGTTTCTTTACTTTCCACATCTGAATGTTTTGCTCTGCGACATCTTGACTCATGATGGGCAGATCTTTCTTCTGAACGTTTTGATATTGATTTTCTGTTGATGAAAATGTGAGTGGGACGCCTTGGATGTCCCGTACGTTCAAATTGACGCTTATGTATGGAGGACAAACTTTTTTACCGGGCTGTGGCGGATTTAGGGTAGGCTGCCTCAAGGCTGCTTTCCAATACAATGACTTCGCCGAGTACTTGCACTTCCAGTATTTTGACTCAATTCATTCACCAACCGAGTCTTTATGACGTTTACTGGCGCTATCTAGTCATATAATTCTGCAACTGATCTGCTCGGAAGCGAACCGCCATCTCAAAGGTTGTCTCACCGCATCATGAGCAACTCAACCGGAAAGCGCAAGTCAATTGTCCCTCCTACCAATGACCAGAAAAGAGTCAAGGTACAAAGCGGAGCCGTTCCCAAGGCCAATCCGAAAAAGAGCAAAAAGGACAAGGAGACTAATAGTGGACAATCGGAGCCATCGACGACCAAGAACCCTACAGCCACATCGCCATCAGCAGCTCCCAAAAACCGTCCCAGAATTCGGAAACTCGCGCCTCCACGGCCATTCCCAACAGTTGCACCGTCCGCACCTGCCACAGCACCGCGTTCCTTGCATACCGAAGGCAAGAATAACATATGTATCACGCGGCGTACCAAGCTAGCCGCTTACCTGCGCCGATGCAAAGCTCTGATCCTCGAAGATGGGTTTCAAGAGATTCGATTGAGCGCAATGGGTGCTGCTATCCCGCATCTTGCGCTTTTGGCTGTTTCTCTGCCTCAAATAGTGCCGGGCGAATTGAACGTTGAAGTGCAGACGGGTAGCGTGGACGTTATCGACCAGATGCTTGAAGGAAGCGAGGATGAAGATAGTGGTGACAATGACGAGGAATTTAAAACAAGGGTCAAGTCGACAATGAATGTGGTTATTCGTGTAGGAGGCTCGAGGGACCCCAAGGTGATAAGCAATCCCGCGAAAGGTCCAACGACAGACTCTAGCCAAGGCGATGGAAATGTTCAGCAACCAGAGCAACCGGAACAGATTGTTCTCCAGGAACCTGAACAAGAAGACATGGACCAGTCGTAGCAGGAATCACAGTAGGAAGCTATCGCCCCATTGTGCTGGTCACTGCTCATGAGTGTCATAGCTTGTAGTCCAACTTTTCACGCCCGTCTGAAGACATATGGGTGTTCCCTGGCTAGATACCATGTAACGCACGCCTTCGGAACAAACCGTCCCAGATTGTATTGGGATCTAGGGATGGAATACGTTAACGTAACGCACGGAGCAATACGCCGTTTTGCGATATCTCCCCCACCGTATGTATTCATCACTGCAATGTTAACAGCGCTCATACACCGGTGAGCTCGCGTGATATGTACTGGAACTTTCATTTTCTATTGTCTCACACTTCAATAAACCTAATGCACATGGTTGCATTTCCGTCTTGTATTACTGTCGACTTCTCACTGGTCCTAATGAACGTGAAATCGATACATCGGTCACTCTATGCCGCCGGTTCCAATCACCAATTTGACCTAGAGAAGTTACTGCAGATGTATTGCAACTTGCGGCACGGGACTTCTCTGAACTGAACCTACTGAGCCCTCGCTGTGCGTGCCCCTATCCTAACCCTATTTATCAATTGATCTCCAGGATCAGTAAATGAACGTATAGTGCATAACCTCACTACACCCCCAATCCGTTTTTAGAGCCTTCAGTTGGCCTATAATACCCGCCAGCAAGAGTTAAAGTTACGCAAGCAACAACACGTGTATCTCTCTTATAGATGCTATACCCTGACGGAAATCAATGAGGCCTCAACCGATTTGAACGAAAAATGCTAAAATTTCTACCGGCGGCCATACATGATAGCGGATGACCGCTGCTTCGGTGAGAAATATCTTTTTGTGTTTGATGACGGGTCACTTGTTGTTCTTTTCGCAGCATAAGGGTTGTTCAGAAGTCAATACAAAGAGTCATTTATGACATCATTGCCACCAGGACTACTACGCTCTACTCACCGGGGTTATTCAGGCCTGGCCTTTGCTGGACGCGAATGACAGCATGATTGTCAAGCATTCGATAAACTAAGATCCGGGTGGCCAACTACTCGGAGCAACAAACAAGGGTTCACCGACGGTAACGGTAACGGGGACTTTATGATGCGGTTAGTGCATTTTGATGAGCAGAGTGATGAGCACTTCGTCTCGCAAGCCCGAAGCTACTAGTAAAGGCAGGGGAACGTTAACTTCTGATAAATTTGATGGCCTTCGCGAAATGAGGCAACTGCCGGTATAACGCTGTGCTAACCAACAATGACCATCATGAGGAGGAGTTAGGAAAATGCAGACTACCCTATCCTGTCTTGCTTCCCTTCACCTCGCGCCCCACTAGCCGCGACTTCGCGCTTACGATACCTAAAAATAACAGTACATCCTGACATATAAATAGGTTATAGCGTAGGTCATCATGATGCACTAAGGGTTTTATAGGGTCAATTCAGATTGTTTCAAGTAAAGTTTAAGTTGTGACGTCGTGTTGTCCGAAGCCTCCTCAAATGAGCTTCCTGCGAGGTAGTTAGATCGCTGCAAAGCACATCAGAGCGAGAACTTGGTTCAGATCACATACAGTATTGCAGTGTCTGGGGGTTTCTTGGCCTAAACTAGTCCTCCTGTCGACAGCCTTCTCGACCCATCGCGCCACAGCCTTAGCTAGGTAGCGGAATTGCGTTATATACAGATGTGCGACTGCGACGGTTGACGTTGAATCGGGGAAAAGTTCTCCAAACACGACATATGGTTATTTCACCGGTGAACGAGATAGCCAGTGGGCGGTAATGAAGAACACGCCACGATGAGTGCCGTACATAATGTCGAATGCGAACCGTATACTTGGCCAAAGTGAGATAGGGGTTATACAAGAATTTAGGTAACGTTTGTACGTAATAATTTTCTGTCTTTTTTTTTTGATTGATTGAACGTCGACCACTGGGTTCTCGCAACTCACCAAGTCAGCCCCGGTACCGGTCGGTGTGTTGGGAATTACATCCAGGGAATACATTCACGCAGACCCATGTCTAGGTACAGTTGACACGCAATACCCTGCGACCCTATGATCAAGCCTGAGGTCGGCAACTGCCAGAGGCCCAGAGCAGATGGCACCTCCCCCAAAGTGGAAATCCAGAGAACAAATTGAACTCGAGAAAAAAATTTCGTCTCTTCCCCGATGACGGTTGCCAGGGTGAGCATTGCAAATATACATACACGCATGGTAGGTGGACGGAAAAAATGCTTTCGCTGCTTTTTCAGAGTCAAATTTTGATGGTGAGTTCTGCAGTGCTCATGCAATAGAATGGTGACTCCAAGTGACAAGGTGTGGACACTTGAGTTGGGCCCGCCTTTAATTATCAGCGCGGAAAATTCCCCTTGTGCGGATGGCCATGCTAGTGCAAGTGAGAAGCACTGGAAAATGGTCATCCGACGAGACTGCAGGTCACAATGAATGAACGTTGAACTTTGATTGTTGTGAGAATCCTCGCATAATTTTCAGTCATTGAATCGATGATCAAAGCTTCCTAATGGTACAGAATATTCAAGAAAGAAAACATGGAAAAAAGAAAAGAGCGTGTAGCATACGCAACGCGGATTCGTACATCCGATCAATCTCTTGGCAATTATCGCAGCGCCTCAAGTCTCTCAGCGAACGAAGAGCTCAGCCCCATGCTAACCCTCAACCACGATCTCTCCATCTCGCTTTCTGCAACACGTGAAATTCCATGTACCTCCCGATCAGACAGGCAGTCGTACGAGGGTGACGGCGAGAGCGAAGACGATGAAGTGGGGGACCACACATTGCCAAACTCCTCGGCAAGCTCCGACGCTGTGCGAAGGATAATATGCGGCGGTGGAGCCCATGATTGGGTAGGAGATGCAACCTGCGCAAATGACGACGAAAAGTCCAGCGTTGGCAGAACGAAGTTCTCATGCACGTCGGGAGAGGGCGATAACCCGAGCCCATAGTCCCAATCATCCGAATCAAGTTCAATGTCTGAACTGACATCAGCATCTTTGTCGCAGTCCAGTTCTGACAAGGATGCTAGATCGAGCTCGATACTGGAAGCAACCGACTCGGGACTCGATAAAACTTCTTCTTCATCGATCGTACTCGTCTGCGAGGAAGCAGACATAGCATCTGAGTAAACTTCTTCGAAAGCACACCATCCTTGTCCGCTATCTCCGGTGACGCTGCGCACTTGGGCAGCTGTCCAACCTGCAAATGTAACCCGCAGTATCGTACACTGTTTATCGCCTGGATCATCTCCTAAATTGGAACCAAAGGCGTAGGCATCTACGCCGACGCCAGGGTCGTCCCACACGTTCGCAGCATCCAATCGGGAAAAAAGGGTGGACACGCGAAGTGAATGATTACGATGCGTCTTATGCGCAGCAGCAATTTCAGGTACAGGAAGAAGCGGATGGAATGAGCTAGTTCCCACGGTAGAATGTGCAGATAGGGGCAGACGAGAGGTGGGAGTAGGAGCGATAGGAACGAGCAGGTAAGTCGTTACTTCCGGCAAAGCAGGTTGTGGCATGTAATGATCAAGCTCAGAGATGTCGATTTCGGCGGGGACTTCAGCTTCAGCAACAATGAGCTTCTGCTTTGGCTTGAGCATCTCCTTGGTCTTTGGAAGTGCCACATTTTCCTTAGCTTTGCGGAATTTGCGCTCCTCCTTCTTCTTTGCCTTGAGTTCCCATTCAGCCTCCCAAAGGGCACGGGTAGTGATAGGAACGTTATCCACGAGATTCTGGAATATGGGGCGCGCAGAATGGAATGAACGAGCAGTGCCAAGACCAACATTAGCTACGTTCCCGGGGATGGGAGTCGGACGAGGAAGGCGTGGTAAAGATAATGGGCGGTAAAGGGCATTTCTCACGGGGAGCGAGTACGATGCTTTAACGCTCTGAGCAGTGGAATGGAAGTTAGCAGGACGGACAAGCGAGTGACTCGGAGCGACTGTAACTGAATGCGCAAGTCCTGGAGTAGTTAAGTGAGCAAAGAATCTGGAGACGAGGTTACGAGAGTTTGTAAAAATTCGTTGAGCAGTGGACGGCTGGGGCGTTCGTAGTGGCGGAATGAACGCAGAGCTGTGAAGTGACCGAGCAGAACCAGTCACAGGGGCATGGTGTTTGGTTCCGCCGATACCTTGCCTCAGGTGACGAGCGCCGTGCGAGACGGCAGACATAGTGAAGCGCACTGATCGGTTAGTGGTGTTTAGAGCTAGTCAATGTCAACGTTGCAAGTTAAGCCTTTCCGGATCCTAGTGTGAAGCAGTGCTTGCTGTTATAAATTAATTCAAGTGCCGGACGAACACGCGTTTGCTGAGTAAGTAACCCGGGACTCGGCATCGCTTACGGTAATGATCGATCACGTGGTCGTTATCTTCTTGACGCGACCATGATGAACGCACAACAGCCTACCGTACCTTCAGCCTTACTTCCCGAGATTCTCGAGTTTTCACCCCAACTCCTCCTCGACGACATTATCAACTACGCAAATGAAGCAATAACAAACACCGTTGATGCCTTAGAGGGTTTCCTGTTTCGCTGGGCGTCTGAGCGAGAACAAAGAGTGAAAGAGGATTGGGATAGCACACAAGAAGTGGAACAGGGCCTTGTCGCTTTCCAAACACTTCTGGAATCACATACGGACATTGCCTTTGACTTTTTCGAAACATGGTCACTTCGTAACATATTCGCCATTCCTGCCGATCTTCCCGTCGTCGTCCCTCACCAAGAGAACCTCGATCTCGATTGCCCTCCAGAACGTGAAACAGAGCTCATGACAGAGATAGATGAGTTGCGGAGAAAACTAGATGCTGTACGTTTCCAACCCTGTCATCGAACCCCGCCTGTTCTAACGGCGTGCAGCAACGTCGCTTGAAGCGTTTGTTGACTCGCGCAGTCCGCTTGTCTTCAGCAAAATGCCGTCGCTCTGAATCTCGCCTGGAAAAGCTCTCTTTTCTTCAAGCACCCCAAGTTTCTGAACTGATGAGCCTTCCAGAGCAGTATCGCTCGATGTTCTCTGCGGTATCGTCCCTTCCGCCTCTTACACCTGAAGCCGTCGCTGCCTTTTCGCAATCGCTGCTGGCAGACCCTGGAAAACGGCCATGGGAAGTCAGTAAGATGGGTTATCTTGACTGGGCCAGCAAGCAGGTACTTGCTAGAGCACAGCAATCTGATGGTAGTGCTGGTAGCTCGACAGTAGGATCGCTGGTGGAATCCACTGCTGCGGTATCGAAGACTGAAGATCTCAGGCGATTTATGGAAGTAAGCTCTGCCTTAGAGAATGCTTGATCCCTGCGGCGTGCGGACCGTGATATCATTGCAGGTCGAATTTGTAGTGGAAGGATGTTGATGAGTACTGTATTGTAAAGAGCTAATATGTACAACACATCACGGCCTTCTTTGGGAAGCGGTTTCGATGTGACAACAATCACGTACTATATAGGTAGGCTATTTAGTCAAATGGTACGGACCGAGTGTTTGCTCCAGCTGTGCTCTCATGAAGATTAGTTGTGAACGTTTGAACAATAAAGTACTCCGAGGTTACCGTATTATAGTGCATACGCAGATGAAACTGCAGTGTTTGCATCTAATTAGGCGCGCTTGGCCGCATTTGGACACAAAGATCCCAGTAAAGGGCCTGAGTCAGAACTCGTCCCGCTATTTTTTATGTAGCACACTGTTTGCGACGCCCTGCCAAGCATACAGACCGCCAATTCTTCCGGTCGTAACAGCTCGTGTCGTAACTCGTGATCGTCAGAAGCGAGACTAATTATTTTTCCTTCTATTCCGTCTCCCTACGCGCGCAGACTTGGACGTCACACGTTGCCCCCGTCACCGCTAAACGAACATCATCGTAGGATGATATGTCCACGTCAACACGTCGAGATCCGCGAAGGAGAGGCACATACCCCACACTTGCCAATAAATGTAAGACATCCGCTTTCCCCGCGATTATGCAGACGCGATCGAAACCACAATACCCCGCATCGAACTAATCCGAGTTCGAGTCGGTCAGCTGACCTTGTGACGAGATAGCGGCAGATGGCAGCCGGGACTCTGGCAGATCAGCTGCGTCACTTTCACTGTTCAGGCACTGATACATTATGCATATTTTTGAAACATCACGACGGGTCACGGGCATGCACCGCGTTACACTCACAGACTCAGCTGAGTTAGCTCCGGCTATATGAAGCCTTGGCATTGCTAAGCCCGTACTAGAGAGATTGACACGCCTGACACTGGTCTGACTTATGAAGTCTTGGTATTTTACTCAGCCACAATTTCCTGGAATCCCAAGGTCAGTCATTCACACAAATACTCAAGTGATACACTGACATGTACGCACCTTGAGTCCTCTGGCAGAAATCCCGCTACAACTCCACGCGTGTGCTCACGGGTCGTGGCATCATCTGTTTTCGGATGATCCGCCGTGAAAGACCTTCTGTTTCGAATTTGCCAAGGATTCACAATCGTGCGATCTGAGTAACATGTTTGATAGCGATCAGTCTTCTTGATCATCATGCTGACACGAAAGCAGGTTATGGAAGGTGGGGGGGTGTGGGCACCTATGGCTGTAAGACCGCGCTGTACCTACTAGGCTCCGCCCCTTTCGTCACCGACAGATCATGTTTCCTAAAGTGGCTATGTAGTCGGAGTTCTCTGCAGGCTGCGCGGCGCATTGCCAAGGTGTGCAAGTCAACGCCCCATTCTGCGGTGACTAAATTACTATTCTGTGCCGTTCGAAGCCTACACGCAATCCGCTCATCAAAAACATCGAACTGAAACAGTTTCAAATACCGGATACTGTGACAAGTTGTGCATTCAACCAGCTGACACGATGATCCCCCCGGTCACCGTCACCGTATCGATAGCAATCTCGAGACCCTCATTGACACGTGCACATATCGTAACGTTGCATGCACTGGTGAGCTGGTACGACTCCTGAGCTGAACGCCGCGATGTAGTAAAAGTCTTAATTCCCGAGTCCCCGATCATGTCGCAAACCTCCCCCTCTTGTGCGATCTATTCAGTTACATTTGTCAGTCTCAAGTGTTCTTGGCACTTGGCACGTCATCGTTCTCCTTCTGGCATGATAAAGAGTGGTGTAAAACTTGCAGGAAAGGGTCATGCCTTGAGGCACGGTAACTATCATAACTCCAACTCGGAACTTAGGCCCGAGACAATGAATACAAACCTTCATATATTTGTATTAGTGGAGGACACAAAGGGCAAAGACCCCTAAGGAACAAACTATGACAAATAAGCGAAGCACCGCTTCTCGCAGCAGCTGTTGTCATTCCTGAACTTAGTTTTATCGCTTCTTCGATATCTTGGGGAAGCTTCGAGTGGCAAATGTCGTCGAAATGTCGATGACTGGACAGAGAGTCCAAGCTCAAGCCGTGAGCTCGCCCAAGTGAGGTGTGCGATGCGACCCCCCATGATCGACATTGATAGGTGCGAAGCTTTTAACATACGTGAAACCTAAGCCCTCTTGTCAGACTGCCCCTTTTAGCGACCGTCCCCCGGAGACCAGACCGCGTCATGTCGTAAAGTACACACTGAACTTTAATCATTGCTGGTTATTCCCTAGCCTACGCCAAGCATACGCACCAACACTAATCAAGGGCAATCATGTAGACGCGCAAGTTGCTATGTACGTATCTTTCTGAGACGAGTCCTCAGAACTACGCACGCAGCATCGTCTTGCAGGTATCATTTCGTAACGACCCCGGGCGCATGCCTTGTAAAGGAATGCACGACTGAACTCGAAAAGATAAGGCAGATTCCGCCAGTGAGAAACATAGAAGAGAAGAAGCCATCAAAGAAGTCTTGATGACCTGAGGTATCGAAAGTCAGGCTGGAGTGCTCCTCGGAGGAGACGTACGACCTTGGACAGTCCCCAAAGATTTCTTCGCCAAACGTAGGCATCCAGGCATCGGAGACATCCGTTGAGGGACCTGACGTGTACGGAAGAAAAATCAACACTCCTAAGAGCATGACGACAGGATTACATGATTCAGAGGTTTCCTGAGCGATAAGTCATAACGCTGAAACACGATTACGATGGTTCTTGCGTGATTTAGCTGGGACTGGACAATTGGAGTTATCGGAGGCCTGAGAAAGCAGCCCTGAATAGAGGGAGGGAGGACGCTCGCAAGGGTCGTCTAATCAATCTGATGAGATAAGGGGCGTACGGATGCTACGTACAGAGCCACACACAGATCGATTCGATATCGTTTTGCCGGTATTAAGCCGAGGATGTAAATACGCAGCATAACAAGTTGGCTGGACTGAGCATCGACGACGAGCAAAAGGGGCATCTGCACTCAAAATAAGATGGATCCGGCATTCCCAGAAGATCCGTCCAATTCGTAGCCTCGAAAGTCCACGGAACATCCAGCACATAACTCCGAACGCACGAGAAAGTGCGAGAACGTCGAACGAGCACCAACAGGAGGGATGGTCGAGGACCAATTCAGTAACTGAACCAAAAATACACTTGCGCGAAGACAGAAGCCAGGTGGTCGGGTGCCTGGGAGCTACTTATCCGGTCCAAGGTCGGAACAACAACAGGGGTGACCAGCGTTTGTCGTTTCACGAGCTGACGGCGACTTGTATAGGTGTCTGCATTTCAAGACCATTCAGCGCATCCTCAGCCTTTGTCGTTCCGTCGAAAGCTGAGCGCTGAGCCGAGCCGACTAGAAGCATCCAGCAGATAGATCCGCATACACGCATGTTGGAAGTCGAACTTCTGAACAAGGAGTCGAGTGCCGACAGAAAGGCCAACTCCCAATCCAGTTTTTAACAAAGCCAAGACAAAATCCAGATGCGCACTGGCACTATTGGAAATATATCAGGTATGGGCACCAGAGCAGACAAATTGAAACATGAAACAAAACGTGTGCTTTCCATATCCATTTCTATGCTCTGCGGAAGGAACCCCGCGAAGAAAGAAGAGGCGGCAGTCGTTGAGTGGGAAACCCCTGCACTTCGATGCGAGGGCAGGGGACGGAGGTGACCGGATGTAGGTTGAACGATGTTCTCTCGTGGAAAAAGGCAACATAGCAGCGACTTGAGCTCGTGCCTACTCTTCAGTTAGATTAGAAGACCCGTTCGACGCAGGCTCGAGTTCCAGGGTATACTTTTGGACGTGAAAAGACGAGTTCCGAGCACCAACTGGAGGGGACCTAATCGTGATGATTGAGCCAAAAATGCCCTTCGTGCCAGAGTTGAATTGAAAGAAGCAAAGCGGCCGGGTGAGAAAACCTTGCCTTCCTCAGTCCACGCATTGGTCTGCCTACGGGAGACCAACGACACCGTGGACGGTAAAATCGAACGACAACCCTCGGTAGTTTTCATTTGTCGCGTCGGCACGAGGTCCTGAGAGTACAAGGTCGACATACACAGAACACCCATCGGCGTTTCATGTAGCTCGTCTGAATTCACCCATTGAATCGACACAAGGTCCTGAGAGGACGAAGCCAGGTAGAGAGCACCTTGTGGAGCTCGTGTATATTTGCCATTCCCGAGGCGTCAAGCTTATCTGACGTCAATCAGTATCGACAACCTTGAAACAGTTTTTGCGCTGGACCTTCGTCAGCGAGAATAAATATCCTAGTTCGGCTCCACACTCCGGATGTTGATGTGGCGCGAAGGGCGCTCGGGGTACCTTGGTAACTCCCACATAGGGATGATCACCGCGGCGCAACGTGGATATTGATGCAAGGACAAATAGACAGATAGAGGACGGGGCGAGACGGGAAGATGACGATTACCAGGTGACCCTCGATCTCCTATTCATTTTATCCATCGATCAACGTGTTTCAAGACAACGCCGTGGACTTCCGAGCTAGTGTTAGTGGCACGGAGCTCGACTACTCTCTGGATACTGGATCCTGCCATCGAGTGGTCATGGTCACAGAGCGGATGAAAAAATCCAAAAAAAACATCTCCACACCCGCACTGCATGATGTACATGCGGAACCTCCCGGGCGGAACTTGCGAAGAAAAAAGGAAGGCGGTCGGGGCGGCACATACGATGCCGATGACGACTCGGATGACGCTCAATCGGAGCTGTGAACATGGAATGCGGAACCCGTCTGTTATGTGAGCTCGATCCAGGTGCGCCTAGCCAAGGAACATAACAGAATATCGGAGATATCCTGCTACGCGAAGAATAAACTCCCGTTTCAGAAACCCTGTGGATGGTACGCGAAAAACACCCCTTGCAGGCCCCCTGACCTGGTATGCGACGCTGCCAGTGATATGCGAACGAAACCCCTTGGACGCGAGAAAAAAAGACATATGAATCGAGTCGTGCCTCGTTGCTAACTGCGAAGGCAGCAAACGGAGCAGAGATCGGCGTTCGTGCGTAGATTGGAACCTCGTAGAGTACTAGGCCGAAGGACCCTTGAAAGCTTGACGACTTGTCAGTTGCCTGCTATATATTTCAGATGCGCCAAGATGTCTTGAGTGATAGTCCAAGCTGTGTTAATTGAGAGCAGATGATGATCGGTATCAGCATTAATGTGTATGTATACATGATGATTCGGAGGATGGCTCCTCGGATGTCTTGGTATTAGATGGACTTGGCTTAACTTGGCGTGGCAGTAGTTTGCTACTATTGCTAGCGATGTCAGGGCGTGGTAGCCCGCGACCGTATCGGTCAAAAACTCTGATTTGATGGCGGGAAAGACGGTGACACCGACGGCCGATATTCACGATGGGCATGGCTGTGATGTGACTGTGACGGTAGTGCCAACGTTGAAGAGAAAGGTTGAGGGAATCCTCGGAGATGTACGCTTGAGGTGATGCAGTCCGATATTTGTAAGATGTGACTCGGATAAGGTTAATGAAATTTGTAGTCGGACCTATTCCGAAGGTAAGAGTAAAAATTAGCGATGTTATCGCGGACTGAAGTCGACAAGGAGGACAAAGTAGGTACGTATAGTTTGTAATCGGATTCGGACTCCCCCCTATTGCAGTTGGCCGATGACTTCGTAAGCTCGCGACGGTTTTCCATCAGACGTTTTCCGCACCAAAAAGGAGAACTTGGCGTGAACCTGAGGAGGATTAGCGATGACATCGCTTGGAAACAAGAATTCGAAGGCTTGGATTGACAGTAAAAGATGGGACAAGGACAGAGTTAGTTAGATGGTGAAAGTAAGACGACAAGAGACAAATCTGGGCAGCCAAGTGGATGAACGTTCTAAGAGGAAGAAAAGGTACGGAAGAGACCGAGGGTGCCAAGGATATGTAATCATGATGGATTGTTTACAAAGACAGACAGGACGTGAGTATAGGCACGATGTAGTACAATGTTTGATGACAAACGTTGCCAGCGTGAGGAATATTATTTTAAGAGGAAGTCGATAAGAAATACGGAAGCAAGTTTTGAATTTCATAATAAGATCCAATTCAAATCTCGATCGATCTGGACCCCAGAAACCCTTTTTGAATCATAAAGTGATTCATTTAAGAGTCCAGGATGAGCGAGGCTTGTTGCATTTTTTCACCCAACAATGATTCGTACTAACAGCATTTTATTGAATTCACCAACGCAGTCACCAAGACTATCCCCTACTGCAACCTACTCCGCCTCTTCAAGTAGTTGCTCATCCTCTGACTTGAACCTACAAATGCAACGTCGTATCAGATTCGCACCTTTACCCAATGACCAGATCACAACAACACCTCCAGCAGCAGTCGATTCAAAACCAAAACCAAAACCAAAATCACCATCTTCCTTCTTCCGTAGCATATTCAAACGTTCCTCACCACCAGAAGATGTAACAATCCTTCGTCGCTCCCGCTCTCCACAACCCCATGACTTCGGTGCCCCCCTCACCCGTGCCAATTCAACACCAATTCGCCAACCAAAACGTTCATCATCATCATCATCATCAGACTCAAAACCACGCTCTTCGGCAAACTCACTCGGTTCAGGTGGCGGCCGTCATGCAATGCCAATGCCCTCAACTCGTTTCACTACCCCATCTCTACCCACAAAGTCTGCCAGGCGTATGCTTAATGGTCGCGTCTACGGATCAAAACGTCAGCCTCCAGCGAACCCTTTCGCAAATGTACGTGACGAGCCAGAATTCGTAGAATGGGGTTACGGTGGCATGGGAAGCGTGACTGGCAGCAGTGACTCAAAATATTCCGTTCTCGCAAAAGGCGCGCCAGCTCTACTTTCCCATACTCAAGCACAAGTTACCAAAACACCGGTGGAAAGGAATGATGGCGTGGGTGTACCAGCTCCAGATGATGAGGATGATGGAAGTGGCATGGGTTGGGTAAAGAAAAGGAAACTCGAAAGAGAACGTCTTGCCAGGGAGAAACAGGCGGCGGAGCTCACTTCTGCCCTTGATACAGATTCAAGGCGAACGAGCACAGATAGATCGTCCACCATGGACAGTACAAGTACTCGTCTCTCCACTTTCGCTCCTTCTTCAGCTCCTACAACACCTCTTAGCACCACCGATACTCTCCCACCCCAAGATTATATCTTGCAGGCTGTGAGATTGAGTCCTCACCTCAAACACATTCCTCCCGTGGTCAACACATCACCCTCCTTCGCACCCCCTGCCATGAACAGCCCAAGCACAGCCAACGAGAGTAGCAAATATCATCGCCAGGCTCTAAGAGAGGACGACTCGGACGAGAGCGAGGTCGAGCGCGCAGGGGTACGTCTCCTATCTTTCCCTTGTCCTACCCATCTCATTTTCTAATAGGATCGTCGAAAGACGTCCCTGGGAGCTGGAGTCGAAAAGATAAGCAGGCACAAACAAGTCATCCATTGACGTCCCATCTTTAGAGCACCCGCGCTCCGCCTCAACTTCCCCTTCAATACATTTCGCTGTCCATATCCCCTTTGCTCTGTTGTTCTTCTTGTGCATATCGTCCATTTGCTCTATCCTCGCCTTCACATCATCGCTCAATCGCTGCACATAGCCTCTTACGCCCTTCTATTCTACCCATCACAGCCCGCTCAATTACTACTATGTTATCCCT